ATCTCGCACACGGGACAATCGAAGATGGCGCGAAAGTGAAAGGGGGTGGGTGTGGGAAGCCCAGGGTGTGTGGAAGGACGTACAGTAAAGGAGATCGATATATTGGACAAGGTCCGTAGTGAATAGAATACATACATAGCCTTCGATTCCGAATTGAAGGGGAAGTAATAATAATTGCCACTGGCTGATCCTGGCTGATCTCATGATCAGCCAGCCTCTTCTCGTCGGAATCGGGCGCGGACGGGGCAAACTTGACTGAAGATAGAGCGGCGAAGAGATTGACAATTTGACATTGAGCATTGAGAGGGATTGGGAACGAGGCGATCGTGCGATATGTGTGGATCAGGCTGCACGATGCCGATTTGGGATCGATGACGTATGTGGGGATCTGGACAATGTCGATGCAAGACGATCACGATGGTGCCGAGTGAACGTCAAACGCGTCGACGCGTTTAATCTAGTTACGCGGAGAGAGGTGGCCACAGGAGAAGCAAAGCTCGTCCATCTCTACGAGGAGGCCGATAATCAGAACCACGACCACGAACAATTCACAGCAACAGCAGCTTTCGAAAGCACGCACCTTGGTAGGGGTCGACATTGTAACTGATCTTGTCCATCGGCCTCTCGCCTCCATTGACTTGAGGGAAAGTATAACGCGACCACCTCCCACGAGGATAGTAGTAGTAGGACGAGCCGTCAGGGTTCATATAGAAGATGCTGCCGTTGCTATTGAGGAAAATGCGTCGAGAACACGCAGAACAGCACTCGCTTCCTTGTATATGGGGGCAAGGAAAGATAGGAGACGCACTTCTTGTTGTAGTAGTGGTACCCATTCGTGACATCCCCAGCACGCTGACCGTGCCTGCAATAGTTATTCCCCTATTATAAACGCCGTGAGATGCTAGTCTCATGTATCTTGAGTGAACCAACAGATACTACGTGCCCTCATGTTCGTGCCCATGGGTCAGAGTCAACATCGAGGATGTCCAAGTGAAGCTCGAACAGACAACCTTGGAGACTATAGACGCTACCTCGGAGGGTGAAGAGGAGGATCGCAAGCCACAGATCGTCGTCGTGAAGCCGAAGCACTCGAAGGAGTTTGGAAGAGTCCCGGTTGCCTACATCCCTCGGGGCTGGGGCTTCGACTGAGGCTAGGGCTAGGGCTCGCAGGCGGGATCTCAGCTTCGGAAGGCTCAGACTTGACACTGAGGCTAGGGCTGTGACTGCGACGCGGGGAGCGGGACAGCTCGCGCTGGCGGTCGGACTTGGGGCTGCGGATCGCGGCGGCATCATGCTGCTGGTGATGGTGGTGGTCGATGTGGTTCGATTCCCGGCCACTACGGATGGTCGGGGACTAAATACCAGTGCTGCTGCGGCTGGGAATATCGGTTATCTTTCCAGGGACTCGGCGATATAATGGAGACGTCGGGGTCTTGATTGGTGGTGCCGGTGAGTGCGGAGAAGGGAGGGTATCACAAGAATGAAGAGGAGGGGTGTCGCAACGGGAAGATACGGAAAGATGAGAGTCGGGAACAAGAGGGGCGGGGCACCCGACGAAACGACGTCGGTGTACGCCTATGTGCGCGTATTTGGACACCCCGCCCCATCACGATCGGGCCGCAAACAAAACGGGCGCTAAATTTGAACGAGGCGCCAATCCCCGAACGCGCTTTGAGATTCTGACATGAAAAAAGGGGGACAATAAAGGGTTGCTGTATGGGAGTCGTTGTGCATCCGTTTACTTATGAAAAATGTTTACATCCAGAAAATGGCAGCCTGGGCACAATACTACTAGGATAATAAAAACTGAATTGATTGCAATCCACGATGTGAGATAGTGCTTGCACATACTAGAAGAAGCTTTGTTGAGTTGATTAAGCTCGTTATTCCTTACGTTCAGGTTTGCAACGGGAGCCGGTCGCACGAGAAGCAGAGGTCCTCTATTTCTTTAGTTGAAAGAAAAGCTTCACTCAGAATACCGGACGCAAATGATGCGAATTAAATATTAAATACTCACCCTTTTGAGGATCGGCGTCATGGGTCACCTTTTGGCACCCATTAACTTGGGGAGGTGGGCGATAATATGACCTCCGTTCCCGTGCTTTATAACGGTACGTAGACCCATCGGGATTTTTGTAAAATACGCTCCCGTCCGGACTCAGATAGTGGTACGCCTGCTCCCTGTCACCTGGTCGCTTGATATGGCCGCAATACCTGTTTCCCTGAACGAGACCCGCCCATAGTTAGTATCGAATTAATTCGATGGTGCAGATTGCACACTCTTTGATTTGTTCCTCCAGAGGAGAATGGCACGAAGCCAAATTTCTCTCGCGGACTCATTCTCTTCTTGGCAACTCTCTCGACGGAGTGGGGAGCGTCAATCATGGCCTGCGCAAACGTGCTTCGAAGCTCTGCGATCTCGATATTGGCGAGTGTTTCGCCGCGGCTGGAGCATGGAGATGGTTCAGGCTCGCAGACGTCTTCAGGCTTAGACGCAGTGTCGACCTTCACCTCCCTTAGACTCTGCGATAGCTCATTTATCGCTTGAGTCATACCGACGGACGCCGCTGTCTGCGCCTCCAATGCTGCCGTCTGCGCCCTCACAGCTGTTGTATGCACCCCCAAAGAGGCGACCAGCCGGTCGGCTGTTTGTTGGAAGGCATAGGTGAGGTTGATGATCATGGGGGATGCCAGGGGGAGGGGGTGGTGGTTGAGAACAGGAATGCTGTGGGCAGGAAGACGCTCACCGGTTAAATGCAAATGCCCAGCATCACAGTCCAGAACCACCGTGCGCTCGGTTCGAAGCTAGGTTATTCGTGGAATGAACACGAGGCAAAGCGGCGTGGTGATACCACAGTCAAGTGTTGACTCAGTGGAAAGGTTAACGGTACCAATCTGACTCGTACGATACTGCAGTGCACTGATAGTCACAATGAAGGCTGCGCAGTTGCTTTCGCCTCCAATATCTGAGTGATGATTGGGAGCCACAGTAGGTGGTCACCGGTCATACGTCTCGCGGAGGCTTACCTTTGACTGTAAACAATCAGACTAATGGATGGAGTAGAAAACAGGATGGGGATTCTGCAGGTTTCGCGTCAAAAACCAATTAATACTTAATGTCATCATTCACGCGCACCAGTTCTCACGTCCAAGAGTTCCTAACAGTCGCCGTAGCATGAGGTGTACTGCGAGAACCCTTCCGCATTCTTATTTAAATACAGTGGCTCCGGAACTGTCAGCGAACATGTACCACCACAAGAAATGAACAATAATCTCGAAACTGATTGATGGCGCACCCTAGAATCCTTCTTGTGAGCTAAAGCAGTTAGTTCGGCTATTTTTCTCGGCCTCACGATAGCGGCTATCGGGCTAGAGTTTTGCTTGACTGTAAGCCGTCGCGTCGGCTCTTATGGGGGATGGCATCTCAGGGAAGGAGGGAAAGGGAAGGAAGACAAGGATCGGGAACAAGAGAGGCGGGACAACCGCAAAAGAACCCGAAGTCGGTGTGGACGTGTATGCACGGCTTTGTACGCCCTATTCCATCACGATCGGCATGCAAACAAAATGGGCGCTAAATTCAAAAGAGCCAACCCGAATAGCCCCGAATGTGCCTCATAGGCAAATATGGCAAAAAAGGCGAATCTTTGTTTCAGGATTGTTGTGCAATAAATACAATCATTTCTCTAGCATAATTTATACATATTCATTGAGATCGACGAGGCGAGATATGACTTGTGTGTAAAGAAACCTTATAGCTTTGCATAAACCTGGGCTGGTGTCCAGGCCTGTGTTCACATTTGCACTGGGAGTCGGTCGCAAAAGAAGCAGTATTTCTCGATTTCTATAGCCAAAAAGAAAAAAAAAAGCTCAGAATACTGGACGAAAATGATGCAAATCAAATACTCGCCTTCCTGAGGATCAGCGTTCGGATTCACCTCCGAGTCGTTCTGGTCCCCGGGAGCAGGTTGATAACGTGATCTTCCTGTCCGCGGGGCGTAGTGGTAAGTAGAACCGTCTGGGTTCATGTAGTACACACTACGGTCTGTGTTTCGGTAATGAAAGGCTTGCTTCAGATCCCCTGGTCGCTGAACATGTGAGCAATACTCGTCACCCTAGATGGCACCTACAGTCAGCAAAGAGTCGAATCCACTTTGTAGATTACCTACATTCAAACCTTTTCCTCCGTGTTTGAAAGGCACGTCGCCAAACTTGTTCATGGGACTGGCCTCGGTGACGGCCTCGGTGGCGGTCTTAGTGGCGCCTTGGGTGACGCTCTCTGCCACGTTTTCGCCCACGCTCCCCGCCCGAGAGCGGGGAACGTTGGGTGCAATTTGAACTTCCTCGATCTCGGTTTCTGCCAAGGTCGCAACGGGGCTTGGGCACCGAGAGACCTCAGCCGTGGGTGAATCTTCAGCCTTGGATGCATCTTCAGCCTGAGGAACAGGCATGACATGAATCTCTATCTTCGAGAGTTCACGTATCACTTTGGCCAGGTCGACGCACACCACTGTGTGCGCATCCAAGGAAGCAGCCAGTCGGTCGCACGTTTCTTGGAAGGCAACAAGAGAGGCAACTGTCATGATAGCCTGAAGACGAGGTGGTGGTGGTGGTGGTGGCTCGGTGGTGGTGGTGACGGTGTAGGGATGCTGAAGGAAGGAGGGCTCCCGCCTGGCTTAAATACGAATGCTCATGTACCACCGTGGGTTCAGATTGAAGCTTGTTGTAAATCTCGGGGCGATGACGAGACGGGTAAAGGGGGGTGATAACAGTTATGCAGGTGAGGAGGCTCATGGGCTTGCACTGCAATATTGTGTTGCACTGACAGTAGCGGTGATAGATACTCCACGCCACCCGCGTGGTCGCCCGTCTTTGGGTAGCGCTCGCCTCCAACGTTTTAGAGACCCGTTTCATACTGACTTATTGTCTAAAACGGCCAGAATAATAGATGGAACCATAAGACGGGTTAGATAGTAATAAAAAAGAAAGGTTAGGCAGGAATTCTGAAGATTTCGCGTTAGAAAGGGATACTCGACGCTATCGTTCACACGCACCGGTCCCTCACGTCCAGGAGTTCCTTACATCGCCATTGTGTGAAGTGTACTGTGTAAACCCTTTCGCATTAATTGACGAAAGTGAATACGTCAGGGTTCTTGTAAGATGGGGTGCCACCCCTTCAGAGCCGTGTCAGCGGACGCGCATCCGACAGGAGGAGAACAACAAATTCAAAACTGACTGACTCGGATTCAAGTGATCGGCATAATAGTACTGGTGGCAGCACTGGGGCTGGCATATAATCCCTTTTGTGAGTTGACCCAGATGGCTGTTCGGTGCCCGTCTGGGTGAAATCACCGTCCGAAGAAGAGTTGTCCATTGTTAACTGGACTACCAGTTTACCGGCTCGTTTACGGCTGTGCGTAAAGAACAAGGCAAGGCGCTGCGCATTGTGAGTGATAAGACCGGGGTAGATGAACAGTTCCCGTACAAAATCTCTCATAGCGTTCACGACATGACAGTGGACAACCCCAATACGGTGGGGATAAAGGGCAACTTGCCAGTGGCGGTTCCTTGTTCCTCGAGTATGAACTGTCCAACGCCGAGGGCCTGAGTAAGTTCGTTGAATCTCGTCGAGAAGACCTCTCACAGGCGACACGGTGCAAGCTAAGTCATGTTATGGGTTCGGACATGACAGATTCGAAACCAATGCCTACCGACGTTGTGTACCGACGGTGTTCGTATTTATGAGGAAAGTCTACTTGCGCCCCGAGGACAATGCGCGGATGTAGACCTCGAGCATCCTCTTTCTCTTGTCGTAATACGTCGAGTTGTTGAGGGTGAAGCTCCCATCCCTATCAAGTAGAATACTTATGAGCGGGCGGAGATAATATCAATGTCCGAGAATACTGACTTGTTAGATTAGTGGTACCCATCTCCGAGCCCTCCGTTATCTTACTGGTAATTACACCAGCGATCACCCTGTATAACACCGCTGCGGCGAGCCTGTCACCCAGAGCAGGTCGCTTTACACACAATCTGAGTTGGTTCCTGTTCCCGTCACATGGTGCCCTGGACCACCAAGGCAACGGTCGACACGACGTCTCCAATTTATAGTAAGTAGCATCGATGGATCTCGCTTCTTGTGTTGCATCGTCAACCAAAGCTCATAGGCATACTGATACTGATGATGTGTTGTGTCGGGACGATATTCTAGGATGTTCTGGTTTGCTGATTAGCTGGATATGGCTAATTAGTATCCAGATCAGATATGTACGCGGAATGACGGATCAGCAACCGTAGCCGCCGAGTCTTTCGCGTCTTATCTTATCATCTGTACGAACATTCGTGAAAATTGTGCGAGAGACGAGCGAAAATGACGCAGCTCAAGATACATTACGACTTTACTTTCAGAGAACCAAGGGCTCTCAAGGTCAAACAGCGATGGGAAGGGAAGTTCTGCAAAAAAAAAAAAAGCCATAGATTGAACGGATAACGATATTTGTACAGTCGAGAAAGAAAGACCAGATGTATATGCATGTCATAACGGAATCGCTGCAGGATTAACCCCGGCTCGGCTCGACCACCGTGACTATAGAATATTGCATAAGATGTCAGGCGACTGAAGAACGAGAACTGACGTACAAAGAAGATCTCTGCGGTCACTTCCCAGTAGACTTGGACACTTGGCCGTTGGGAGAGGTGTACTGAGAGTACCCAGATCCACTGTTGTAGTAGGTGGAGCCATTGGGATTCGAGTAGTAGTAGCTCCCGTCCCTTGGAGCGACATCAATCAGAACAGATTCAGGGCGCATATATACATGGAAACTTACGTATTGGAGTAGTGGTAGCCGTGGTTGCCGCCGCTATCCTGGCGAGTGCAGTAGTGGTTTCCCTGCGACACGCCTCATGAACGAGACGTCGATTCCAACGATAAGCAGCCTTGACTCACCTGGGAGTTGGTCCCAGTCCCCGTGTAGGTGTAGCCTGAGGACGAGCTGTTCTTTGTCATAGTGTCTGAGAGCGGGTGAGGATATCTGGGACTCTGGTGGGAGTAGAAGAACAAGTTGTGTGGGAAAGAAAGCTCGTTGGGCTGAATAAATAGCCGAAGAAGCGTGACTGAGACAGGGGGAAACGTGAGTGTGACACCTCGTGTTTCCCCTTTATTATCTTAAGTCAAGGTCTATTTTATTTCCATCAAGAAGAACGAAAGTATTTTTCAAAGTCCCTTTACGAATATCTGACGCTCTCAACTCAACGAAAGAGCTCCAGGAAAAGCATCCGGGAGCAACCTAAATCAGTGATTTTACGTAATTGACCTAATTAGTGTGATAGAGCGCGAAGTTGTCAAAAACCTTCATCCCGAACTCCCGAACTGAGAGATTCTACGTCGTCGTCTCTCTTATTTTATATTCTGCGAAATAGTCATGAACGCCGCCCAAATGTATGAATCGATGGGTCTGAAGGTCCCAAACAAGCCTCTTCCATACGGTGGTCGACCGAAATACGTGAAGTTTGCACCAGGAGACAAAGGAGAACATCTCCCGGCCGTTTTCTTCGAAGGTGCGTCCACCTAAAGGTAGGATTCTGCCTTTCCAGCTGATTCCGTCACCATCTCTTCGCAGACCCTCGAAATTTCAGGCCTGAGCCAGGTCCTCTGGGCGAAATCCATGCTTGGGGGCTCTATCCAGTGGGTACCAGCTGACTCGATGGGGAGCCTTCTTTGACCCATGCGCAAAAAAGTATGTATACGACGAACCAGAATGCGATAATGAAGGGCGAAGTGATGACTTGAACTGGCCTGCTTGTGAGTATTCCGTCCATCTTTCATCGCCTGCAGCATATCTGAACTCTGCGGGCAGTTGACGGCGTCCAGGCCATGATGCGACAGGTGCACACCAAGATATAGCGCATATTTTATGGTCTACTAAGCCAGTTCCAGATGAATTCACAGATGTTGTACTTCGGAGGCTCGGAAGATAGAAGTCCGGAGGGGCAATTTATGAAAGTGCTTTTGGACCGACGGGTGCGTCACATGTTTCCCATTGGGATTCATTTTAAAATTATTTACAGTCATCCACCGGCCAATGAGACACCACCGGCTAATGATACACCTTGGAACACCATGAAGGACTCAACTGTTTGCTTTGAAAAAATAACCCCATTCTCTATAAGTCTTTCATACACTGTGTATAAAATTTTATGGGTTTTGGTGAAGTCAATGCCCAGTAATAAAATCACCAAAATATTCATTTTGGTTGATTTTGTCACACCAGTCACTGGTACAGCATCTCTGGCTGTTTCTGCTCACGTTTGGTTGATTTTATGGCATACAGCTGGTATAAATTTATTTTAATGGCTCTATTACACTGATTCCAAGTGGTTTTATGAGAATCCATGGGCTGGTTGAGTTCTGGGATCTTCAGTGTATCAAATGATGGTGGATGACTGTACGACGGATAGGATATAGCGTCAGCAGCTTAAAAATGTCCAGATAGGCAATCTTGAAAAGCGCGATGTCCTTCTCAGAATCAGTGTCGCGTGAGCACCTAATCCTCTTTAATCTCATATATAAATCCGTATCAATATGCTCCGGATGTTAACCAGAGCTATGCGTGATAAAAACGGAGAACCGCGCGTATGGCGTCGCTTTCGAGTGTCTGCCGGTATTGGTTTAAGTGCATTCCAAGACAAGGCCGTTGCGCCTATCATGGGCTGGTGCGTTTGCTATCCAAAAATAACGAGATGAATCGTCTTGGATATTCCATAGGGTGCGCAACTTGCATTGTTATACCTTTACGGACTTCCGGAATGGCACCCTCTTCGGACCACCTGTATGACAGTATGCCGCTTTCTCTCAGAGTGTTTTAAACCCACCTTCAATAGGATTCCGACTCGATCGACCGACCGGGTCCACATCGCCCAGGTGAGTCCCTGTGTTGATAGGCACGATCCACTCGCAAACTCTTCTTAGGTCGGATACGATTATCTACCTGATAATAAGCATGGCCTCGCGTCCAATATCTTCTTCTATCGCTCAACATAGCGCGTTCGCAGATACAAGCTTGCTCATTTATTCGGCAAGGAAGGTGACAAAATCGGCTACCTGTATGATTTCGGAGATAAATGGTTCCACAACATCGAGGTCCGTGTATGCGCCTCTTCACTTTAATCTTAAATTCCTCCCATTCCCCCCAGATCCAAAAGATCTATGCTCTCGAAGAATCAACTGGCGTCATCGAGATCATCGATGGGAAAGGGATGTGTCCGGGAGGTAAGTTTCAGAGAAAGTCCGTCAGACTTTGATGGTTGAATGATTTGCTCGCAGAAAATCTGCACGGAAGTTTACAATACAACGACTTCTTGAAAGAATACGACGAAGCGTCGTACGCCGAGAAGTACGTACGTTATTCTCATTCCTGACCCAGATCTTGATGTTTCTTTCACCGTGAAGAGTCGAGAAGAAGAGGGAAATTTTCGACACCCCGAACTACAAATCTTTTGGAAAACCACCTCTCTTGTTCAATCCCGAGGTTTTCGACATTCAGGCTGCCAATGAACGCCTTGCAGAAGCCCTTGGTGGACCTAACTCCGTGCGTAGTGGCTCGAAGAAGTTCATGATGCCGGTCATGCCCGGAGCGGAGGGACTTATGGATTCAATGGACGGGAAGTGGCTGAAGAAAGGTCAATCGATCGTAAAGACGCATGATCAAGAAAACTTTGGATATTGGAACGAGACGACCTCTAGCACGAAGGACCGGCGACGTGAGGCAGTTTGCGCTTCGTGCGGTAAACCGGCCGCGCGAGACGTACAGCTCAAGCAATGCAGCGGCTGTCGTCAAGTTTTGTGAGTTTAGGTTGTGTTCGTTCTGGAGCTCTTATTGTATTTAACGATGTCGTCCAGGTACTGTTCTCCCGACCACCAAAAGGTGAGATACAAAGGGTTATGTAACATCTTGGTGCTAAACCTTTAATACTTTCGCAGGCTCATTGGAAAACTTTGCACAAGAAACAGTGCACTCGCCAATACCTTTCCTAAGTCGCCTTTCATCAATTCATCCCTTGTAGTGCCGCAAAATTTCACCTTTCTTCTTGACTGTCGTGATTGGTGGAACATAGATTACGAATCTCATTCACAAACATTAAATGTACTTGTATCATATGTACATACGTTCCTTTCCTAATCTTATCTTATCTCCGATTACCCGTTTTCATCCAACAGGCCTCGAACCTGAGCTCGACCACCACGACTGTCCCCCAACATGACCGACGTTCCACAAACTGATGTTTCCCGGCCCTCGGCACTTCCCACTGCCAACGTTCTTCAACGGAGCACAGGCTCTCAATCGATTGTGGATCAGAATTCAGCCGAGTACCTCGACGCGATAGAAGAGGAATGGAACAAAAAGGTAGACGCGGAGGTGGACATACTCGTCGATGGGATGGTGGACCTCGTCAGTTTGGCTTCAGTACGTCTCTATAACTCTCGTGAGGAGTCGGTCTCTGACTCAAATCGTGTTCGCCAATCCAGATCGTCGACAAGGACAAGTTTCGCGTCGCACAGGAATCCTTCCAGGCCCAATCCCGTGCAGAGTCTATGGTAAGTGTACATATCTACGTTTAATGCGAAGCTATCTCAAAATCGTCGATGAATATTAGATTCGAGCTGCAAATTCCTTGCTGTCAATCACCCACTCGATGAAGCTCCTGCTCCTTCTCTCCGATGAGGCCCAGATTGCGCACAGGCGCGATGCCGAAATGAAGGTCGTACAAGAGGAAAAGGAGGATTCGAAACAGAAGGTGGCTGCTCTCTTGGACGAACTGTTGAAGAAACCAAGCACGTCTAACACTGCCTCGACTGCTGGAACCTCGACGTCAACATGAAGCTTCGCAAACAGTACGTGTCTATTGTGACCTTCCTTGATACTGAGAGCGCACTTGTGCAGAACAGAATGATAAATAACAATTGCGACTTGACGGCGAACCGCACTGATGATCACTGCCCCTCCACACCTCCATTCAGAATCCGACGAACAGCTTCCTCCTCCAATCTCTTCGCCCTGACTCTGCCTTCTCGCAACCTCTCCAATCCCATCCGGATACTCTTCATATGCACTTCCACCGGCACCGACGGCCCCAGCAGATCAGGAGCAGCCACCCGCTCTCGCATGTCTTCCATATCCTCGCTCATGCTGCGCAACGTCATCAACGCGGCGGTGACATGAGCGAGTGCCTGCTTCCTGTACACGCTCAGCTCCTTCAACAGCGCCAGGTGGCTGTCGAAATTCCGCACTTTCCGTTGGTTGCCGCCGAGGATGGTCCACAGCTGTGCGAGGAGGTCCTCCTTCTCTTTGGAGATGGTCTGGTCTTCGCGGGAGAGGAGTTCGTGCAGTGTAGCAAGCTTCTCTTCGAGATCGAGCAGATTTTGGTAGCTACGCTCCGCTTCGACGATGAGGCGTTGCATGTTGTTTGATAGGACGTTCATGGCGTCTTCGAAGGTTTCTGTGACGATTTCATCTGTGGTACGGCGTTTGGGACCCCATGGTATGAGTTCACCCCAGCGAGAAGGCGGATTTGCTCGTGCACTTTCGATGGTATGAAGAGCATGATCGTTTGACGCCATGATACTATAGCAAATGTCATGTCAGCGGGTTTATATTTCAAGAGTGACCAATAACGCACTTGTCGACGGCTCCGCCAACTTTGGCTGTTAACTTCTGCAAGCCTCTGCCTGTCTTCTTTGCATCCAAGACAAACTCTTCCAGCGATCGCGCCAAAGTATCCTTCGCCTTCATGTTGCTAATACGGACAAGGGATACAAGATCCTTGGTAGCCATTTCTGCATTCTTGATTTCGAGAGATAATGCTGAGCCTCCAACGGACTCATCCATCAACTGTTCAAAGGTCTTGCTCTGGGCATCTATCAAGGCTGGATAATCCGCTCGCTGCGCGCGTCGTCCAGTGGGAGGAGGGACGACCCAAGGTTGGCACATGGCACTGCGTGAAATACCCGGGAGGATACAAAGTGGACGGAAGACAGAGCCGAGTTGTACAGAGACATATGTGAATATGATTGCTAGAAGCCACAGAGCCAGCAGAAAAGCCAACGGGATCTTAAGCCAATTGACGGCTTTGCTGAAGACGTCTAGAGAGTAGCGAGCGGTGAATAATGTACCCTGCACGGCTCCGTTGATCACGTCTTCGGTCGCGATGAGAGGCGGCTGCAGCTCTTGCTCTTGCTTCACTCTCAGGGGTTGAATAGCTGGCTGGGGCGCCGGGGGAGGCGGTATCGGGGCTTGAGCTTGCGCTGCTTGAACACGCGATCCATTCCTCGTCTGAATAGGACGTCGTCGTCTGCGCGGTGTCGCACGAGAACTTGCGTGGTTGCCGGTAGAACTGGCGGGACGAGCGGGGCTGGGGTTGTCCCTGTGCGTGTCATGGATAATTTCCTCGTCCTCCCAATCACCATCATCGTCTCCGAACCGTCCAGGGCTGGTGGCGCGCCCTACCTTCTCCCAGCTCTCTGCATATCCATTGGTCGTGGCGTGTGTAGCACTGGTCGTCGATCGCGTCGTGGAGTCCTCAAGTTGAGTCATGGTGGCAGGAATCAGGGGGTTTGTGGTGTTGTTCCCCTGTTATCGCGGTTGATATAGATAATTAGTGAGGAGACGCGTGTACGGCCTGTTTGTCAGTCCAACAGAGCACTCAAACGTAGTGCGTTGTTGGCGAAAGACAAAGAGATGTTCAAGTTCATGTCAAAGGCGTGTCGGATGTTGACACCCTGACACGTGCGTTACGTCAACCTCAATGGGACCGGATGGCCGGCCCGCCAACTTGACCGCTGCAAAAAGGACTTGCAAGAGTTGGGCGCATAACGATAGGCCGTACATTTCATCTTTGCTTCTCATTGAAACTGAAAATTGAGACTCGTTCGGAAACATGAAGCCGAACCATGTATATCTGTTTGAGAGAAGAGGCGAAAATAGAGTATAAACACTGATCACCCAAACCACCTCGTTATGCCAAGTTGATGAAACACACCTATCGTAGTTGCCTATAAATTTCGGTGAGAATACTCTGTGTAATTTTATGGCCGCTTCGACATACCTCCTTGTTTAACACCCCACCTGAGAGACGATAAATGGAACGCCATGAAGTGAGAAATGGGCACTCTCCGCGGAAACAAATGGGAGTTTCCGGATGCCCCAAAGACCGCAAAGGATAGGATAAATACCATAACCTAGACGGCGAAAGCGGTGCAGCATAAATGTGACGAAAACAAAATGCAATCTAACGAGGAGCGTACCTGAGTTCCTCCGTCCAGAGAAGCAGCGAGGATATAATTGTACTTCCCAAACCATCCAGGATAGAGCGTCCTTAACCGCCACTGCGAGAACCAAGCTATCGCAAAGTAGGAGAAGATGGACGAGTTGATCCCAACGCAGAGCCACCCAATAAAGTAACTAGTGGGCGTCGGGCGATCCGGCATCAAATCAAAATCAGCACTTGGCGCTTAAGGAACCAGATGACGAAGAACAAAAGAGACAAAGCAAGCAAGGGAAAATCCCGACGTCAGACTCGGAGGGCTCACCAGATGACAGGGGTGTACAGGCAGTCGGCGCGCAGCTTCGGCCAGAGCTTGAGCGCGATCAAGAACGGAATGGGCACGAGGAAGCCGATCAGATACGGCCAGGCGACGAACTGGTATCGCTTGCCGCTGGCGAACGGCTTGTGGCTACAACGAGCGCGCGGGGAGAAGGAAATAGTGAGTTGGTGCTGATGGGACAATAAATAATAGTGCAAGGGATAAAAAAGGAATATGTAACTTAGTCCGCCTCAGGCGATCGCTTGCGAGTTGTATCCAGACGTTCGTGCCTTCGACGGACAATAGGACGGCACTTTGACTGTCAATAATGGAATTTATTATGACTGTCAATGAAGGACAATCAGCGTCCAATGAACCGGCTACATACGTCATGCGAGATAATGTGGCGTACCGAAGTTAAGAATGCTCCCAAGCAACGTTCCAATTATTTGAGCGGTTCACGCAGCGCGAGCGGGTAATTTACGTCTGTTGTTGAAGGGTAGGCGACAAAGAAACAGAACCGAGGATCCACATACATTGGGCAATCTTCAGGTCCCGCAACAGCAGCTGAGCCTGAGTCACAGAGTCTGCCAATAATGTCAACCAACAAGACACTGCATATCTAAGTGGTTAAGGGACTCACTATAGCTAAATAGGACGAAGTGCATGTTCGCCATCAGGTTTCCAGGATGAAGGAAACCTCCAATCATCTGCGAAGCGGCAATTAATATCGTACACCCGAAATCATAAAGTGGATAAAAGAAGGAAATTTACCTGGACGAAAGGCTGGATGAGAAATCATAGGCCGGTAATGGCATACAGAGTTCCAGAGAACAGGATCGAAATAGTTGCCAGAAGGTTCGCCACGATGAAGCCCCACCTATGGGCAAATTATAGGTGTGGATCGCACCATGGCAAAGTAGAGTCTGTCTTGCAAATAACGACCAGAGCCATGAATATAGAAGCGACGAGGGTGACGATATAGCAGCTATTTCAAGGAATATCGAATCAGACAAAGGGAGGGCTCTTCAAGTTGGACGTTGTTATAATAGACCGCGACGAAGACGCCTCTGTTCAAACAAAATAAGCGCCCGTCCAGGTTGATCCGGCAACCGAATCGTCTGCTTACGTGCAAAGTAGATATCCAATCAAATAACCCGGAGCGGAATCGCCATGGGGTTAACACCTAAAAGCGTTAATCACCATCAGAACCCGGTCGCCCCACAACCTCAAGTATATTATGATGTTATCCTCACATCCAGAAATAAACTGCCAGTCAAGGCAAATCGATAAAATCCCGAGTCCCTCACTCCCGTTCGAGCCTCCGAATATCCGCGTGAAGGCCTGTGAGCGTAGATTCGCGAGGCAGAAGATGGAGAAACCGGTGAGGCCTAGGTGTGGGAATATCCATTCAGAGAAGAGTTCCCAGATGAAGATGTTGTTCAGACACAGTGTTATAGTCTGCATCATTCAGATTTGGTGAGGACGCACGCGAAGAAAGCAATCCAGAAAAGACGCAGCTTCTTGCGTGCAGGCTGTCGAACGTGCAGACGAGTGAGAGAACGCCGGGTTAGAGCAGGACGAAGCGGAAGAGACCGCCGATCCCGTATCCTGGGTCGAAGAAGTCGTTGCACTTGAAAGTTGGCTGGAGAACAAGAGGCTAAAGCTTACACACAGATGAGAAAATGCATCTCGGTCAACTCGGGCGTTGAGGGGACGTACAAGATGCTTGCTCCTGGATTGGGTGTGACGTCGTATAATAGGCGCTAGACGGCCAGGACTTCGGTCCCGAGAGCAGAATTAGCAGCAGCCCTGGACATGATGACGATGAATGCATTTTCTTTCTTTTTGAAGGGATGCTAGTAACACGGGAAAATTTAGATAAATTTCGACTAAAACTCAGGGAGAATTTCTTGCAGGGTTGAGATAGTGGAACCATCCCCAGGTCGGTCCAGGGATAAAAGTCTCCATTGCGATGCCGATGACGTAGGAAATAATGGCGAGGAACATCGTAGAGACAAGGACAATTTGCTACCCATATTTCATCAGCATATATGTTTGGGAAAGCGCTTACCGCTTTGAAGTAGTAGATTTCGGCTGTATAAAGCTTGTTAGAAGGAAATACAAAGACTCTTCAGTCTTGGGAATGAGCGCTGACCAAGCACACCACCGAACGCAGATAGCCCAATCCCAATAATGAACGACCGCAGCGTCCACTGGTTCAGATTCGCATCGTCGTGCACCGTAATAATATGCGTCGCGATGTCCCGGGTGTCGGATCCTCCAGGAAGTACTACATGCCAGTGAAAGTTAGTGAGCAGGGCTAAGAATGTCCAGATATTTTTTTTAAGTATTCTTAGAAAAATTTAGGGCAGCAGCGGACGTCTGAGGATAGATGTCGACATCGATGTGCTCTATAACGGCGGGACGGCAGCAAGAGCCGGGGACGGGAGGATGTGCGCAGGACCGCCGCGGCCATAATTGCATCAATCAGTAGATGCGTCATCAACCGCCTTTAGAGACTTTGGATAGGTGATGCCTTCGACTGTCAAGCGGAGGGTTCTTCTGACTCTCGCTCAATGATAATTCCCAGGACCTAGTGAGAAAATTGGGAACGTGGCGGGCTTCCAACTGAATCATGAGAGGTAGTTTGAGATGGTTTGGACCGCGATGATGGCAGGTGGGTCGCCGCACATTTTTAGCAATGCCCAAAAGGTGCTAGGCTGAAGAATGATGCGACGATTGAATGTACCGCCTTCCCTTATTATTTCCCTAAGCCAAGAGGAGTGTGTCCAGCGAGCTGAGGAAACGACGGTTGTGGAAAGCACAGGAGAGCACCGCGCCTTCGGTCCCGGAGCACGCAGGCGACGACTCGGCGCGTTTCGACGAAATGAAGAGAGACAATTATCAGAAATAACCGTCATATTGGGTGGCTGGGCATGCGAAATTGCACCGAGCAGTATCATTAGAAGCAGATGGGAGAAATCACAATAGGACAATGGACGTCAATGCCCCAGCATTCGTTGGGATGATACGAATGGCCCAGCTCAGGATGGTCGGCTATGACGCTCATCGCCCAGTGCCCAGAGTCATCGGAGCACGGAAGCGCTCTAGAGATTAACGGTAACTTGAGAATTTCCCCCCTGGCAGAGCGTTCCTGGGACACGGGATCCCAAGAACTTCAAGAGCGGCGAGGCGCAGCGGCGTCGCAGTCACCAGTGTCTGAGTCGACCAAGGAAGAAAATACGGCTTTAAGGCATCCGACATTATGAGCAGCTGCACGTCGGAGGATATTTGCTGGGAAGAGCCCATGTGCGTGAGAGGACTGGGCGGGCTGCGAAATGAGTAGGCGTGGAGGGTGAATTGACGAAAGACAATAAGGTCGGGCTCACGGGGATAACGGACATGCCCATAAAAGGGAATGGCGTGATTTGAGCCGGCTCAATTTCCGGATCCGGTGAGCAGCTCCGATCGCAAAGCCTGCTCCTGGTCCAAAACGTCGAAGACAATAAGAACGGCCGTGCAAAATGTCTGCACAATCGTCTCGCCTCATCTCCTTCCCCCCGACTCAAAATACCCCTCTTGTCGCTGTACAACGCATCTCGCAACCACCAGGAGTGCAGTGAACTCAGCTGTGCAGCACCAGCACACCACAAGGCGCCAGAGGTTATTAGTGTTCCTTGATCGTCTTATCAGGACTTTACAGTGGTATATGTCATCGGGGCGCCCACAATATATCCCCCTCTTACAGATTCTCCAGGGAAGATACCCGCAACCCCTTCACCCTTCGCCCACCATTCTACACGAGCCGCAAAGATGATGTTCGCTGAATTTGTGAGTCCTTCCTCCTCGATCGTGAACTTTGAAGCCTCATTGTCAAAATACAGTCCGCAGTTGGTCATACAGAGACCACTCTGCCGTCTGATGTACGTCTTCATCTTCTTGTCGACTCCTTCATTTGCTGACGTAGCAAGCAGCAATACAAACGGGCAGTGCTTAAGCCGCCCCCTTCTCGATTTTCTGTAGAGTTTCTTTCATCTACCAAAGCTAGTGAGTAACCTCACCCCTGGAAAGAGGCCGGTATCTAACGTCATCCCCTAGACGGAGTATACAACCATGGCATGCGCATTTCGCCCATTACAGCCTTCGACGACCGCATGTCTGTCTCAACACGAGGAACCCACATAGAATACGACATCTGGCGCAGATGGGAAGACTGTCTGTTCCTTCAAGAAACTCTCGAATCCGAATACAGCCGCGCTGCCCGCGAGAAGAAGACTCGCCTTGCCCAAGGGAAAGGCGTCAAGGCCTTCAATGGGTTGTACAAGCAGGACTTCGCATCGTCTTGGGAATCCCTTCCCCCGGGCCCGGACCCCAATTCCGTCGCTCAGGATATTCACAACCACCTCCCCCGCCTGACGAAGAAAGGCACGCTCTTCCGTGCCAGCCAGGCTACCGTCGACCAAAGGCAGAGGGAGTTTCGCCACCTTGTCGAGACGCTCTTCTCCGACGACATGCCTGCACTGATTCAAGAGATCAGAGCAAGCACCATCGTCACGGACTTCTTCGGTCTGTGGCGCAGGGACTACGACAACATGTCGAGTGCGCGCAAGACAAGCCCGTCGACGCGTAGCTCGGTCACTAGCAGCGTCTTTGGGTCGTACTTCTCCGAATCCAGTCCTTCCCTCGCGGGGTCTATTAATGAGAACCCCCATGCGTCACGCCGCTCTCTCGCGAAGTCGCTGTCGCCAAAGAAGACCTCGAGCAAGCACCGTTCGTCCAGTGAACGGCCGCGCTCGTCGAGTGGTTCCACAATTACGGATATCACCGAGGTGTCGAGATACCCAGCGTCGACAAGGCACAGTGGCGAGAGCGTCCGGGCCGAAACGCCGTCGACCTGCAGGCCGCGCCGACGAACAGACTCCAACACCTCTTCGGACTCGTCTTCGACACACTCGGACGGCAGTTCTGACTATGGGTCGACCTCATTGACGTCCCCGTCCATCGTCGACGATGTGCCTATCGTGTTCGGACACAATCCGATCTCGAATGATAGGCCCAGCTCTATTTTGGAGGTCCTCCCTGAAGAACGCGAGATGCTCGCGAAGACACCTGAGAAGTACCTCTCGCCTCCTCTAATGCGACGGACGAGGGTGTCCCCGACAGACCGCAAGACGAACCGAAGCTTCTCTATTGTTGGGTACCCGTCAAGAACACCGTCACCTCAACCCGAAACTGAGAAGAGTAAGCTTCTTCTCCTGTATCCGTTTTCGTCGATCATCTATCTCATAACCTTTCCCATTGTTATATTGTATTCATTGCAGAAGACCGATCTGTTCGCGAATCATGGCACTCCGTCGACTCATCTGCTGACGACATCCTGGAGGGCCTGAAGCTCTCGCTCCCCCACCCCATCAAGGAACAGAAGTACAGGGCGTCAATAGCGAGCATTGCTACGTTCATGACGACCAACTCGGCGGAAGCCATGTTCCCCAACTCACCCACGACCCCGTCGCCCACCTCGTCCCAGGGCCGCCCCCGCATCTCGACAGCTCTTACACTTTCGGACTTCGAGATGTCGCCAGAGCAAGATCGCTCTCGCGAGTCGACGGCGCTTTCCCTTTCGGACTTTGAGATCTATTCAGACATCGACGACGATAGCTGTTCGATCCTTTCCGCTTTCCCAAGACCCTCTTCCTACCTTCCTGCTGGCCGGCGCCCAGACAGCCGCCCAGAGACGCCCGTCGGAAACAGCGCGCGTGAGCAGTCGCTCATGTACGCTTCCGACAGCCCGTTTTCTGCCGAGACCTCGTTCTACCCCCCGCCCTCGCCCACGGCGTCAACCATCTCGAGCTCGTTCACCATTTCTACTGCCATCACCTCCACTACCGCTACCTCCTCATCCACCGCCTCTGGCGGCTCCCTCTCCCTCAAAGTCGCTCATAACACCTCAATCATCATGCTCCGCGTTCCTAGAGAAATTACGCTCAAGGAGCTGCGAGAGCGGATTTACACCAAATTTGTTGGCCAGGAGGGCGTCCCGCTCTCGCGCGAGTTCAGCGTGGCATTTGTACTGCCTACTCCTGGGATGTCGCCGGTGAAGCCGAAGTCGAGGGCGCGCTCGGCGTCGGTGTCGTCGAAGGACAAAATGGAGATGCAGTTCGTTGAGAAGGAGGCGGATTGGGAGCGTGTCGTGATGACCACCGAGGGGAGTAAGGTCGTCCTGAGGATTTTGGACGGGCCAAGGTCGTAATATTTTCTTTTTTTCCTCTCCTTTTTTGTTTCTCTTTTTCGTTTGCCTCTCTCTTCATACCATTTTTTTTTCGAAGCATACCACACACTCATTCTCTCACATCATTGCATAGGAACCTCTCACATACCGCTCACTCATTCCCTTGTTCTCATTCAAGGCTTCGTCTGTTCGACGATTCGTATTCCGGTTTTGGACCCTCCATCACTTCTGTCGTCGCTCTCAGCCCGCTATGCGATCTGATCGGTGATTATCTTCGTCCCCTTCCTCTAATCAGGAAGGCCTTTCCGGTTTCCAACCCTTCGATTTGCCCAAAGTCCCTGTATCCCTACTTACAGAAACTTTCCCCCTAACGCCCTCGTCACTGAATACTGCTCAAGACACTTTTACGATTACTACAAGGAGCTCACAAGTTATGATTACATTTATCAATACAATTATTTGCGTATAGCAACATTTGGTCTGCTTCGGCGCTCCGGATCCCCTTGGGTTTTGAGTAGATGAAGTATCGTTGTCTCACTAGAGTAGAAAAATATTGAGCAATTTCCTCCATGGGAGCAATCATCTATGAAGTAGCATATGTGCTCTGGCACTAGTGCAAATCAGGGTACGCGTCTCGCGTGAAATAGGGCGTCCCACGCGGTTCCACGTATTGGATTGTGGCGCACATTGCGTGAGCGCGCATGGTGGACGCCGAAAGGCTCCGGCCGGGCCGCAGGTGTCAACCACCAACGCCACCACCGACCGGTCCCGAGTTGCCCTCAACTTCAACATCGCTGGCGCAATTGGTCAATAACTTTGTTGAGTTTTGAAGATCTGCCCATCAACACCCTACTGACGCCCTCTGAGTCTTTCTCAGGACCTGCCAAGGGCACAATCTATAAAAGCATGGTCGATTCCAAACACGACCGCGGTCTTTTTGTCCTTTTCGACTCCAGCCCGGTCGCGCCGTACGGTGCAACGCCTTATAACTATCTCTGCATTTCAACGACCCCTCAGCCGTATCCTTTCCTCCAATTGCACCCCGGATTCAACGTTCAACGACGGTTAAACCAAGTGCGGCGTTCCACACGACCCACACAGCCATCACCGCCAGCCAACCGCGCTAAAAGTTCCATTTTCCTTGAACGCCGAAAGGTCACAAGGAAGTATTTCGGATTTGGAGTGCGGCCATACGGATACTAGCGATTGGTTTACCCCCTGGGCGCAGCGCCGAGCGGAGCCGTTGGTAGGTTATATACTCCCTGTTTTTGAATTGTCTCGGTCCTTCCATGGATTAACCTCCCTCCTCGTCACGACAGGTTTCTACCATTGTATTGGGTCTACTGCTTGCTTCAAGTGACTAGCGTTTCAGTCAACGCCTCCCTCCTTTGAACGTTCTCACCAAACGACGGTCGACTCCTGGGTTTTGCTGCTAGGACATCCACGGAATCGACTTCGACGTGCTATGGGAATTGCTCTCGGTCGCTGTTGACTTCCCAGACGTAAATTTTCGTATATACACCTGTTGAAGGTGCGTCCGCGCTCGTGTGCCAACTTTCACCTCGTTTCTTTTGCGCAGCAAACTAACATCCAGTATTTTTGCAGCACGATGCCCGAATCAATGAACAAAAGCCTGTCTGCAGAGTCCTTCGAGGCTTTGCTCGATGCCCTAGGGCTCTCCGACGAAGACTCAACCACGGTTACCGTGAAACCCATACCAAGCTACATCCCATCGGACATGATCAGTCCACCAAGGCCGATCACCCCATTCTCCACAGTGGATTATTCCATCGCCGACGAGGCGCGTTACAGCCTATACGGTCAAGACTACCTCTCCGACTTTGACATCTGGGCAGACATCGAGGATGAGGACAGTGACGGCGACTTTGGTACGTCATTTCCCCCCATGTGAAACTCGCGACCACGGAACGACTAACGGTCATCCCCGCCCCACCTATATTTCAAATTATTTATTCCAAGCAGAAGACGCGCTGCCCTCACGACCAGGCTCCTCTTTCGAGAGCTTTGAGGTGATCTCCGACCCTGCCTACTCCCTTGCCCACCCAGGCCCGTTTCCGCTCAGTCCCAACCCCGACCTAAGCCCACTCTACCAAACGACGTTCCCTCCGGCCTCTCTCACTCTCCAGTGCAACACCATCTTATCACCACCCCCATCTAAACGCCCGCCCGCAACCCCATCTGTCATCTCCATGTCCAGTTCCACGCCCGTGTCTACTGTGTCGCCCACAGCAACGCGGGCGTCGGCGCCCAGCTCTATGCCCACATCCCCGGCATCCTGTAGCTCGTGCTGCGGCGACGACCACTCGGACGCGATCCAGATCAAGGCGGCGCTCAACGCGTCGATCATCATGCTGCGCGTCCCGCGCGCGATCACGTTTGCGGAGCTCAAGCTGCGCCTGTACGACAAATTCGTGGGGCAGGAGTCGATACATCTCTCACACGCGTTCTCGGTCGTCAACGTTCTTCCGCCGGCCTCCAGCACGAGCACTAGCACGAGCACTTCTCCAAGTTCAAGTGCGCAGTCAAGCCCAAGGACGAGCCCGATCGACGGCTCGCCTCCGACCAGTGTTAGCTTGAGCGGCAGAACAACACCAGGGTTAAACGTGAAAAGACCATTGTGGTTGGAGCGCTCGCCTGTCAGACGTCCGAGAGGCATCTCGTTCGCCGAGCGCACGGAGATGCGGTTCATCGACCGCGAGGCAGACTGGCGGAAAATCGTTGCATTGGATTGTGAAGACGGTAACAAAATCGCCCTGCGGATACTAGACACACCACCCTAGACTTTCTTTTCCATTTTTTAACCTTCTGTTTCTAACTTCACCTCGCCTTTTTTCAAGGCCATTTCACTCCTTTACTGCTTCGTTCCCTATGCACATGCTTTGGTGCCTGCTCTATGGCTCTCACTCTCATTTCCACTAGTGCACTACCCTATCATCGCTTTAAGCGCCTGTAGCCCTCTCCGATCTTCGATCCATGTATTCCCTACTCACCTGCCCACTCCTTATCTCCTGGATGTACGACAACATACCGTACATACCAGCTGTACATCTCTCCCAAAATGAACCTCGACGGCGAGTCTGGTTACTACCTCGGGTTCGTCAAATCGTACTCTCCATCTGGCTTCATTAGAAATGGTGGATATAAGATAGCTGCATCTCATTTTAACTTGTTCGTTACATACTACCATTATCTACTATCTATCCTAAAATACCCAAAAATGAAGTATAGGCATCTTGTCAAACACTGTGGTCGGCGAAAGCGCGAGTCGATGCAGCATGTGCGTCTTCACTAAAAGTAGAAGAATGAAACACCATCGGCCATCACCCCAAGGCCCAAGGTACAAAGTTCACTGAAACTCCAATCAGGCAGATGTAACGCTCACAGTGGGCGCGTTAGCATTTGCAGGCGGAGCGCCCATAGGTAGGGGCATCCTTGTCCAATCTGGGAGGATGCTTTTCCTGGGGCCCTCACGCAGAGGATCGTCCGAGACATCCATGCTATCATCTGCCATGTTCTGGCTCTGTTCAACTTCGTCCCATCTCTCGCGGGCAACTTCTGCGCCTCCAGTCTTGAGAGCTCTGCAAAATGTAAACAAGAAAAGAGGATATAAGCATAATGAATAAAAAAACGATAATAAACCAAGATCGAGCAAAAAACCAACGCACCCAGCCAACGAACCCCCAACCCATGCCAACATCGCAGGCGCAAATGCCGGCGCCTTGCCCGCGTTCGCCTTGGCCCTCTCTGATGCGGCCAGCGGCGGGTTCGGGTTGTTCAGGATGGCGAAGTAGGGTAAGAGGGGCCGCACCCCCGCGTATTTATCGTACATAGGCTTCTCATGTCTCGGGCTCGGGGTCTTAGAAGGGCTGGGAGGTGGCGGAGGAGGAGCGCAGGCGCGCACGATTTCGGCGTGTAGTCTTGGAATGAACCCGGGTAGCATCGCGGTCCCGCCTGAGACGAGGATGGACGAAGCCATCGTTTTGCGTAGATCTCGAGGGACCTAAGTGTGTGCAAATGGGCAGTTGAGCAAAAGTACACCCCAGCAGAAAGCAGAAGGCGGAATGGAATTGAAGGTAGCTTTTCAACAGTACACACCTTCAACAACGCATCAAGGACGACCTCCGCCAAACTGCTCTCGTCCACATCTCCTCCTTCAAACAGCACCTCCGTCGCGCGTTCCCTGATCCATCCAGGAATGATCAACGTTCCCCGCCCCGTACCCGTTTGTTGCGCCGGTGGGGGCATAACCCGCATCTGGATGTCCGTAGCCGTCGAGTGGCGCTTGTACATATTCGCAAGCGCCTGGAGGTAGCCTTCGCCCCTGCCCACCCCTCCACCACCAGCGAGCCCGGATGCGTCGCCTGACTGCCTACTTCCAGTGATGATAGAGAACTCAGAGTCGGGTTGCGATGCGCCCCCACCGAACTCGGAGCCGGTGGTGAACGAGCTGTCGCTAGGCGGGATGTCCATCTCAGAGCCTAGGTCGTCGTCGCCTCCGCGCGTCTCTCCGCGCTGCTGCTGTTGCTGTTGGGAGGTAGAGGAGTCCAGGACATCCCCGACGAAGCAGCAGCGTGTTTTGATTTCTTCGACCACTGCATCGGTCAGAACTTCTTGAGGGACGCGAGTGGCACGGTTCGCTGCTGGGACGTTTATTGAGGTGCTAAGGGACGTAGGCGGTGGTAGGTATGTGGCGAATAGTAGTAGCAGGGCACGGAGGTGGGACGTTAGGTGGGAGCCAGCGATCGGTGTTGTCTGAATTTGAGGGAAGAGTGGTCTGGCGGCGAAGATCTGGACGAGAGGCGATCAGAGGAGACGTCAAGAGGAAATGCTTTGCAGCGCACTGGAAGGGCGACGGATTCAAGATGGCCACAGTCTATCACAAGGCCTGTGATCCTTCCCACTGCAAATAGAGACAAGAGATGGCTTGGGGCGAACGACACCGAAGGTACCTGCAAAGTATGAAATAAATTGAGCACCAGGGCTGGTCCACAGAGAGTATACTTGCACACCTGGTTCTCAAATAATATTCTTGCAATGATTTCCTTGATATAAAGAGGCAGCAGCGGGTGCTCAACCAAGATAACCTTGCGTGCCTTCGGATCTGCCAACAAAGAGCTTCAAGTTCATAAATCCAAGCTCCCGAACTCCTCACGACCCTACAAGGAAAAATCAACTTACTCATGAAACACCGATCTCAGACAATCCTCCAGCCTCAGCTCCAAGATCCTGTCCTCCTCCGCGCGCTCAACCGGGTCCACTGCCCTCCTCAGCCTCCACAGCGGTGCGCCGGATGAGCCTCCAGCATAGAACAAGTCTCTTGGCCGCCCTTCGCCACTGAACCCAACTTTCCATATCCGCGAGCCCGGGTCGATGATCACTCTGTCTTCGACGCCGTATAAAGAGTGCCGCCGCGTGGTGGCGTAGTGCGGCGAGGACTGGACGGCATGCGAGATCGTGGCTGAGACGCGTGATGTCGCTGGCGTGGTTGGGCCGTAGTTGTTTCGTGGAGCACGGGGAGTTGCAGGTGATGTGGCCATGTTTGTTGAGAGGGTATGAGGAAGTAGGTTATGAGGGGATCAAGCTGGCCATGGAGAGTGGGAGGATGCTGTTCGTCGTAACGAACGCGAGACTTGTACGGTTGTTTGGCTACAAACAAACAAGGTCTGCCGGGCCGCCTCCCGTTCAGGGGAACTTCTCAGGAAAACGCTCCCATTGAAGATCTAAGTACAGGTATTGACTACAAAAATATGACAGGGATAATATATATGCGCTTCAATCATTGAAGCTGGCGCGACCTAAATCGAGCAGCAAGAATCAGGAGAGCAAGAGTCCAGTGCTCGAATTGCTCTTTCGACGTGAACAACAACGCTTGCGAGATGACGGCCTTTGTGATTTGCGCCGCCATTCCCTACGAAATTGAGGGTCAGAGATATGACGACAAATGAACGAAATGAGATGATCGTTTACCTGGTACCAGCCTGTAAAGCCTTCCCGCTTCCAGACACGGATAAGGATATCCAGGGCCCCGGGATGCTTTCCGTGTTTATGATGGAACTCGTGAGGGTGCGGGAGCTCCTCGTGTAGCTCCTTCGCCGTCTCAGCATCTGCGCTACGAGCTTGGATCCTCACTTTCGCCATGATGTACGGATACGTGACCTACAGCCAAGTGACGCCATGAACAAAGTAAACCCGGGGCAGGGAGATATCGGACTCACAACCGTAGCAAGCGTCTTGCTCAGGGCACCGACAAGGAAAGATAGCCATGGGCCCATCTTGGTCGCTGCACCGCCGCGAGCGATGAGCACTAGACTCTTTACCCGCTCGAAGGCACCGTATGTGATCGCCGGGTTGACGGTTAGGACAAGTCCGGGTTTGAGCCCGAGCCAGAGACCGGTGACGCCTTCCTCCTCGATGATTTCGCGAGCGACACCCATGAACGAGTCATCACTGTACTGGCTCTCGACAGGAACCACACCGTTGACTTTCTTTTGCGGTCGCCCGACTTGCTGACGCGTGGCGATGACGGAGACCGGGATAGTGAATATCTGTGCTAGGGCTCCAGCCACGGCACCAAGAAGCAGCTCGGCAGCTGTCGAGAGAGGGGGAGGCTTGGAGCCCGGGGGAAGCTTCTTCGCTAGCCGCTTGATGTACGACGAGCGGACGAGGGAGTAGAAGAAGAAGTAGGCGTATTCTTAGGGATTCGGTGAGTAATCGGTAGATGAGAGATAACAGAGGGACGCACGCATTGAGAATGTGTTGAGCATGGTAGCCCAAAACCCTCGATACAGTCCACCGACGCCCTCCAGCTTGTATACCCGTAGCAGTACGGAGAACATGGAGAGGTCATCCTTGTTCTTTCCTTTCGCGTCCGCTGGTAGGGCCTGAATACGTGTTTTGGCACTTCATGCAAGTATGAGATCAGCCCATGCACATTGAGCAGCACACATGAGAGCAACATACACATCTAGAGGATAGACGACCCTATGGCACAATCGTATGAGCAACTGATAACCAACAGGAAAGACGTTATGACATACGCAGTGCTGAAGCATCCACCGAGGGCCCCAGCGAGTGCTAAGCCGAACGGTGTGAGCTGCTGGACGGGTTTTGACTGGACAGCCATTAGCTGGAGACGGCGGAGGGTAAGACGGGTGGAGGAGGGAGAGTCGCTTGCATTAAGAGGCTTACCCCGGCATTGTGGGGCAGCTTTCGCCGGGTCTTCGATGTCCCCGCGTCCGACGGCTCAGCGGCGCACGTGAAATAATATCCCGCCATCACGCCCAAATCCGAACAAATCCCCTCCTGTCAATTGCGTTCACTGTCAACAACGATGACGCCCAACCCCAACTTTCCTGCCAACCTCGACATCCATGCCTCTACTGGCACCCATTCACACCTTTCAGACCACCTCGACACGCGTTTCGGCACAAATGCTCAGGAAACCGCGATTCGCCAATATGGAATTGCTGGCAGAGTCTGGTAAAGATCTGAAGACGCGCTTTTGGACACCGTCTTTGATACAACGCCTCTCAGGGAAGCAGCATATGCCATGACGCTCTTCATCATCCCACCTGCGACTATTGAATTCGACCTACCCCTCGTCGACGCGTTGCGGGCAGATGATAGAATCACGATGGTTGAACTGGGCTCTGGCTCAGGTCTCGTTGCGTCTACTGCTGCAAGACTCCTCAAGCCAGGCCGCGATCTGTTTATTGCGACGGACTTGCCCGAGGTGTGTTCAGTTACTATTGAGAAACACCGTGGCTGAGCAGGTACAAGAGGTGTGCTCCTTGCTCGAAAGCAATCTAGCTTCAGATCAAAAGAGCGTCATCGTTCAGCCGCTATCGTGGGGTAACCCCGCAGATGCATCCAGATTGGCTTCTCTCTACTTCACGGATGACGATCCGTTGAGATCCAGGAAGATGACGCATATAATATGTAGCGATCTCGTACGTCTTCGCCTTTTCCGTCCTTGATGGAATCTGAAGCCCTAATGCCGATGGTGCAGGTCTACTTCCCGGAATTGCTAGCCCCGCTCCTTCGAACCTTGCTTCATCTCTCATCGCCGCCTTTTACCTCTCCCTCGGCCACCCAACAGCCTTCTCTATTCATATCCTACAAGATCAGGAGCCTGGCCAAAGAGACTGCATTCTGGTCAGCTTTCGGGCTTTGGTTCGACTTTCAACCGGTCCTAATGAAGAACGGGTCAGAGAAGAGCCATTGGCAACGGTTCGGATCCGACTTTGACGATACGACCTTTCTTTTTGTTGCACACCGTCGACATGAATCTTTCGACTGGAAGGTCCCGTTATCGGATCCAGATCTACTTGGGGGTGTTGGGGCTCACGGTTCAGACACAAGGAAGGGGGATGACACTTTTGAGAATCTGTTATTGATGATGATGGAAGATTAGCTGGCTCATACCACCGTTAGGCGAGTGGCTTCTGTTTTATTCTGGCTTGTTCTCTTTCCTAACGATCCTACATAGACCTCGCCGAGCGTGAAATGCAAACGGTTATAAAGAAGAGGATAGATGTATTTCAACGACCGTGATGGTGCAAGAATCGTTGATTTCCATTCTCAAGCAATCCCACCGCTTTGTTGATATCCACCTTCTGGTTCTTTTCATACCCAGGCCGGCCAGATGAGCGAGTCGTCACTCCAGGAGTTTGCGTTGTAGCGATCGTCACTGGTCGAGAGACCAAGACCGCGTTTTGATCATCCGCCGGTACGAACCCGGCCACCGAGAACCGCAAAGGTTCGAGCGAATACTTTATCATAATAATCATACCCGTCAGTTTCGAGATTGTTCGCAAACCAAGAGAGAAACATAAACATGCTCGAACAGTGCCATGAAACTTGGCTTAAGCTTTCTTGCCACCTCCAACTCGCACCTCAACGTCCATTCCAAGTCCTTGTGCCCTCGATCTTGGATGTCCGGGCTGCGGAGGGTTATGGACAACGCGATGGGAGAGCCGAGGGCGTAGGAGTGCTATCGTGGCCTTCTAAATGTGGATATATGTGACACAGAACGAAGCAGGGACGTACAGATTGTAGCTAGAGGTCCGGTCAGCAGCCTCTCAGCAGTAGAGCGAGTATGAAAAGGCTTGGGGGGGCAGACTCACCGTGCGTTCGACCTCGACTTGGAACGTATTGAACAACGCCCCTTTGATCGTCCCCGGAGCCAGCACTTTCCATTCCTCCGGTTCTGCCTCCGGCCCCACAAACGGACGTCCTTCAGTTGCCGAAGCAGGTCAGTCGTCGTCACTGGTACACAACCGAAGCCTGTCATGAGCCTGCACGGCATCCAGGCCTACTCTCAGCAAGGAGATAATTCAAACGCTGGCGAGCTAACGTCTTGTCGACCTTCAAAAAGCCCTCTTTACCGTATCAACGAGTTTGTGATCGACGTAGGCTGGGCTCGCATGTCCGTCATGCTCGGTGGGAGGCGGAAGGTACCCTTTGTCTAGGTGGTCTTTCTCCTGGCCTCCTTCTCTTTGCCCTTACCCTCTGCCTCGAGTCTCACGGGCACCGGCATTTCGTTCGGCAGGATGGAAGAGTTCTGGCGAGCTTGTCTTCTTTGGCCGGAGCAAGAGGCAACCAAAGGATTTGTTCGACGTTGAAGAAGAGCTCTACGCCTTAACCGATTGCCGTAGACCCCGCCTTGGACCTTTCGTGCACTTCGGATGCAGATGTGAGAATCAAGAAAGCAAGAATTTAGATGTCCTTGCATAAATTCAACAACCCAATTATCAAACCAAGGAAAGCTCACACTGGTTGCCATGCCCTTATGCTCCTCTGGTTTTGAACCCATTGTTAAATAATTCATTCAATTCCCTGCTCACCGTTCAGACTCCTCTCGTACAAGTTACCTGCTAATTCGCCACTGAAACTTGAATGGGCCGCATCCATCCATACGGCGTGGCTCGTAGCCTACAACAAAATATGTGCCATGTGATGTCCTCCAACAAGAATTTCTCTTTGCCACAAACTACCACCAAGAATGAATTAGCAATGACCCAGCTGAACCTCTAGCATGATGCCACACATGAAGATGACCAACTGGTACTTGAAGACAGGGTTCTGGGAGGGATGGCAATACACAGACAGTAAAGTGGTCTAGAAGATCTGGGATGCAGATGTGGCTACCAAAGTTGACAAAGTTGATGGTAGTGAAAGAGAAATCTTGACTGTAGCGATATATACTGTATGATGGCAAAGGAATGTATAAGCAGGGGTGTTGTAAGTTCACCCTTGCGCCCAACAAAATATAATGCTGATGACTAGAAAAGAAGCTATATAGCGAGTATCAACAAGTGGCAAGATTGGGACGATCGCAATGATCCAACGACGAGCAGTTCGTCATCTTTTCAACTTATTTGATTGCTTGTATTGCCGTCGCTGAAGCAAATAAAACGGCCCTTGGTATGCTATGCATCATCCGTTTCTGAGGCCAATCGTACTGTGGTCTACAAGCCATTATGACTTGCTTTCGTCCGCCTCATCCATTCTAACCCACAACCCACCCTAAAAGAACAAGCGCATCAGGGACGAAATTGATCAATTGCAGTCTCCCTCACTCACCTGCATGTATATTGTCAAGTGGGCTTGACGTTTCACCTTCTCCTTGCCTTTCCTCCCCTCCTCGCTTGCCCAGTGCTTTGGTGCATGCGACTCCGGAGGCTGTGCGTCCATGGCCAAAGTGATAGACGAAAAATTCTGCAGGAATCGGATAAGGAAGAAGGATGCTTCGTTGTAGGCGAACTACATTTAGTGTACAGGGTCAAACAAGAGAACGGGATGGGAAGGAAGGAGGATATTGCCCACCTGTTGGCCGAGGCAGATGCGCGGTCCTGCGTTGAACGGGAGGAAAATGAATGGATTGCGCGTCAGATATTTCTGTAGGCGGTTGTCAAGGAACCGATCTGGGTCAAATTCGAGAGCTATGATTTTAACGAGAACGTATGAGCAAAATTTCACAGGCGGTGAGGACCGAGGAAGCTTACCATCCGGGCCCCACAGATCCTTCCGACGCTGCATTGCCATAACGCTATATGCAACCCTGTCGATGAAGAAACTGAGCACTTTTGGAAAGGGTCAGGAGCACGAAACGTACCTTGTATTGGCAGGGATGTAGAAAGGTTTCCCTCCTGGTTTGACCGGCGGCCAGGTCGTCGCCTGCTTGGACATTCTTTGAAGGGCTATTATATTATCCACTGACTGGGAAATAGGATCAAATGGCTTGCCTAACGTTAAACGGTCTAAAAGGAAAGGCAAACGGGGCGGTCAGTTAGTGAGCGAATACAAAATGAATTTCAAGACTTACACGACTGGATAGAGCCTCAGAGTTTCTAGAGCAATTGATTTTTCAAGGTTCGACATCTACGTGGATATGGTAATAGAACGCACCATTTATGACAGCTCGCAGGTACTTCATCTCTCGAATGTCGTCGTAAGTCGGTCGTTTGTTGGGCCCGACTTTACTTAACACTTCTTCTCGCAATCGACGAAGAACTTCAGGGTATTCGGAAAGCATGTATACCACAAATGTCAGAGTGCTTGCGGTCTGAAAGCAAGTTGTGAGAAATAAAAAGCTAGGAAACACAAACGACGTACAGTATCCCGTCCGGCAACAAGCAGGGACATGATTTCGTCTCTGAGAAGGATGGGGTCTACAAGAAATCTCAGTTTGAAGACTCTTATATCCAAACAGCATGCAGACCTTCTGTCGAATTAACCAGCTCTTCGAGCAGAGTATTCCCTTCGTGACCAGCCTTCTTCTCCGCATTGGCATGCTTCCTCTCGATGGCCTCGGCGACGATTGGGTCAATCATGTCATGCACAACCCTCATCGGCGCAACAATTCTATCTGTCCAGAACTCAGCCAATGGCCAATGCAGGCCGAGACGGGCTCGTGACAGAGAGACGGTCTGCGCCTCAGAAAATGCCTTCGCGAAACGCGCCGCCGGGTCCAGCTCAATTGATTCTTCCGAGTCCGAGAGGAATGGGCTCGCTCGAGCTGAGCTTGCGGGGTACGGTATGCGCGAGGCAAGCGAACGGACGTCGTTCCCAAAGAGGAACTCCGTGGCAGAGTCGAGCGTGAACCTGGCAGCCATGTCCTGGATGTCAACCGGGTATCCTTCCCGCAGCCGCAACTTGAGCTGGCAGATTGCGTCCTCTGCGTGGTGCTCGAAGTTGTCAAAGTCGCTAATCCGGTCCTTCGTGAAGAATGGGCGTGTCATTGACCGGTGGAATCTAGATGATTAGAGGTTAGTGTGGACAAGCTGGAGGCACTATTGAATGTTGAGTGCTTACTTCCACAGATCCCCTGCCCGGAAAGTTGTCAGTTATCATTACGAGTCAGTGCAGTCGAAACCTCACCATCCGCAGCAAAAACACCAGATCCAAGGAGAGAGTTGAACACTTCACGGAATTCTAACCCTAGTACACGTTGATTGATCAACTCGTTAACTATGCAATACAAGACGACTTACCCTTCTCAAATTTCTCGAAGCCGGACGCGAGGATAGTCTGCAGGGCGAAACGACAATTTAAGGACCATTGAACAAGAAAAGCAAATTTACGTACCTTCAGGTGTTCGGGTTCAAGTGTTATCATCTATCCGCGTCTCTATCACAAGTCCAATGAACCCCGTTACAGAGACGACGTACTCTGTTCTGGAACAGCAGCCGCACATTGAACACATATCCTCCACAATATTCCACAGTCTCCTCAATGCCATCGGCTATAGAGAATGTTTTCGAGGCATAGCCAACATAACCAATGACGACTACGCACCTATGTAGCCTGATTTCTCTGCCTGAATATCCTTGTAAATTGTCCATATACCTCCGAGGCTGTAGTCGCGGATGTGTGGTGGTAACTGGGCACCACTAGAGCATGCAGCGATGTAGTTCTTGATGTCGTCGTACGTGAGGAGGATTGTGAACAGGAGCGGCCCGCTGAGCAGCACCGAAGTGATCGTCAAGGTGGTGGAAATTTCCCGGCCGAGGAGTACAATGAGAAAGTATGCAGTTAATGGCCCAGCCAGCAGCTGAGGTAGCCTGTGTCCGATGTAGACGAAGCCTGGTGGTATGGCCATCGTGTGTATGGGTCAAGATGGAGGAAGAATACGTCGAACTGAATATGCAATTCTTCACTCCAAGTCCAGCACGCTGACTGACCACAATCAGAAAAAGATCATGAAGGTTTCTGAAACAGAACGGGAAGGCTATACGCATGCCGCTATGTCCAGGGCGCCAAACTCGGAAGTAAACAGTCGTAAGTATTGTTGGAAGAAAAGAAGTTGAGCGACTCGGTGTCACACACCAATGACCGCGTCGCTCAGAGTCATTTGTCCATCGCACCATCATCACTGCTCTGCCTCGCCTCTAGAATTTTCCTACTAGGCCACGACAACATGTCGAATCGACAGATTCGTTTTGCCGTCTATTCGTCTCTGCAGGTCCTAGTCTCCGGAACAATTGGCCATAGTACGATAGGCTTCACTGTTCAGCACGATGCATCTCTCGACCCCAGGGAATGCACCAATCTTCTAACTATAATCTTAGCAGGATTCTCATATCTTCACGCCACGATCTCTGACACCGCATACGAAGGGCACCAAAACTAAAAAGCACATCGTACTCTGAATCTCCGAACTTAATTATACCTCAGCTATTGCCTCCAGAAATAATTGTACCGACATCTTGACGGGTTCTCTCACCCGCAGCACCGCCCGGAGGGTCAGAGGTATACGTATCTATCTTCGACTGCGACTGATATGCAAAGATCCCCATCCTCGTCGAACCCCATTCGAAGCCGTCGATGAGGCACAACGATTCCACCGCAGCTTTGAACAATAAAATTATTCCCATTCCACCACCTCCTTGAAGGTAAAACCCTTCAAGGCCCATATGCTACACATCAAGCCTTCAAACCTCGAGAGCAGGTGAATGATTAGAATGCAAATGCGTCTACAATACAAGTGTGAGGTACGAATGCGGTATGTACATAAAAAATGCATGGCGTGGGGGCCGTGTCGTGATAGCAGGTACGGGCTAGCCGTGGGGTATAAACTGAAGGGTATCGGGTATGTATGTACGGTGCGGTGCGGTGCGAGCGAGCGAGCGACGATAACAATAACGATACAAAGCGCGAACAAGACGGGGCGGAAAAAGATATATGGTGTTGCTACAGCACTTTCTCCGCCTGAAATGGACCGGAGAGAGGAGGGAGAGGAGGAGGTGAGGTGAGGTGATGTAGAAGAGAGGCGATCAGCATCAACGTCTTGTCAACGTCTTGCGTGTGGGGTCGTAAATTAGGAAAGTGAAACAAGGAACAAAAGAACAGAAGGCAGAACAAACAAAAGTCAGTTTCGCGGCTCGCACGAAGCAGAGGGTCCCGATAGATGACAGCGGCGGGGGTGGCGAGAAGACAGCGACAGACGGATAGATGGTTGTAGTGTACACAAGAAAGCAGTGTCGTCGTCGATCGTGAGTCATGAACGAAGCCGGTCGTTCGTACGCGTGGCGTTGTCGTTTTCTTTTCGTTTCGGGGACGTGGGGGGTATCGGTAATCGGTGCATCGTTGTGCGGGGTATAATCTTCGCAGGTCGTGGATGTGTTCGTGGAGGTTCCTAATGAACGTTGGACGGCGGTCGGGCAGGAGGAATTAGGCGTGTGGGCGATGAGTATGTGGGCGAGTGTGTGGGCGAAGAGGAGGTGGACGAATTCGGAAAGCGGGCAATGTGTTAGGATCTTCAGAAGAACGCACCCACATCGAAAGTGGGTACGCGCTCCTCTCCGACGTGTCTTCTCGACGAGTCGTAAGCAGGAGGCGAGTAGGCGTTCGTGCGTGGCCCCTTGGGGTGCATCGTCGCGATCTCGACGGGCTCCGACAAGAGGGCCGTCGAGTCTGAAGAGAAGCCGACCGCTGTGAAAGGGCAAAGGACGACGGCGTACTATAAATATTAAATTCGAACACAAGAAATCAAAAATCAGCACGGCCACAAGTCAGGCAATATGACAGAAACACCCACCGAGATGCTAAAATGCCCCATCTCACTCGTCGGCCTCAGATCCTTCTCCAAGCGAATCTCGCCTTCCAAATACCGCGTATTCGAATCCGAGTGTGCGTCCGCCGCCGTCGACGGCCACCAAACGGCCCTCCCCGTGTCCTCCATGGACTCGTTCCATGCGACGTCCTGACGTGATGATGATGGCTTGTTGTAAAACCTCACCCGGCGACGCAAAGAGAGTGCGATGGCGGAGGGCGTGCAGAGGAGGTCAAGGGCTTGGGGGGAGGAGGACTCGAGTGTAAGGAAGCAGGGCAGGACGGTCCCGCGGGCGTAACAGAGCTATTGACGGAGGTGAGTGGAGTGGGGGGATGGATGGATGCGCATATACTTACTGGTTTAGCGAGCGAAAGCTGAGATTTCATAAAGAGAAGAGATATTGCGCTTAGAATGGTCAAATTCTCCAAATAAAATGAGAATACTTACTGTGCACTTGGCCTCAACGCGCTGGGTCCTGAACATCATTCCTCGAACCAAAACCGGTCTTAGCGTCTTCCATCCCTCCGGATCCGTGAACGGCCCTGGCAGCGGCAGGAACTGCTGGTATGCCAGCTGCCTCAGGAGCGAGGGCGGCTCCGGCCTCGTACTTGGCACATATCCAAACGCAGTCTTTATCCTGTTATCCGCCCGCAGCTTGCCCCGCGAGAGCACGATTGTCAGATCGTACTGCACGCTGACCTTGGTGTGTCGTTCCAGGAAAGTCTCTGGCAGGCGGAAGGGCCGCGTCTCGCCGGACCCGGCGGGCACGTTGACTGTGCGCGGAAGTGGGATGGACAAGGGCCAGAAGCAGTGCCCGACGAGCTTGTTCGCGGAGGCGCCTTCTGAGGGAGAAGGTACGCGTGGAGCGTCGGGGGATTTTGACCAGATCGGCTGCGTGTGGTGGAGGAAGACGAAGGAGTCGTCGATGTTCGAGCCCGTAATAATACGGCCAGTCACCTGCAAATTCCAGTGTCAAATACCACCCAAGAACAGTCAGACACGTATGATACGCACTACGACAGTGATAGCCTGTATCGAGTCGCCCCTCACGGCGTCGACCTCCAGCTTCCCATTAATATTCTCCTTCTCAAAGAACGTAGGCAGCGAGCGCGCAGACTTGGCGCTGCTGTACACTCTAAGCGTGATCCACGGCCTGTTCTTGCCTTCCGCGCTCTGGAACACGTGCTCGGTGGGCTCGCGGCGCAGCCCTGCGGGTATGGGTTGCGCGAGGGTGTTGCGGCGGGAGTATGCTGGGAGCTCATTGGCGGCAGCGGAAGAGGCGAGGACAGACGATGGTGCCGGACCAGGTCTGGAGGAGAAGCGCCTGTACTGGGGCGGGGCCGACGCGTCCATGAGGAAAGGAAGAAGAAAAGGAACGACGAGGAGAAGGAGAAGGAGGGCGGGGAGGGGGAGGGGGTACAGAAGCAGCCATGGTGGTGGTAGCCCTATAAGGAGCGAAGGAGCGCCGGGCCGGGCTAAGGACACTTCCCACGGCACTAGAGGCTGGCTGATGCTCTTTTGTCTTGCACATCTGCTCTCCACGCTCAGGGCTCCCTCATACCGTATTCACTTCTTCAAAAGACAATAGTCAACCTGTCACTCAGACTCAACTTCTTCGGCAAATGCAGCAGCCAGAGTACTAACGGCATTATCTGCTATTGTTCCCTTCATCGAGAATTCCGCTGATTCTGACCGGTGCGTTCAAAGCTCCCCTCGCGCCTTCACTTGACCGCCGCTCTTACACAGCTTATGACGACCATCAGCACCGCACAATTACGAGCGCTCAGGTTTCGAAAGCTTGTATACTATTGCCCTGATCGTTACTATTACATACCGTGATTCTAGGGACTACATGAATACATGAACCACGCCGAGCCTGAGATACCTCATGCAAAGTACACTACAAGTACATCTCGCGAAGCGTCCGTACATCACTCGCAGACATTACAACAGATCCACCGGACAATAAACACCACCAGCACCACTGACGACGAGGGCTCAAACGGACCCGCCTACTCCATCGCAGCGAACGTACGAGGCGCAGCCACGCCCATCGCGTCGGTATCGTACCCAGGCGGCGCGCTCATCCGCGGGCGCGGGCCTGGCGCGTACGCCGTCACCACGCTCACAGGCACCTCCAGCAGCTGCTCGCTCGTCTCCGACTCGAAGCCTACCGTATCAAACGGGAACAAAACGACCGAGTACTTTGCCACCAAAGATCAGCATAATTAACCTAAAGAACCACCGGGAAACGCACCTCGATCCTAAAATGCGCCATCGCGCTCGACGGCTTCGTGTCGCTCCTCAGATGCAGTTCCCCATTCACGAACCGCCGCTGGCCCCGTCCATGCCCGCCATGGTCAGCATCCTCCGTGCCCTCGCTCGACGCCCACCACACGGCCAGCTGGGAGTGCTCGATAGAGTCCCGCAGCGCGAACGACTCGAGCGTCTTCTCGGGGTTGATATGGGACTTGACGCGCCGCCGCAGGCGGACGACAATCGCCTTGGGTGCGGCAAGCAGGTCGAGCGCTTGCACATCCTCGCTTGTGAGCTCCATACAGAGTGGGATGATGGAGCCGCGCGTGTACGTGAGGGGTTTCGCGAGATAGAGCTGTCCGGACGCGTCAATGCACGGTTAGATCATGGGAGAGGTTGAAAAACCAATATCCACAGTCCGATTATGCAGCACCTTCCCCTGAACCCTCACCTCCTCCGGTGCGTACCACCCCTCCACATCCACCGTCGGCCCAAGCAACGCGCTGCCCTCTGCATACGCCATCCTCCTCAGCTGCGAGAAAGCCGGCGGGCGCGTCACCGGAATGTACCCAAACTGCGCTGGGATCCTGTGGTCCCCTCTCAGCAGCCGTCCCCTACCCACACGAAGCACGATTTCGTACACGACACTCGCGCGCGAATGCCGCTCGTTGAACGTCTGTGGTGGGTGGAACACGCCGACCTCGCCGCGCGCCCCGTAAGGGACGACGACTTCCTTGGGCAGGTCGAGCGCGAAAGACCAGGTGTACGTTCCTTGGAGCTTGTCGGTGAACTTGGGCGGGAGGCCTGTGGGGGCTGCTTGTACGGGTGGTGTGTCCGCTGAGGCGGCAGTCAAAGCTGAAGAGTCCGGGCTTGAAGACACGGGCGTGTTGGACGAGTCGTTCGAGCCGCTCGGCGTTCCATCCACACTGGTACTCGCCCTCGCACTGCCTGTACCACCTGCATCGTCCGTCGTCCCACGCGGGTCGCCCATACTGGGGCCCCATAGCGTGTGCGTAAGGTCGATAAATGTCAGCTGGTCGTTCGGATTCGCGCCTGTTATCACCTGGCCCTGGATCTGTGCACATAGAAAGAGGGAGGGAGATAAGATGAGAGCGTCAGTGTAAATATATGCGATTTTTTTAGATCATCCCGAGAGGATACACGCGTCTGAGGGGAGAAAACGGGAAGAGCATGTGGGGGGCGGTATGGGGGGCGGCGGAAAGATGGTGGGCTAGCGCTAAGGAAGGACGCAGACGGACGGGAGAAGAATGAAGGGGTAAACGCGGTGAGAGATTTGGACGGCCGAAATATGCCTATCCCGTTGACGTCCTCGAGACCCATATGACACGGGACCAATATCAGATCAGAGCCTAATCTTATACTCCGAATGACACGGAGGGAGTACCTGCCCGTTCAATGTAAGCACGGCACGTCTCCCAACGCTGCCCTGCAGAACATTGAACGCGTCAACGAACCACCCAGCCCAAACCCCGCGCCCTCCAAACACCACGAAAAACGAACACCACACAGCGAACAACCAACCCACCTGGACATACACCCCAAGCACGCTCTCCGGCCTCTCCAGCCTCAGCTCAACCCTTCCTTTCACCTTCTCCCCCTCCACGAACGTCGGCATGTGCTTCGAGAACGCAGCACCGCCATACGCAGTGAGCGTGAGACATGCGAAAGGCTTCCCGCGCTTCTTCAGCTCGTAGTAGAACTCCTTGGGCTGTGTGGTGGGGCGTGAAGTGCTGTTGCGAGAACGTAAGGAAGCGGCGTGGTTGGGCCCTGGGGTGTAGGCGGGTAAGGGCGAGGTGTCGGGTGGGAACTCGGGGGAGAGGGCGTCGAAGTCGAATGTAGAGGAGGATGTGGATGAAGTGGGGTCGAAGGGCGGGGGCATGGGGTCGGAGTAGGATGGGGGCAGAGGCGAGTTGGAAGCCGACGGGGCGAAGGTGGCTGACATGGTCGCAGGTCGCAGGTGGCGCGGTGAGGAGAAGAACATTGCGAAAGGGCGTTCGACGTGTTGAAGTCGAGGCTGACCAACCCAGATGGTGGTGAGAGGAAAGGATGCTCCACTGCACGATGGCTAACCGAGCCGATCCCGGGCCAACGTTATCTTGAAGGCTTCAATCTGCCAAATGCATCATCGTCCTCAGAGTCGGTTGCGTCGACCATGTGTACGAGACAGCAAGGTAGCACGAACCCTGCAGCCTCTCCTAAATGGAGGCTCTTACACAATTTCAGCAACCCAATACGGCCGATGCCTAGCAGTGGTGGGAATGGGTACGGTGGGCGGCGGTGATTCGGTAGTCAGTCGCATGTGGTGGTATGAAGCAAATCTGAAGTATGTGTCGGCTAAGCTAGGTCCAGTCAGCCTCGGAAGGGCATGACATGAGGGACAGTAGAGGGCGCGTTATAAGGAGTTAGGGTGCTGCGCCTGGCGATAATGATCTCGAACAAGACGAAAGGATGGCGGAGGGCATGAAATACCCTGCGGAGTCGCAGAGGAGAACCAAGAGAAGTGGGGAATAATGATAGAGCACTTATAGTAGTTGAAAAACCTCGAGGAACCGGCCGCGCGTCGCCATCGTTAGCATTTTGACAAATCAGGGACACATCTTCTCTACCCTTTCCCTGGGCCTTCCGAGAACCCAGGTACAGGTCGAAGGGTTATTCTCGTTGAATCCTAAACTCTAATCATTGCTCAGGGGGTTTGCGTCGTACCAATATTGGCTCTCGATATAGTATTTTTATCGTCATAAAAGGAAATTCAAGAGCGGAGGCAGAATTCATACACCACGGCGGACCGAGGAACTTATGTAACGAAGGTATATAGATGAGACATATATTCCTAGATAGACTGTCGAAAAGATCGTCCCGGGCGACCTCGGTGAAGTTCGAAAAACCAAAACGGAGTAAGAGGTAGTAGCCAGTAACTTGAAGGCATTTATTGCGACAGGATTGAAGACGGAGTCCTGTACGGCTTGCATCTTCATTCCGTTCCCAGATAACGAACCTTCAGCGGCATATGTGGCCGAACGGCGTCGCGTTCAGTGGCAGGGGAGGCTACGGCGTTCATTTGCCAGAATATCTCTTTACCGTCCGGTAGCGAGAACTCGAGGTCTTCCACGAGAAGCGCAAGGACCGCCTCTGTCAGGGAAAGAGTCAGAGATGTCCGCGTCGAATGGAAAGGAGACCATACTCATTTCGAGCTGAGAGAACTTGAAACCGCTGGGTTTGAGGCATTTAATCAGCAACATGGAATCGAAGGAAGAGAAGATGGCTTACATGCACGACCGGCCACCTCCAAGGAACGTCATCCTATCGAAGACTTATTTCAGCATGCAATGGTAGTGGGAATTCTCAGCACTGACAGATGCGAGTAGATACCGGGAATGCGAGAGTTGACCAACGACTCCGGGAGAGGATTCAGCCATCTCTCAGGCTTCCACTCCAGAACGTCCGGGCCCCAGAAGTCTGGATTCCTGTTCGAACCGAGGATAGATATGAAGATGTCTGTGCCGTTGGGTACTTCCAAGGACGTGATATCGGTACCGTCGATGCCCTTGATGGGAGTCGACAGTGGGAGGATGGCGTTGGCGCGGGCGCTGCAAGAAACCAAATCGCTTGAATAGAGGAACAAATGCTCAGCGCTGATAGACGTACGCTCTGTGCATGACGGCTACTGGAGGATACCTGTCCAGAGAAATGTTAACGGGTAAGAGATGGCGACAGATTTGAGTACGAGAGACGAGGCGCACAATCTCAGAGTTTCTCGGCAAATAGCGTCAAGGTAAGGAAGGCTGACCAGCGTATCGTATGGAAGGTCTTGGCCACCGTGTTCCTTGCGTGCCTCCCTGAGCTCCTGACGAAGTCTGTCTTGCGCGTCTTTGTGTAAGGCTAGGATGTGGAGTGTCCGAGTGAGAGCACCCGAGGTCGTGTCAGTTGCAGCGAACGTAAGGGATCTGGCATTATTAACAACTGGGGGAGGATAATCGCCTGGTACAGACTCACGTAACCTGCCCGAGGAGCTCCCTCTCCGACAATTGTTCCTCCTTTGGCGCAAACATGTTGGCCTTCACTAGTAGTGATAGCTTGAGCACAAAATCAAAGAAAAAAAATCAAGCAAAAGCGTGACGTACTCAGGATACTAATCACATCCTTTCCTTGTCCAATTTGGTCCTTCATTGCCTCATCTCCAGCAAGGATCAACTTCTTCTTCCCCTCGATGATCTCGACCGACGTCTTATGCAACGTATCCACGATGAACTTGATGTCGTTTATCCCTTTCGACGGAATCAGGTCGACGAGGAACCGCCCCAAGCGGGGCCAGCTCGCGAATTTCCCGACTAACGGCATGAAGAGCCCACGCAGCGGTGTGGTTTCTGAGGCTAGAGGTCTGTGGCCGTAATTATAAACCTCAGGGGCGACAGCGTTCGCGATTGCGCGGCGACGTACACGAGCATCTTGCCAGCCACACAGTATTGGTGGGGTTCCGAGTCCTCGCCGAGGGCCTCGAATGAGTAACCGAGGCCACTTTGCCCGATGAGCTCCAGAGCAAGGCGGGTCATCCAGTCGATGATGTCGATCTGGAAGATGTTCATGCGAGGCCATTGATAAACGATCCTTGGAAATTGTTTGTGGAGTACGCACCTCCTGGCCACCAGGTCGCTTTGCAATTGTGACGAAGGTGTCGTGCACGCGATGGCTAACTTCGTAGAAGATCGGTACTGCGCGAATGCCTGTGTGAGAGGTATTAGACACTCTGAGAATGTTCTGGCGTACCCATCTGCCGCATGTGCGCAATGGAGAACACAGGATTGAGCAGCTTTCTCTGGAGACGATGTCTCTCGCCTGAACTATGTTGAGCGATATTAACTAAGACTCTTGCTGGAGACGGAAACGCACCGAGAGACCAGTTTACTCTGATCTGGAAAGAGACTTACTGAATGAACGTTTCTGTTTCTTCATATATAGCCTGGTCCTGTGGCGTTTTTGAAGCGCTGAGGCGATACGGTAATGAAATGGAGTTTACCTTCAGCAAAATATGCGTCAGGGCCTTTGGATCATGGACGTAGATGGCATTCGCCTATTCAAGAAAGCACATCAACGACCACCCTTCGTTAAAGTGTTTTTTATGCAGAACGCACTCCGAACAGTCCCTTGACTTTGACGACACCACCATCTATAGTCGCCGTTTAGTAGCCGAAAATAGAAATCGTAGGCGCCGACGCACAGTTGTCGAAGACATGCTGGTGGAAGTCCCAAGCGTACTTATTCGCTAGCTGTCCTAGAGAGCCTGAGTCGAAGTGGTGAATAAGGATACTTATGGCCACCGTGGTTGCAAGGGACAATTATTCACCTGTGACGAACGACTCCGGTGTAGGTCCAGGCAAGTTATCGAGGCTCTGGCGAATGACGAGGCGTCTGATAAGCTTCCAGCCTGTCAACAAAGCAAAAACAAGAGCGACGCCGCCCAAAGCGTGGTACGGGGAGGTGAAATCGATGTTTTGCGGTGGTGAGAGCATACTGAGAGGGCTATGCTAAATTGTTGAGCATCGACTCCTGCTCGAGTTGATATGGACTCCGTGATGGATGAACGGCCCTATGCGCATAAGCAGTATTGCAAAGTTTCCCACATATTTAGGCGGGCGAAGAGAATCAGAGAAGCACTCCAGCCTGAATGTCGGAATTTCTAGTGTTCGTGTGATGATCGCTTCTTTGCAGTATTCACTACTGATATTTAAACTAGAGTAAATTGCCGCCGCTGGCGGCTCACGCCTTGCTTGCCAACAAATCTCATGACTGTGTATATTTATTATTGACGGACTAAGAACTGTTTACAATAATTGTAAAGGTAGCCAATGCAGACAGTTAGCATAATGGCAAGTACACAGCTAACCATGGATCTAAAGTCAATAATATCTACCCCAGAACAGATGGCCAGTTACCCCCCGTAAAGGAGGACTGACCAGTCTTCATACCTTTCAGGAAATGTAGGCTGTCTTGGTTGGCGATTCGTCCACGCGCTCAAACACGGTCTCAGGGTAAACCACTGGCCAGGTCGAGCACCTAAATGTGAGCATCAGAATGTAAGAAATGGTCATACTTGTGATTTATTGACGAGATGAAGACCCACCACTGGAGTTAGAGGCAGGATTAGACCCATTAGCCGCGAACTCGAGTTTCTGTTGTGGTGGAATTAGAATGTCACCCACCTAGCAAAATTGAAGGGAGGATAGACAATTTCCGCCTGTAGCAAGGCGAATTCGCGATGCACTTTGTTGTCCCAGCAAACCTGAAATCTACTGCGTCAGCTCAGATTTGTCAGGCAATATACAATGGGTTTATGACGTCTGTTACACTGGAGCCTGAAGGAGCGACGAGGCATATCTGATCTTGTCTGACACAACTTTCTCCAGAATCTTTGGCAAGGTGCAGTGAACGCCGATCACCTGGAGATCCTTCATCTTTTAATCGGGGAGGACTCATGGAGTTCCTTGGGATGATGCATTACCTGTGAATATTTGAATGCCCACCTTCGGTTGAAGCGCCACTGCGCCAGCCGCCACCTCTCCTGGTCAAGTTCACGCAAACGCAGGCCACTCGACTTGAAGGGTTGGACGAATATCTTATCCTGGTCGAGCCGGTGTCAACAACCTGCCATATCAAGGGGTCTGTAAGGGGTAAGAAGGAAGCAACATCCACTTACTCGTGGGTATTGCGATACCACCGACAGAGAGGCTTAGTCTATTCAGTCTCGAAATGGTGCTGTTACGGAGTTTGGGGCGGGAAGTGAGAAGCAGCGTGACTGTGCTTGATACAACTTACAAGAGGAGAGCGAGAACTTGGTGACCCTGACAGTGATAAGGATAAGTATTTTTGAGTCACATGCGGCTCATTTGTTGAGATGTCGGAATGCTGGTGTGCCCGTTTCTCACGAATTTTGACACTCCCAGAACCCTTGCAAGCAAGGAAATCTTGGCGACTGGCGGCCTCCCTATTTGAGTAAATACAAATACCGTATTACCGGAGACCAAGCGAGTCTTGAGTTTACCGAGCGACTAATGAAGACTGCATGATAGGTGGAAAACATGACACGGGTGAGACCTGAGGCCTGAGGCCTGAGGATTCACTCACACTGCTGGCAGGGCCAGCTGTTATTGTCTCCAAAATGCAATCTTCTGATTTTAAATATTAGGCTCTCGAAAATGTATTTCCTTTTGGAGTACCGTCGGTACTCCATTTAGGTTTTCGGTACTCCATATAGTAACGCATTTTTGAAGCTCTAAAATTTGAAATCAGAAGATTGTATTTTCCCGACAATAGAGAGTTTGTGCAACAGCCACAGAGCCACCCCGTGGCTGATTTTCGTTGTGCATGACCGTATAGCCACAGGTTCGCAGAGGTAGCTCTACCCAAAGCTTTCCTCGATAGTCTCCCATTTTAATGGAAATATATTATGGACATTGAAGCTTGGTATTGGCAAAGAAAACTCAGACCCTGCCAGCACAAAGGAGGGAGAACTGACGTCTCACCCCGGAGCCACGGGTGGCTCGGCCCGAGGAAAAAAGTTTGTCTCTTTGAACCACGCTCCCCTGCACATTTCTTTGGATACTGTCAAGTACCCTTTCAGGAGTCCAACATGTGTTGCTAGCATAGTACATATGTCTATAGAAATTCACTGACTACCGAAGGAAGGAGCAGCACAATGAAATTCAGCCACGGTGTGGCGCTGTGGCTGATGCACAAACTCTCTAATAACATCTGGCCCTGCCAGCAGTGTCAAGGTGATGGTATGGTTTCAGATACGGATACTTAAGCGTTGTCGAGGTGACTCTCGTAGAATATGCTGGACGGTGCTCTTGATACACCATTCACCGCAAGCTCATTGATATTTATCTAGAAAACGTCTGCCAGTAGAAACTTATGACGAATCACAAAGATGATGCTACAATACAACCAAATGAGAAGCCTAGCGCCGCTTCGGTGGTGGTGAATTAGAGGCTTCTTCCGTAGCCTTGCGTTTGACTCCCAGCCCAAAAGCAACTTTAGGACGTTCAGTGGGAACAGGTGTGCCACCCGATGAGGGGGTTTCGACTACGGTGGAAGATATACGAGAAAATCCAGCTCTTGGAGCAGGAGATGCCGACGCGGAACCAAGGGGCGTAGTTCCGTTCGAGGTCAGGTGGAGTGAGGGGGCGGGGACTGTCATGAAACCAGTATCAGCAGCTTGCTGAGCATTCTTGCCTTCCTTCTTCTTCTTTGTCTTCTCTGTCTTGCCTTTGGCGAGTGGTTGGGCATCCAGGAAGTCCGCAGCTTGCGGGACAGCACTAAGAGAAAAAAAAAGTAATTAGCTTGTATTCACCCAACGAAGGAGATAGTCGAGTACCCACCCTCTGTTTCCAACAGACAGCACAAAGTGCGCCTGACCAGTCTTTTCTTGCCTCTGCTGAAAAGCCCTGTTCATGCTCAACGGCGTGTCGCCACTCGCCATAGCTTCTTTCTTCTTCTCCTCTGCAATCTTCTTTAAGCGTTTCTCAGTCTTCATCTTGCCCGACCCTTTTCCATGGAACTTGTGTGAAAGCGCCTTCCATGCCTCCTTTGGCGTTAACGTCCTACCGAATTCATCGTAGTAGACGATATTCACATCTGGCTTGTAGTTCTTGAACGCTTCCATGCTTCCTCGAGCCTCCTGTTGTTCGCGCAGGCGGTTCTCGTACTCGCGTTGAGCCTGATCCTTGTTTCCGCCACGGGATTGCAACCTTTCTAACTCCCTCTGAGCCACACGCCGTCGCTGGTCTGCCAACCAGAGATCCCGTTGCTTCTGAGTTTTCTCCCGCTCGATTTGATCTGCGGTGGGCTGTGCCAGGATGCCTTGTTGGCGGAGGATGTTAAGAGTGGAGGCCATACCAGTACTGAATGTTTGCTCAGATGATGTGCCGATGTCCGCCGCTCCCTCCACCGCCGCCTTTTCCTCAGCCTCAGTCTCCTTGATAGCGTTCTCGATAGCATCGAGCATCTCCATGTTATAGTCTTCTTCTTCCTCCTTGACTCGCACCTCGCCAGCCTCCAATTCGTCAAGTGCCACATCTCCGGGTGCCATCGATACATCTCGTGATTTGGACCGCTGCCTGGCAGAGTTTGGCGCTTCTGAAAGTGCGGGTTCCCTTGCTTCGCGTTTAGGCTTCACGATGGGGTTACTGCCGACAGCTTGCACAAATTCGGAGGTTTCATCGAATGTCAGCCCCCCGTCCTCTTCGTTCTCAGGATTTTCTTGTTTGACCATCGTTTCACTCTCAACCTCTTCTTGTTTGACTCGTTGGGCGGCAACTATAAAGGGAGTCAGGGCTTGGGCGAGTTTACGGAGAGAATGGACTTACTCTTGCTCGCCAGTTCCTCAGGCGATAACTTCTTCGTCTTATGGAGTTTGGCCTTCCGAGAACGGGCTAGGGCTTCCTGCAGGTCGTCGTCGTCCACAAAATTAATGTCTAGGTCTCGAATTCGAGGAACAACTCGTTGATCGACATCCATGCTGTCTTCAGCTAATTCAGTATCAACTGGTGCTCTCCGACTCGATCGCTTTTTCTTGGTCTAAAAACATCATAGATTAGCATCACAATACGTGAAACGACACCTGAAAAACCTACTTTTGGTTTCTTGAAACCAATTTCTCCTTCCTGAATGTAGTCGTTGGTTTCGATGTTCTCTAAAGAAAGGCGTTAGAACTGGTGTTGCAAGTACAGTCAATTCAAGCTTACTAGCGTAATCTATCGACAGCAGTGACTTGTTAACAGAAGCAGCTTCTTGCTGTTTCCGTGCCTCTTGCTGTTTCTGACTTGAAGTCATTGAGCTGCCCAACCTGAAATCCTGGAAGAGGACATTAGCTTAAAGGCGAATCGACCACGAAGGACAGGGGTAATTTACAGATTGACGAGATCCCTCGATATCTTCGTCATATTTGGCAAGGATGGAGCGCTTCATAAGACCCTGGTTGCCCTCTGCGAATTCGTCGTCGTCATACCCGGTATAGTCGCGTTTCTTAATCTTGAGTTCTAGACGTTTCTTCGTTCTTTCCTCTTCCGCCATCTCAACGTTATGAAGTTCGTCCTCTAGCACGGAAAGCCTGTTAGCATTGAAAAGATGAAAGTAAGCAAAAAAAAGCACCATCGTTATCAAGAATGCGGCTATCTTTCAAGGTGAGTATCCGGGCATCGCCTTCGTCCATTCCTTCAAAGTCATGGCTAACCTTGAGGCCGACAAGGTCGCCTAGGTAAGATGGAAGGAAAGCAATTGAGACAAGGAAAAAATGAACTAGTACTAGCCACTCACGTTCAGTGTACTCCGCTTCAAGTTCTTTGTCCCTGTTCTCCAGCTCCTGCTGTCGTTTTTTTGCAAGCTCTCGCTCTTTTTTCTTGTTTCGTTTGATCCATTTCAACGTATCATCGACATCTTCCTCTGCGTCACCCAAAGTTGCTCCCTTTAGTGATGCATTGAGTTCCCGTCGATTCCGCACCCTGTCGAGGCAGAGATATGAGTATCGAAGTACTCTCAGGTCCCATAGAAGAAATTTGCGGGTCTGGGCAGCCCAAAAAAACAATGAAGCGAAGGGTATGGATGAATAACGAAAGGAACTCACTTGGCTATGTTCTCCTGCACTTTCCTAAAAGCGAAGATAAAGGTTGCAATTAGCATTGAGAGGCGATTTCTAGAATAATACTTACTTTGCCTGGCGCTGTGCCGCCTCCTTCTCCCGCAATTTGGCATAGTTATCCTCAGCTTGTTGATCACTGGAAAGTGCGGGCGCCTTATCGTCTGTCAGAGGCTTTAAACCGAGTGAGATACGGATCTTGTTGGTCTCCTCCAAGCTGATGCTTTCTTCCATCGACATGCTGAGAAATTGCGAGTATGCAGAGGCTAGAGGATGGTGGTTGTGAGCAAGTTGCTGATTGACTCACTGTGGCTTGTGACGAGCCTCAGTCGTTACATAAGCAGACTATCCAACATTCTCCGGTAGCTGGTCCCAAACTTGTTCCTCCACCAACTCTATACCTGATCTCGCGAAGTGAGAAGATGGCCTCCCTTGCTGCACCGTTTCAGCGAACCTTTCGCTACCTGGTAAATAAATTTCAATTCCTAAATACGCACACATAAGTATTCACCGCTTCGACTCAGCAACGTCAAGCCCACGAGAACCCCGTCATCTTCTACTCAGTAATTATTGGATCCATTGGACCTGTTATGGTAGTCACGATACCCCCAATTCGCGAACGCCTCGGATACCAGCCAGCGGAGATGATTCCAAGGACCTACCCTCGTCCGTCAATTTGGTTACTCTCGAATTCAGCCTGCTAACAGTATCACACTGACACAGTTCCTAATCGCCCGAGGAGGCCTACGCAGGGCTATGAAGATCCATGAACTCTTAGACGTTGTTAATCATCGCAAACTGTAGACGCCAACACTATGAGAATGGATTCATATAAATCGTCGTTCGTGGGCATCTCCTTTAGTGACTTGGTGCTCAGGCAGAGCGCCGAAGACCTAAGCTTCCCCGTTATTGAGATATTCTTGCCTATCTTTTTCGGTGAGTCTCCTCACTAACTCGAAGAGCTCAGACTAACACGTGTTAGAGTTTGAAGAATTAATTCTATGCTACACTAACAGCTCCGATTCGCAACGGCGCATAGCTCTGGAAGAAGAGAATATCTCTCTACCAACGCAACCGACAATTTCAGATTTGTGATTTCTTTTGGAACTCGCACCCTGCTGAAAATATCAGACCAAGGCCTGGTTCGTCGATGCGGCGACAATACTCTGGATATTTCTCAACATCTCGAATTTGATCTCCATTGAAAGAGACAAATCGTTCTCTTCTCGTGTTTCTTCCCCACTCATCAGTGTCTACTTTACAAGGGCTTCCCAGCGATGTGTCATTTCTGAAATATCGTATATCCAGGTCCACTTCCTAACCGGCCTATCTGACGGAGGAGCTGTTGTTCGTTGCAACTACAACTAATTCTCTGCTTCCTTGCTCCAGATTCGGGCATGAATCAGACAACAACCGTCATACCGAACCAGTCGTGTCGTTCTTCGTTTGAACGAAGACCCAAACCTACATGCATAAGATGTATGATTGAAGTAGATGTTGCAACATGCTGATGGTACGACCCGATCTTCTTTTCTCCGCGAGATTGAAGAGTTATTTTAGACCAGAGACTTTGAAACAAGTGAACTTCGGCTTCGGGCACCTCATGCTACCATATAGAGCAGCCAAGCAACCCTCCATTGAACTAATTATAAGTGTATAGGCCTACACGATAAGTCTTCAGGCCTCAGTCTCCAGAATTGCCTCAGTCTCCAATATCTCACGCACTTGTGGCACAGGCCGTTTTGTTTTGCCTTCGTTTCAAGCCACTGCTGCTTGTCTTCCCCGGATTTGCGTATCTATCGCTACTTACATCCTCGAACCTCCATGAAAAACAGATGCTTTGATTTTCAGGAGATTGATGGCCTCGGGTATGATTATGTTCATGTTGGAGAGTCCATGTGGTACGCAAGCCTTTGACGCCCTTCTTCAGACCTCTTCTTTCGCACATCCGTAGCCTGTTATCAGACAAACCAGTGCACATTTTCTGCTTTCCATCTAAGATTAAAATAGATGTCGAAATTTTTCGTAGCATCAGCTTCTACTGGCATATATTTACTTCGAAGCAAGGTTTTTGAAGCACCTCCCGTCCTTACAGACGCATATCTGTGCTTTAAATAAATCCTTACCATAGGAATTCACATCTTGTACTATCATCTGACCTTGCACTGCGAAGAATATGCTACATTGGCCAACTAACGGTTACCCCATCATGGGGCTTCCAACCGTGGTGTTCTAAAAATAGTCTAAGCGACCCAACAGCAAACAAGTCCACTAGTCCCTGGGCCTGCTACCAAACTCACAGTCTCTTTTCTGTCTTGGCTAGAAGCTCTCATCAAGCTTTTTTTACTTGGCACAAATGATAGTTGCAACATCTTTTTACCAATGCAAAGCCAGCAGCGAGTGTGTTGGGCTTGTGACGAATTTCATAGGCCCTGTTCCCCACATTTTCCTTCTCGAAAACACCTGGAATGGACACTAAATTTTTCATTCGGGCAGGCAACCCATATGACATGGACAACTGATCTAACAGTAAGTGTCGATCCAGATCGCTATGTGGGACAAGCTTCGTTGACCCCTTGAAAGCCGTCCTCCTGGATCACTTACATTGATATAGTGTGGCTGCAATTGACGTGAATGCTTCATAAATAATAAGAGTACATCGCGGCTAACATCGCGGCGAACGAGGTTCGACGATAGCTCTTGTTACTGATCCATTGCCGGTCAAAAAGAAAAGATGTTGCTCGTAGATAATATGTCTAACATCGCCGACTGTAGGTGTTGCCGACGAATCCTGAGCCGTCCTCCCCGCTCATACTCAACAATTACAACCTCCAATTCCCAGAAGAAAGGGATAAAGCCAAAGACGTGATGCCCGATGTCAGCTTCCGGCGCGCTGGCACTTTGTTTCGACGGCTGGACATAAAGACATAACAAAAATAACATAGGCATCACGGTATTCACAAATGGGCCCAGAGAACTCGTGGACGGTGGAACCGAATTCACACCAATGCGATACGGAACCTGAGTACAGAAACGATGATTGATTATGATCACATATAAAGCGGGAGGTGCGGAGGGAGGAGTGCGTCGCCCACCTTCATAGCTTCGTACAATACTGCCGCCTTGAACAATCATGACGACCCCCATTGTACACCTGCGCGACGTGAAGAAGCGCCCGCGCTTCCTCGCCCTCTGGGAGAAGAGGCGAAATTCGAAGGAAGTGCACTGGGCTATCGAATGCTTCGCTGAGATGGTAGGCTTGTACCAATGTATCGCGACTTTCACGCCTTGCTAACGCAGCCACACCAGTTGGGCGTCTTTCTCTACGTTTATTTCGGTAAGCACTTCCACCGTCTACGATGGCAGGATGGCGTTCTTACCGCAGGTGTCTTCTTCCAGGAGTTGGCTCCACCGCTGGCTTCGTTATTGGAAACATCCTCAACCAGCCTATGTCAAGTGAGTTTCTTCCGTGAAGGCCCAGAGTAGATGCATGAATTGATCCATACTCCGCACCGTTGCAGGCCTCTTTCAAGTCGGAATGGCATATGCCGTTGGCATCTTGTTTGCTCTTGGCGTCTGTGCGTCGACATCGGGCGGCCATATTAATCCTTGCATTACGGTCGCGTTAGTCGTCTTCAAAGGCTTCCCGAAGCTCAAAGCTGTTAGGTAGGTATCGCGTACACCACCCCCGAGCCTAGTGCTAACCACCTCAACAGGTACATCACCGCTCAGATTATTGGCGCATACATTGCTTCTTGGCTGGTTTACTCCCAATGGAAGTTCCTGATCGTTGAGGCCGAAGAGACGCTCAAGGCTGCAGGAGAAGCCGTGTTTGAAGCGACCCAGTTCACGCCTAATGGCCCCGCTGGAATATTCGGTTTCTACCTGTTCCCCGGACAGAGTCTAGGGCGCGCCTTCCTGAACGAGTGGGTCAACGTACGTAATATCTGGATATAACCAAGAGCACGCAGACTCACAGAGCATTTGATAGTGTACCATGATCGGTCTTGTACTTTGGGCTGCACTCGATCCTACCACTTACTTCCTGCCGCCTGCCATGGGTCCTTGGGTCGTCGCTCTGACATAGTGAGCATGCAACCATGTACATCGATTGACTTGGCTAACAGAGCTCTGTCACAATCCTTCAGTGCTGCCTGCATATGGGGTTTCGCTATTCCCGGAAGTAAGTCCAATGAATATAACGCATTTGCTTGACCAATCCCTCACCTCTCTTTCAGTTTCTCTCAACACTGCTCGTGATGTTGGAGGTCGCTTAATGGCGATGTCCGTGTGGGGTTTGCCAGGCAAGTGGAACTCCTATGGCGAGAAGTAGTCACTGAAGGAGAAACTGTACAGCTGCTGGAGGGCGCTACGCCGCGATCGCAGCGTTGACGAATATCCCAGCTACGCTGTTCGCTGTGTTCCTCTACGAGTTCTTCCTGGTCGATTCAGATAGAGGTAAGCATTGGCAGGTTCATGTAAGAAAAAGCAAGGCTAACAAAATTGCATGCTTACAGTTGTTACTCCCCCTAATCTTGAGGTCATGAATGTGCACGCCAACCACCGTAGGCTCCGTCAGGAGCAGAAGGCTGAGCGCCGTAGCAGCCGCGTTCAGAGCTTGGTTGATCTCGGTGACGGCTCTGCGCATGAGAAGCCCAGTATCAACGCCTTCGAGCACACTCCAGGTAGAAACAGCGTCGACCGCTCCAACGCTTGAGGCCTTTCTTCCAAATCCCGTATTTTACTGTCCTTCGATCTCCTTTGATAGTCTTTCTGTTGGGCGGGAGTTTGCGGGAGCGATACTTTTATGATTTCGATGATTATGCTGACCATTACTGCTGTTCTGAGCCTCGTACCATAACGCCTGCTGGTTTTTAATGCTTACTTGTTCGTACTAATTATGAAAAGATTGACCGCACCGACCTCGTGAACGAATCCACTCCGTCCACCGAGCACCCCGCCCTGGGTTTTGTTTTTATCGAAGCCAAGTTACTTGTCACCGTGGGGAGTGAGTCAAAAATATATTTCTCTTGGGCAGGCCTGAGGAATCGTTGTAATTGGAACGTAGACGCGCTTTACGTCCAGCGTCGTTCGATGAGGGAGCACTTGCAGAACTCGTGGATAGTAAAGCGGATTGTCGCGTCAAGGAGACGCATACGTCACAAGAGCAGACTGTTTAGAATCAGTGGTACAAAGAAACATAAAAGCCGTGAGGCTGAGTTGACAATTTCGCCATGGATCGTGGCTGTGATTCTGGGCGAGCGCAGGGCCGGGGAAGGGATGACCGGGAGCCGACGACCCTGATCAACCGGCTTCCACCCCACGTCTACTGTCACAACAATGAGCGCCGGCAGCGGATGAGTAAAACAAACCGCTTACTCCTCTACCAGAGCCCTTTTCTTCTCTTTTTATAACCCTCACCGCCTCTTTCCCCCATCATGTCGCGCCCAACCCAGTATAAACGCATCGTTCTCAACTCGAGGCCTGAGGCCGACATCCAGCCTGATACATTCCGCACCGAAGTCGTGCCATTCAACTTGAAGCCGGACAAGGGAGAGGCGCTCGTCCAATGCACCTGGTTGAGCTTGGATCCCGCTATGAGGGGGTATATTCGGGATGTAAGGAGTTATCTTCCCCCTGTGCAAATTGGAGAGGTATGTCGGCGCATTGCCTCTTTGTTGGATGTAGGACCTGACGAGGATTATGACAGACGATGCGTGCTCTCGGCCTGGGTGTGGTTGTTGAAGCTGGTCCGGGGAGCAAGTTCAAGGTCGGAGACTACGTGAGTGGTACTTGGGGTACGTTCTGTTCTTCCATTTATCGTCGTTGGGTTTAACCCAAGTGCCATGGACGAATAGGCATGACAGAGTATGCTGTCATGAAGGACAAGCACCTGGACAGGCTGGTGTAAGTTATGTTCCCAAGCACACCCTCTCTCGATGTCGACTGATACCACAACCAGTCTGGCGCCAGGCATTGAACCCATTGATTACTTGAATGTTCTTGGAACTTCTGGTGCGTATGAAACCATCTTTTGGACGAAACACTCCCATTTCACGAATCATAGGATTGACTGCATACTTCGTACGTGCATCACAGAGTATCGTGCTGTTCGAAATACCGACGGAGCAATCCACAGGGACTCAAAAAGATTGGCGAGCTGAAGGCTGGCGAAGTGCTCGTTGTCTCTGGCGCTGCAGGCTCTGTCGGTGCGCTCGCATGCCAGCTCGGTAAGGCCCAAGGGGCCACGGTCTATGCTATCGCTGGTAGCAAGGACAAGTGCGAGTGGTTGGAGAAGGAGTTGGGCGTTGATAAAGCCTTCAACTACAAGAGCTCAACCTTCCACGCCGATATTAAGAAGATTGGCTACTTGGACGTCTACTTTGACAACGTCGGCGGTATGTGTTGTTGAGAAATCATTTATACACAACATCGACCAGGGCTACACAGGCGATATGTTGGACTTCTTGTTGACAAGATTGAAGAAGGACGCTCGTATTATTCTGTGCGGTATGTGCCCGTGAAGCTTGGTCTCTCTGTCCGTTCTCATTTCTGGTCTCAATTAGGTGCCATCTCTGCTTACAGTACGTTCCCTTGCACACGCACTCGCAGAGTGAATTTCTCATACGCCTATTCTCTCAAGACGCCACCAAGCCGAAGGGACTTCAAAGCTACATGAACCTTATCTCCCAACGCGCTAAGATTCAAGGCTTCATTGTGTACATTCCACTCCAGAATTCCACCCGCAACTTGGCTAACGAAGTTTACCTCCACAGCATGGACTACGCCTCTGAATACCCCGCCGCTATTGCTGAACTGTCAAAAGGTCTTCAGAGCGGCACCATCAAGAGAAAATTCCACATCGTTCAGGGTGGTATTGAACAAGCACCTATCGCATTGCCGATGCTCTTCAGCGGGGGGAACACAGGAAAATTGTAAGTCTTCGTCGCGATGAGGTACTGAATCTTTGTTCAACCGCCGCGTTTGTAGAGTTGTCAAAGTATCAGAGGAGCCCCGAGGAGCGAAGGTAAAACTCTAGGACAAACATCAACTGTAAATTTTGTGTATTCTTTCTCGTTCATCTAGTATACCATCCTTTGCGTCCTGCATCTTTTGGAGATCCCTCAAAGGATCCTCACCAAAACTTGTTGAAGTCCGACTCCGACTCGAGGCTGGACACTGGGTCTGGCCACGTGGGATGATGCTGGTGTAGGCCAAGCATGTGATAAAGAAGCTGATCCCCACGTCGCCTTGAACCCCACTTCCATCGTGACACCATTTGTCGACCCCGCAGCCAACACTCGCTCCGGAATCGCCCCTTACTTACCCTCCAAGGCAACAAAACCACTCCCTGAATCCTTCGATGGCTGTGTCCAATTCAGTCAAGCACTCACCCGCTGCCTCCGTCTCAAGCACTAAGCCTGGCACCACAGGAACGAGCACCAGAAGGACGGTTACAAGACACGTTCCGTGGACACAACATGCACTACGCCAGCTGAAGCTTGTGCTGCCTGGCGCGGTCATCACGTACTACCTGGATACACCCAATGATTTCTGGGGTGTGTTGCAAGGAAATGGAGGATTTTGGGCCCAGTCAGTCCCCATTTCTTCTAATCATGGGTGCATTAATTGTGAACCTTTTTTCAATTTAGGACCACTGCCTTCGCTGCATCATGTCTGGGTTTGACAACTATTGCGTTGTTCCTCTACGTTCTCCTTATGCCGTGGCTGACGGGAGAGGAACCCAACGTGCGTCTAGACCCACTTTCACGCGTGAACTCACTGAGTATTTTCTAGTATCAAACCTGGCGAGATTCCGGGGTGTTGTCGTCGGTGATACCTGTGTGTACATTTCTTCGATACCACTTGCTTAACTTACATCCATTTTTGCCGCCCAGCTGCTGACAAGCTCTATCGTCGTTGGATGGTTACTCGCTGTGGGTACATTGGGTCACTGGTCGCGTTCGGGATACGTGAAAGGAACAATCGGAGGTATGTCGTCGCCTGTTCAATCCATCTACCTTCGATTTTAATTCATCGGCCTTTCTCAGTTTCCGCGTTTTATGCGCTGACATTTGGTCTGCTCGGGCTAGTCCCAGTACCAAAAGCCCGCCAGAAAACTAAACTCTGAACCCTTTTTCTTCTGAAGTTCCCGAATGTCAATTGCATCTTTCCCACTCGATATCTTCGCATTCATACCTGGTTCTTGAACCCAATAATCGGCTCCCAACTCACGGCACCATTCAGTCTTCACCAATATCTCAATACTATGACCGTTTACATAATTTGGCAGGACATTAAGTATGCTTGTGCCAGTGACGACCACGATGACGCTGTTGTAATGTATGAGTATGTAATGAAGCTTTTTTGAAGCCTGGAGAAACTCGACATCCACCTTCGATTCCGATTCCGAAGTCCTACCACATAGTACCAGCCTGTAGTACTAGTAGCAAGTGATGCCGCACGTGATTGATAGCGGAGGTTCGCGCCGCACGAGTGAATCGGTTCGGCATTCCACAGCCATCATGGCGTTACGCCTCTTTCCTCATCCACATCATCTTTCCTCCCAATCGATCCCTAATGTACGGCGGATATGGCACCGCGAGTCCACCCCTGACGAACAACCCTTTCCTCTCCAACACAAGTCAACATCCTGGGTCTCGATTCCCAGATATCTCGAGTTCGACCGCGACGTTTGGTGGCCAGCAGCAGCAGCAACAGTGGGACGATGGATCGATGGTGGGAGGAGGGCAATATCCTCAGCAACAGCAGCAGGGGATGTATCAACAGCCGCAGCAGTATCCGCAGCAGCTCCAAACGGGATTTGGACAGCAGCAGATGGGGATGGGAACCGGCATGGGTAGCGGCTTCGTCTCGCCTGGGCAGCAGAGCTATCCTAGTCCACCTCCTGGCGGACATCAGTTCCACCCCTCCAGTGCGTTTGGACAACAACTCGCGGCGAGTGTGTCTGGGAGCAGCTATGGGTACCTTAATGGCCAGCCCCAGCAGCAGAATACCACCGCATATAACCCTGCACAGCAGCAGCTTCAGAATAACCCAGGGTATATTGCCTCACTTGATCCGTACGCGTCGGTCGGCCAGGGCTGGGGAGACAACAGCCTTACTTCACCAACGAGCAGCGTCGGCGCCTCGTCACCTATCAGCTCCAACCCGAGCATGGGGATTGCTCATAGTATGAGCACCGGGTCCACCATGTCCTCGACGTCAACATCTTCTGTCCCGTCCGGCGCCTCTTTTGGCATCTCTGCCTCTGGTGATCCTCATCCGAAGGATTATATCCGGACACATAAGGCTGAGATCGAGGCGTGGGACAGCTACGCTTGGAAGCAGCTGCTCAGCACATTTGAGGCCCTGAAGAAGGCATGGGAGAATAGGAAGGGAGAGCTTACTGCAAGAGCGCGAGAGGTTGTTGCGCAAGGACAAATGGGGATGCAATATGGCGGCTACTATGCCCAACAGATCCAACAAGAAGCTGGAAGATTGCAAGGGGTGAGTTTGACTCCTTACTTGGCTGTGTGGCGCAGCCGCCAACCGACCCTGCTTGTTCTCAGAATGATTGTTGACGCTCTTTCCCTCCAGCTTTTGAAAGAGGCCGAGTCCAATTTTGACACGATTGCGGCGTCTTCGTTCCAAATGCAAGAAGTCTTTCAGGGTTACCGACAATCAGGCGATCAAGCCAGCAAACGCCGCGTGCGAGAGGCGACTAATGCGGCGCTGCAAGGTCTTCCGACTTACCCGCAACCGTTCTGAACGCCTCCTACGATGTGAAGTTAACGGCGTACTTTCGAAATTCCCTCTTTTCTTGTCAATATGTAGCCTTCAACCTTCTGGGCTTTCTTGGTGTTTTGTGCCTCCTGTCCATTCGACGCCCCTTAACCTTGTCTTCATCCGCTGTTGCTAATGTTATCGTTGTAAATACTTTGTACTTTCCTGTAATTTGGTTGTACGTCGAATGTTACCTGCTTTGTTCAGAAGCCTTTGGTATCCACCCCTTATGACTCTTTGAGTGCAGCCACTGCTAATGTGACTCGGTCTTGCATTTAACTGGAGATAATTTCGCCGTGGATATCCTGCGTTGTCACTAGGCTATTAAGGCGGTTACAACCGGTATATTATTGACCTTCTAGCAGCGGGGGTTGGATCTGTAGTCATATCACCTCCTACCCGGGCCCTTTTAATCGTCTGCAAGTAGAAGCTCTGATATCTGGGACTTCATATCCACCCTCCTCATTTTGATGGTCTGAACAACCTCGCCTGGCGTCGAATCCTCATCGCCACCAGGCGATCGCGAGGCGGCGAGAGTCGCGTTCACCCAGACAGGCAGGGATATTTTCTCAGCAGCTCGGCCGGTAGGTAGAGGCGCCGATGTCCCTCGGTTGCTACGACTTGTAAGGAGTGTGTGACACGCATAGCATAGATGGGGCGTCAAGGAAGAGTTCGCAGGGGTGGAGGAAGCTGACGGCTTCGTAAGGTTGGAGATTTCCTCCTCGTTGAGATGTGGAGGTCGGGTATTGCCAGAGACGGCTGAGGACGCCTCTGAGTACGAGCGGATTGATATCCGGCTCTTCCATTCCTGAACACCGTCTTGAGCAGGGCTGATATTCGAGTGTAAGTGTTGTTCACTAGTCAACAGAAACGAGACCTACCGCTCGCATAGAACGCAGGTGCCCTCAGAACCGTGCTTGGGGGCGAGCTTTGCACAGGTGCGAGCAATCGTAGACACTGTAGCAGGGTAGTCGGTCTCAAGTCCGAAGATGAAGTCTATGAACAGGATCAGGCTAGTTGTTCCGAAAAGAACAGGTTGAGCATACCTCTGGCCAAGGCACCTATTGCATGCTTCCAGCTTCCGTTCAGATGACGTGTTTGTCCATCGACCCTCAACCCACACCACCAATCCCACATCGCGCACTCCTTCATGCCGATGTCACGCAGAGGGCGGATAACACGCACAGGCATTCCTCGTCCTGGTTGTGGATACCACTCTTCTTTCGCCTCCTCGGATACCGAGAAACCTGTCCCCTGCGAGATCCCAGATATCAGGTTTACAGACAAGGATGTCAAGGACGTTCCGAGAAGTAGATGGGATGCTTTGCGTGAGGCGGCGATGTGAAGGAGGAGCAGTCTGATGAGGTTTTGGATCGCGCTGTGGAAGGCGGTCTGGGTGGGAAGGGATGATAGATAGGCTTTCAATCGATTCAGAGGTGAGTCATTGAAGGAGGATGAAGAAGCCTCAGTCAACCGTAGGTCTAAAGTCGGCACTCACTCAGAATAGTCGCGCATGTCGAAGCAAGAAAAAAGTTTACCTTCGTCCGTCATATCCAGTCTTAGAGTCCGTGCAAAGGAAGCCGATTCTCCTCCTCGAATCGTTGACCACCACATCGGATCAAAAGAGTCCTCCAAACGGAGGGGTATGTATTCGAAAGGTTGACCCAGATACCTTTGGACCATGTTCTGGATCTCCTCTGTCCTATCCTTTTCCTATAGAAAGTCAACGTGCTGCTTAGAACGATTAGACGGATTTAACCACATACTCCTGGAAACGCACCACACACTTCGACGTAGCATACAGCCGGTTTGCCCTTCCAGACGCCTTGGTCTGCATTGCGTGGATGGTCTTTACCACCTTTGAGCGTTTCGCCATTATTGCGCACAGGGAAATATGTCTTGGCAACCAGATCGAGCAATGCGGTTGACCCAGTCCCGCCGGAGAACGCTACAACGAGGGATCCGCCTGCTTTGAGGGTCTTCCGTCGTGCACCATCTGGGACTGGATTTATGGAGGGTTCGAGTGATTTTTTGAAGCGCATTTGAATGAGGGGAAAGAAGCAAGTCCTGAACAGAGGTTAAGAGCATGTACCCCTTGAAAAGTAACAGAGACCCACTTGCAATAGACAGCATAACGGATGACGATGTTTCCCGCTCCTTCCTTGCACTTAACGCAAATTTTAGTCTTGCCGTCATATTTCTGTCGACCTGAAAGCTTCGTAAGGAGAAGAGATCCCTCGAGTTACGATAGACACACGTGTCATAAGAGCATCGCTGTCGACGTTGGGATTGTCGCAGGATGCCATGGTGGATAATGGGCCGATGATGACTGGCGCTTGAACCGTGAACGAAAGCCTTATTGACTCCGAGTCGCTGAGATCACTTTCCAATCTGGGAATGAATACTTACGGCCCGGAGTTTCCGATCGTTATCTCATCTGCCCCTGAGTGCTAACGAGTCACTCCTCCTACTGCTCTTCTTCTGCTGCTTGCTTACAGCAAAATTTATCTGTATACTTGCCTCAAGTTGCTTTGCTAGACCACTATGCCTGAATACACCGCATTCTTCTACGGGACGTTGATGCATCCCAAAATCCTCATGCGCGTCATTGCCAACGACGGTCATCACCTCAGGCTCTGTCCTGCAGTTCTCTTGGTACGTTACCGCGACCCTTATTGCCTCTGTGCCCTTATACTCGCTTTCTCTAGGACCATACCCGCCATAAAGTCAAGGTTCGTTGATACGAGAAAACCGACCCTCAGGCTCTTCTACTCGACTTGACTATCAATTCATCAGTAGTATGCGGATTATCCCGGGGTTATCCCTTTCGACAAGGCAAAATGTCTTTTCGAGCACTCTCTTACGCAGGGAGAAAAGTCTGTCAGAGGCACATTGGTCACAGGCCTAACGGCGAAGGACATTTATGCGTTGGATGTCTTTGAAGGCTCAGTAAGATGATCGCGTAATTATTCCACACCTTTCCCCAACTCACGCGCATATCAAGGAATATACACGAGAAAGTGTTCCTGCCCATCCTCTCGATTCACTGAGAGACATCTCGGCGTACGCATTGGAACAGGGATCTCTCCCTGCACACCCTCCGCCCCTCCCAGCTACATTTGAGCTGCTTCCGGCGATTCCTGCACAGACATACATTTACCGCGACGAGAAAAACCTAGAGGCACAGCTCTGGTCATACGAAGACTTTGTCAAGAAAAATGCCTGGAAATGGCACGGGGAAGCAGCCGATAACAACGAAGACATCACAGAGGTGGACAGAAGACGGGAAAACGGGCAGAAGGAAATAGAGGCACTCGAGGCTTAACTTATAAAGCCAGTTTATACTGTCGTTAGAATCCACCGCATTCAAGGGAGTATTCAAGCGTCATCACAAGCATCGATTGTGAGCCGAGTTCATGAAGAATTGTCGGAAAAACGCGAATTCCATTATAAGGCCTTGCGGCTCCTGGCACCCCTGGCCCCGCTGATACGCTGGCATGATGCTACTAATAATCAATTGTAAGGGCCGGTAAGTCGAGCGTCAGTGAGTATCAGAAATCTGTAACCTCTGGTAAGTCCTGATCACATCTGATCACTTTACCTCGAAAAGCCGTAGTTGTCGAAGAAGGAATTCAAAAGAAGATACCTCTCACCCTCTCGAAACGTCAAAATTATCTTCAAAGGGTAATTGTTTCGACTAAGGCGAGTGTCCATTTATTCAGCTCGCAAGCGGACTTGAAGTTCTGAGCATACCCTAGGTCACGGGAGCTGTCCTAAAGTCTGTACCTCCGGGGCCGCGGACAATAGACCAGGAGAAGGAAAGTCTCGTCAGCATACTTACACATCGCGGGGTCGAATTAGGATCCAGATTAGTGCCTCGAAGCGCCCATATCCCTCCGGCAGTCGGTTAGGGCCGGGTAGGCTTGTGAATCCCGAGTCGGAGACTAGTCTCGGGGCAATATCTAGGTGCTGAGGTCCAGGCGGGAAAGGGTTATAAAAACAGGCTTTCGTCGTCTCATTCGAGCGCAGCCCCTTCCCACTGACTTCGGGTTCGAGATTGGATGGATGTCGGTGCTACCCGGCTTCTGTCTGATGGTGCGTCCTCCCTCCGTTCACGTACTATCCTCTACTCGTACTAACTTAGACTTCACTCAGGAGGGCGTCTTATGCTCGGTGCGTCCTCATACGTCTCTATTTTAGTGTCCTCAGAGGATCGAGACTTCGGAGGTAGATCGCATGAAATCATGCCACTTCAAAAATAAATCCTATTTTCGTGCCCTTTATGTACCCGTTATCGTGATCGTATAAGTGCGATCTTTTTGGTTCTCTGAAATCCATTCTATTGCCGCTGGTATTCCACATGTGGCGATCTTCAAGCCTTTAGAGTTGATACCATCCGGAGTTACCTGATTAGAATGCATGCGCCACACTCCAGCACCTTCTCTGCAGTCCTTGCGAAAGTGGACCGATAATTCCAACACTTTTACTCCTTCTGAGGTTGTTGCAGAGGCATCGTGCATTCAAGCGTAACAGCCACCGCATCATGCATGCGGCCCATTCAAATTCAAATGGCGAATTAGCAGGCAGACGGTAAGGGAGGATTGTAGATGTTAGAATGGAACAAAATGGATTGTTTGACTCGACGATGCTCTCATGGGTATGGAGAAACAACGGTTCCTGGGATGCGGCTTGTCGGAGCAGCCCCTAACTTTCTTTCACTCATCACGTGAGTGGTGCAAAACCTTCTGACGTTACTTGGCACTTTTGCCGCGACGACCAGGAATGATTACGCCTCGGACATTCACCATCTTCCGTTATCATCAACGCCGTATCACCAACTCGACCTCTATTTAAACCTTGGCCCCCAATAGACCCAGGAATTGAACGCCCGCAGTCACTCCCAGCATGCCCTTCTGGCAACTCCGCCAGATTGTCGCTTATGGAACCCTCTCTTTCTTCCTAGTCTTCGTTCTCTCGTTCGGCGTCGCAGACTCTCTTCTGCGCCTGTATCCTGAGGGAGTTCAGCGAGCATGGGGAATCATAAAGGCCTTCGAGGCGGGCGCCGACGATTCCTGTGAGTCTTCTGAATACCCCGCGTCGATGTGGAGACACTAAGATAAGGCAGTGTCCATTCCAGATTTCACTCATTACGAACAAGTCAAGACTCTGGATGAAGACCAATTTCCTCTCGGTGTGTCTGGCCTCGACGTCCGCCGCGTGTCTCACTCATTGTAGACACGTTCTCCAGACGACCTCACAAGACGAGTTATTATTGTCGGTGATATCCACGGCATGATGAAGCCTTTCAAGTGCGCAGAGTTTCATGCCGCCACGGGAAACCCTCATTCTCATTCTTTTCCACACCAGGAAACTTCTGAAACGAGTCGATTACTCTCCTTCGAAGGACTTGCTCATCCATGTCGGAGATGTCATGGTCAAAGGCCCCCACTCTGACTCCATGGCCGTGCTCCACTATCTGGCGTCACATAACATAACCGGCGTCCGTGGAAACCACGACCAGCAAATCATAGAATGGCGAGGATGGCTCAACTGGATCATATCCCTCCCAGGTGGCCGCTGTTGGCTCGAGAACTTGGAGAAGAAATGGTCTGATTCACAAGAAGACGATGATGACCTCAGCCTCGAGCTTTGGATGGACAACGAACGGATTTCTAGCGCTAAATCGGAAAAGAAATGGTGGAAATTGATCCCAGAAGGATGGGTACTCTTTACGGAGCACTATCGGATCGCCCGAGAAATGTCGAAGGCCCAATTCCAATATCTCTTGGACTTGCCTCTGCGGTTATACGCCCCTAGTGCCCATCTTTTCATCGCCCACGCCGGTATGCTAGCCGCCAATCCAAAGTACCCCTTGGACGACAAGAAGAACCAACCCTTGGCGCGGGTCCCTGTCCCTTCGCGGCACCGCTTTTACAACGATAGTTTCAACGACACCCAAGCTTTGGTGCACGACATAGAGCAAAAGTTTAGTGCTCTCAGCTCTCACAAGAGCGTCCATGCCCTACGGAACCTCCAGGAACTTGGTCTTCTGCTTCAAATACCTCAGAACGTGGATGGCCGACTTACCTTAAATATGCGGAGCATAGTCGATGGCGAGGTCACTAAAGGCAAGTCCGGCAGGCCATGGGCGAACTTATGGTGCGAGCAGATGAAGAGCTGTGTTGGCTACGATGCGAAAGGTCATATCAACGATAGCGACGACACAGGTGACCTTTCGACCTCAGATATCGATATTAGGAAGAAGAAAGGCAAGAAGTATCGCCTGCCGTGCTATCCCTCATCTGTCGTATATGGACACGCGGCTTCAAGGGGTTTAGATATTAAACGTTGGTCGTTCGGGATCGATACAGGTTGCGTAAGTGGATTCGCCCTCTAACATCTGTTTGATGGCTGAGACGTAATGATGTAGGTGTACGAAAAGCGACTGACTGCGCTTATTATTGGTGGAGTTACACGAAGCGACTTTACACCTGTAGAAGGCAACGAGGACAGCTCTGCGGATGAAGATAAAAACGAGGAAGAGCTTGACGATCGTTCCAAGCACGAGGGCGAGGAAGATGAAGATGAAGATACGGACATCGAGACAGGCAACTGGCAATCCAAGCGTCCTGTCCCGTTCGGCGACAATGCGAGGGCACGTATCGTCTCTGTGAAGTGCTAAAGATATTATTCTTGGCACCAGTTGTGTTATCCGCCAATAAATTGTCTCTTCTGCTACGTTGTCTTCATGACATCTGGCAGTAGCTTTGTTGGGCCAACTACATTACGACCCTATCTACTCCGTATCATATATTGTATAATATTTACCGCGAGACCTCTTATATACACCTCATATTTTGGCATGGTAGGTTGTTGCTGGATCGGTTCGCGTGGTCTGGGAAGATGCTAGGATGTTCGGCTATTTTTATCACCTTGCAGCCCTGATGACAGCTCTCTTCATATGCTCCGCCCTTTTGCACCCATCATCTAGCTGGCACTCCCCGCCTCTCTGCTTTCGACCACCTCGACGATGCCAGATGAATTCGTGAAGATCACTGAGTCGTTAGTACACGAAACGCAGAAGATTGACGGTCAAGAGAAACCCCTTCCCGCTATCCAGCCCAAGAAGAACACGGTCCTCGTCTCGCATGGAAGACCACCTTGGTAGGCGCAATCTCTCTCGATAAAATCGAATTTCTGCTTATGGTGCTCGTCGCTATGCTATAGGTACTCGGAGGATGGCCAACGAACCTCGGACGCGTTCGTCATTGGTGTAGCGGGTTTGTTTTTGGCTTCCTCCTCGAGTCTGTTTCGGAGAGGTGACCAACTGTCTCTTGGGTTATTCCAGGTGGATCGGGAAGCGGGAAGGTACTTCTATCCTTTGTCTCGTTGCATATGTTATCGGACCGACACGCATTTCAAGACACATGTCGCAAGGGAGATCATTAGGAAGCTTGGGTCGATCCCAACCGTAATTATCCTCTCGCAAGTAAGTCTTCGACTTTCCCACTGCTTCTTTAAGCTTATCAGCAGCGTATTTACCTCATCCTATAGGACAGTTTCTACAAGTTCCACAATGAAGAAGAACTCGCGCTCGCGCATGCCAACATGCTTGACTTCGACCACCCTGATGCTCTGGACATGCCAATATTTGCAGCTGTAGGTGATATACGGCTGGCTGCACCATGTGTTGCTCAAGAATACGATCTCGCGTATACAACAGTGCTTATCCGACCTCAAGGCATGCAAGCAGTCCAACATCCCGGTGTACTCTTTCGAGCAGCACCAGAGGCTACCAGAGACGAAGTATCTTTACGGGGCTACGATTATCATTGGTTTGTACCTCCATTTGTATGGATATCTCTCGTGCTCATTATCGATTAGCGGAGGGTATTATGGCCCTAGTAGACTCCGCATTACGAGAATTATACGATCTTAAGGTCAGAAAATGCGCTTCTGGTGTAAGAACGTGGCTGATGATGTTGTATGCAGGTGTACGTGCAATGTGATTCAGATTTGATGTTAGCACGTCGCATCCGAAGGGACGTCAAAGAGAGAGGCAGGGACGTGTCTGGCATCCTCGATCAGTAAGAACACATGTATCCTCCAACGCACATACACAACGTTCTGATATAAAACACGCGACAGGTACCTCCGGTATGTCAAGCCATCCTACGACAATTTCGTCCGTCCAACGGCCAGCTATGCGGACATTGTCAGCCATTGATTAATTGTTCATTTGGTACCCGTTTTTACAGTGCTTCCTAGATCGTCCCTGGGTCGAACAACTCGGTTGCCATCGACTTAATTTGCACTCACATTCGCGAAAAGCTGGAGGAACGTTCGAACAAGTTCCGCCAAAAGATTGCTATTCCTCATCGCTATCTGCCCTCCAAGTCAGGAGCAAGCACACCAGAAAGCAGGGTCGAAGACCTGGATTTGACGATCCTTCCTCAAACGCCACAAGTCGAGGTTGGTCGTCTTGTGCCCTTGTCCATGCTCAGCCTCATGTATTCTTCTCCTCCAGGGCATCTTTACGATTCTTCGAGACAAGACCACAGGCCGTCAAGATTTCGTGTTTTTCATCGATCGCCTTGCCACCCTTCTGGTAGAGCATGCGTTGCAGCACCTACCCTATGCACCCAAGGCCGTCACGACTCCCGTTGCAGAGCAATCTCATGGGAAGAAGATGGATGCCCAAGTATGTGCCCTGTTTTTCGAGGCTCATACCAGAAGTTTGATCCCTCTTCGCAGCATATCTGTGGAGTGACAATCTTGCGCTCGTACGTATAGTGCACGAGCAACCCTGCAACTGTATGCTATCTAATACGTTTTTAGCGGCGGTGCCTTGGAACGGGGCTTCAGGAGGGTTATTAACGACGTCCCAGTCGGCTCACTTCTTATCCAGTCGGATAGCAAGTCTGGCGAAGCGCTGGCTCTCCAGGTGAACCTACCTCGATATGTCAAGCTCCGACACCTAGCAGACGCGACATTTGTGTTCTTGATGGACGCCCAGGTACGCAAAAACCCTCATTCTGTCTGCTGTAAGCTTAAGCTCATAGCCCATGTCTAATAACAGATCGGCACCGCAGCAGCTGCCTTCATGGCAATTCGCATCCTCCTGGACCACGGCGTGCGTGAAGACCGCATCATTTTTATCACCTTTCTCGTCGCTCGCGCAGGCGGAGTCTCCGTCCTGCGGCGGGCATTCCCCGGAGTGAAGATAGTCTGCGGCGGTGTGGACGATGAAATGCAGGAGGGCTGGCTCGAGGGGTACAAGGGCGAGGGAAATCCAGAAGGCAGAGGCCGGAAAGTGTGGGTCATGAAGCCAGGTATGGGACAGATCGGTGAGTGTTGTAGTTCTCATTCCATGTAAAACGTGTAGCAACGTTGACTCTCGGATAGGCGATCGTTATTATCTATGAATAGGTCTGGGTTTGAGGGTTCTTGACTGCCATTGGACCTTGTCGCTGCACACCTTGCATATTTATGCCACAGTACTTCCACGAAGCCCTTTATTGACATTCTTTGACAAAGACTGCACCTTGGGCAGATAAACGGCCGACACGGAACTTTTGACAGGTTGGACATCAGGCACCGCTGCCTGCGCGGCCGTGTTGCAGCCGGTTTACAATAGTGGGATCATCTGCAGCAATTTCATTGATAGTATGGTATGCTTTTCTTCCATGATGATATTGTGAGCAACTGTGCTGAACATCTATTTGTTTGGTTTGGCAATATGGTTCAAGCATAGGCCGGGTTGTTCGCGTCAGGACTGCGAGACATCTGTAGCTATCCCTGGAACGCCGAGGCCAGCAGAGAGAGAACATTAGAGCCGGCCGCTGTCCAAGCCGCGCTTCGCCTTATTTTTGCTTCCAAGAATCCGAACAATCGCTGGCATACGTTGAACGATCGAATGTTCCACTTTGCTGATGCGGCAGACAAGGAGGTTGGGAGAGGCTGTCGTCTTCTCGTAATCAACCACCAAAGAACATGATCAGGTCTATCTACGTTTCGGTTTCGCGGCCGTGCAAGGTCAGCGACTGGGAGGGAAATACCTGCGAACGGAATGTAGTTCGAAGATAGCACCTGGACCTGGCCCGTATGGTCCTTCGCCTGAAGAAACAGCGAGGTTCATCCTAGTGCACCTTCTCCGCTCAAATGACCCGGGTAAATGACCTTCGGAGCAGTTTGAAGGCTCCGGTACCGTGCGCCCGGCTTCGAACTTCGCTCGGCCCGCACTGCCTGCCGGGACGCGCTCTTCATCACCCTTGTGACGCGCTGGCCACGGTGGTGTTGAGGTAGATATGGGTGTTGTGTGAGATAGGATATAAGTAAAATGAGGGGAAGCCAACATCCACACGGAGCGCTGCTGAAAAGCCCGCATGTCCGCCCGTAGACTTGTTCTCGCTGCACTTTCTGCCTCTGCTTTCGTTCTGCCTTCAGCATTGGCGTTGGCAGTGAAAGCTGTCCCGCCGACGTCCTTCGTGCTCGTTGGAGATAGTACAACCGCCAACGGGTGCGTAGAGCGTGGTCTTCGCTCTGCGGAAGGCACAGAATTGATTCGGCTCTGCGTTGGCGCGGTAGCACGACACCCAATAGTGGCGGTTGGGGAAACGGGTTCTGCGGTTCGACGATCACAGGAAACATTGCCTCCCTCGCACCTGGCACACTATGCATAAACACGGCGCGTAACGGCACGACGACGGGAACCTTCGTCGCTGAAGGGTGCGTCTTCGTCTTCTTGGGCCCATCTTCCATCCCTGTCTGCTGCTGACATCTTGACCTAAATATTACTCCTGTAGCTTCTGGGACGCCTCCGTCGCCGCGATCAAAGGCGAAGTAGCCAAAGGCCGGCGCACGTACGTGACGATCCAGTTCGGACACAACGACCAGAAGATTGCGCCTCCCGAGTCGATGGGCGCTAACCTGACAGCGATGGTGAAGCAAGTCCGTGCCCTTGGCGCGGAGCCTGTGCTGGTGACAAGCTTGACGAGGCGATCGTTCCGGTCGAATGGGACCGTCGCGGATACGTTGGGTCCTTGGGCTGATGGTGAGAGTTTAATTTTGAGGGTTTGAGGACTCGAGTGTATGCGCCTGCTTGTAAGGCAGTGGTTGTGGTTGTAGTTGCGGTTGTGGTTGTGTTTGTGAACTTGGCTGACCGGGAATCGAATGTATTGTGCAGAGATGATCCTGATTGCGCAACAACAAAGTACGCATGTGCTAGATTTGCACGTCGCTTCGATAAAATATGTAAGACAATCGCTGAGCGAAGGCGAGGCGATACTCACTGCTTTTTGCGGCAGGTTGAAGCAATAGGTCCCGATGCGGCGCATAGGCTAAACAGACTCCCGGAGGACAATACCCGTACGTTCATCGCCTTTCCTTAATGCGACACCTTGAGTTTTGACGTCATTTCTCGCGCTTTGTATTCTTTGGTAGACTTGAACGTCAACGGGACGACGGTCTTCGGCAGGTCAGTAACCTTTGGGGTATGCACGGTGCTTGCACTTACCTTTCCTTCCACAGAATGGTCGCCGACTTTATTTCTGCGAGCTTTCCTGGGCAACTTCCTGTGATACCCAACCCGACTCTGACGTTCAACATCTCGCATGGGATTGCGTCGTTTTGAGACGGGGCGATAAAAAAAATCAAGAGTTTTGCACACGTCCCTTTGAAAATGCCGATGAGGTCATATCTCTTGGAAGAAAAGCGGCACATGTGGGTTTCGGGGTAACAGGGTTTTATCATTAATAGCCAACCGCCGAGTGTAGTCACGTAAAAGGGTGTCAACGGAGTCAAGCCTTCAAGCGCTTCAAGGACTAGGCCGCAGCAAAGCGAAGTATCGGAAGAAGACGTGTAGAGGCTGAGTGTATTGACAGCTGTTCCTTCTGGGGGTTAGCCTGCATGTCGACATGGTTCGTCACTCCGTGCGTCGAAACCGTCTGTCGTTGTTGAGATCCCGCATGCATGGAGGGCGAATTGCGTGGGTCCACGAACAAGCGGCGCGAATATCATGAATGACTAAACTTGGGTTGGCAATTCTTTATTTCGGGGACCAATCTTATAATTAGACATTTGTGCCAAATAGGGCGGGTGCGTCGCTGCTACAAGACTGGTGCGGCGAGTGCTCTGCGGAGTCCATAGCCGTCGGGGAATGTGCGAGACGGGCCGGAGGTGTCGAGGTTGGTCCTTGGCTGTGCGGGAGGAGCGAGCTTGGCGGATGAAATGGGTGTTGGAGCTGAAGAGGAAGATGATCAAGAAGTGATGGCGCCGGACGGGGAGCTCCGCCAAGTACCTAAGCAACGGCATATAGAAAGCCGCGTGCAAATTTCCGCCCCACTTGTTCTCTTTCTCTCTTTTACTTGCTCCTTTCACGCCTTCGTCCAAACGTTACAATGGTCGCTCTCTTCTCAAATCTGCTCGTCGTCGCCCTCGCGGCCACCTCTGTCATTGCACAGACATTCACAATCAACACCCCGTCCGTCCTGCTCTCTTACTTTCGCCACGTCGCGCCTGCTTATCGTGTCTCCCACTAGCCTTAATGTTGTAGTCTGCCAACCTACCCTAATTTCTTGGTCAGGAGGTGTCGGTGAGTGCCCTCAACTTTCAAGTGCAGTGTCCAGGATCTGAAACATCCCTTAGGACCCTACTTCCTGGTTCGTTTACTCCTTTTATTGACTACATGGCTCCCTAACGTTGAGCTGTCCCTGCCTTATCTCTTCAGAGGTCTGTTGTTGCTCGTGGCCGCATATTTCTGGCGTTGACCCGTTTCTCGTAGCATCCTGCCTGCTGGCCAACCCGCTGCCACCCCTCTGCTCGACCTCGGTTCCCAAACTTCGACCCAGGTCACATGGGTGACTAACCTCGCCGTTGGTGCGTTCATCCCTTCCACTTGCACGTATAGCTTCTCACTCCACCGCAGGCACCTCTGGCTTCTTCAATCTCCGTGACAGCACAGGCGCTCTTGCTCAATCTGGTAGCTTCACTGTTCTCGCCGGTGGTATGTCTTAAGCTTTTCATAACTTCGAGTTGTCCTCGACTCAATACGCCACACAGGTGATACCAGCTGTGTCGGCCAGACTGCTTCAACCAGCGGAAACGGCGCACCGTCTACCCCCAACACCTCCGCTTCGTGTGTTTTCTTGTTTATCTCATGTCGGCAGTAGAACTCATCTTGATATAGTGCTGGCACTACCACCGCCAACACAGCGACAGGCACTTCAGCTGCCAATACCTCCGCCAGTCGAACTAACACAGCAGCCGCTACCACGACCTCCAATGCCAGCTTCAAGCAAGTTGCCAACATTGGCGCTGCTGTCGTTGGTGCTGCCGCTGTTGCACTCCTCGCCTAGATCAATTTCCTTCGGTGTTACGACAAGAGTGTGGTGTTACGGACTTTCTTGCGGATTGTTGTCATATCATCAGATGAATCTAGAGAGACTTCTTGCTGCTTCTTCAAGCTGAGGTTCTTCTATCATTTGCACCTATCTATAACTCATAATATTTGACCATGTGCCCTTTATGACATGAAAGTAATCTACTTCGCCCTAGAACTCCGTCAACCGCTTGGGAAGACCTGTAAGGTTTTCCTGTGAGACCTTCCTGCGATGGGCATGGTTAGGTTGTCTGACAAGGCGCCGGGCCGCTTCCCCCACTTCTTCAACGTTTATCAGCGCCTCTTGGGGTTGAAGAATACCACAGCAATACATTCCCTGAACTGATCCTGCCGACAAAAATACGAGATCTAACGCCTCCGATAGCTGTCTCCTCGTATAAAGGCCTCGAAGATGGTCGAGAAAGAGCTTTCCGAACACTCATTTTGTATCCAACGACCATGGGCGGAGGAGCAACTGTCGACGCTGGTGGCCTAGCAGCAAGTCGCCGTAAGGCGTTGGCTGGTCAGTCTGGATGGGTAGGATAACATCAGGCTCACGAGAATGAAGAAACTGACCTGGATGTCGAGGCTGGACTGGTGCACAATCGCAAAGTCTTTGCCATCGCTGTGTTCGCGTCTCTTGGAGGATTGTAAGTTGTTCTCCATAATTCTCCAATCACCTTCTCTAACTCTTTATCCCAGGTTATATGGCACGTCTAACCCTCCAACGTTTCAACGAACTGACCTCTAACATGGCCGTCTGCACCAGGATACAACCAGGTATGAACACGAGCCGACCTCGCCAAGCCTATTTCCCCGGCACGGCTAATTTCTCCGCAGGGCGTCTTCTCTGGCGTACTCGCGTAGGCTTCCTGTTTATTCCTCTTCTCCACTGGGTTTGGGGAGATAAAGCTGACGTGCCGACCCCCACAGGATGCAGTCCTTCAAAAACCGGATGGGCGATGCGGTGGAGGACGCGGGGAAGAAGGGCTGGCTCGTTGCCATCCTTGAGCTGGGAGCTTGGGCGGGCGTACTCATGACAGGTACGCTTGCGAGACGGAATTGATTGAAGAGTTTCCTTCGCTTTTCGATGGACCTATCGATGGATTGAACAAAGACTGACAATTTCCAATGCAGGTTATCTCGCCGATAAATTGTCGCGGAAGTATACGATCGTCTTAGGTGCGCCAAAATCGCGTCGTTTCTTCTTCGCCTTTCATTGTCCGATTACTTATTGCCCTTCGCTGCGCCACAGCTGTCGTCGTATTTTGCATTGGTGTCGTCGTCCAAACTGCCGCCGAGGCCTCGCCTTCAATCTTCGGAGGTACTTACAGTCTTTCTCCTTCCATATGCTACCCCTCCCAAATGTCACCCCAATCCCTTCCATCCCCTTCCTATTTCCTCCCTTCTTTCTATCACCTCGTTTCAATCTTGTGTCCAGTCCCAAGACATGTCAGATGATATACGATACAAGGAAGTTAACAATCCTCCCACCCCCGAATAGGTCGATTCGTCACAGGTCTCGGCGTTGGATCGCTGAGCATGGCCGTACCCTTGTACAACGCGGAAATCGCCCCTCCGGAGGTGCGCGGCAGTCTAGTGGCGCTCCAGCAGCTCGCGATCACGTTCGGGATTATGATCTCTTTCTGGATTGACTTCGGTATGTATGCTCGGGGTTTTGTCTAGCGCTTTTTTATTTATTTCTTGGGTAGGCACCAATTACATTGGAGGTACGGGAGAAGGCCAGCACGAAGCGGCGTGGAGGATTCCGCTTGGTCTGCAGCTCGCGCCGGCTATTGTTTTGGGTATCGGGATTTTGTTTATGCCCTTCTCTCCTCGGTATATCAGGCCGTTCAGTCTTTCAGACCATTTTACCTGAATGATGTTTGGGACAGTTGGCTGATCAATCAAGGACGCAACGATGAAGCTCTTCAAGTCCTTAGCAGTGCGCGAGGTCTGCCCCCAGATGCAGACTTGGTCCAGATCGAGTTCTTGTAAGCTAGCAGGATTCTCATCCTCTCGTTCTCGAAAATACTCATTTCCCATGATCCTCTCAGGGAAATCCGAGCCCAATATCTCTTCGAGAAGGAGACCGCAGAGCTCAGGTTCCCGCAATACCAGGACGGCACTTTTGCGTCCAACTTCAAGCTCGGGTTCTTCGACTATGTCAGTCTTCTGCGCGAGAAGAGTACGTTACTTGTCGATCTGGGCATTTCTCGCTACTCTTCGACTGACCCATTCCAGATTTGTTATACCGAGTCGCCGTCGGAACCTTGTCAGTTATATCCTTCTCGTCCTATCGATCGTACTGATTGGGGTACAGAACGATGTTCTTCCAGCAATGGAGTGAGTTCTACCTACATATATGCGCTGTCCGGTCCACCCGGAAGTCTGTCTCTAACGCAAACGCTTCTGTTTAGCCGGTGTCAATGCTATTTTGTACTATGCTCCGAGCATCTTTGAGTCGTTGGGCCTCACCGGCAACACCATCCCCCTTCTCGCGACAGGCGTTGTCGGCATTGCGTATGTGCCTTCGCCCCGTCTTCTTTCCAGAGCGCTCCTTGATGGTGTTCTCCGTGTTTAGCATGTTTTTGGCGACCATCCCAGCGGTCCTGTGGGTCGACCAACTCGGACGCAAGCCTGTCTTAATATCTGGGGCGTTCTTGATGGCAGCGTATGTATCCCTGTGTCATGGGCGTTAAAGGAGCGTCCGATTGACGATTGCCTCTCGTTTCTTTGAAGGTGCCATTTCATTGTTGCAATTTTGACTGGACTCTTTCAGGACTCGTGGGGTAGCCATTCAGGTATCCCACATCACGTCGACTCGATGGCACCACCTCTTGCTGATGTCCTCTGTTAGCTGCGGGTTGGGTCGCGTGTGTCTTCGTGTGGATATTCTCGATTGGTATGAGAAACTCCTGCCTCCTTTGCCTCCCAATGTGTTGTTCACAATCCTGTCGTTGCAGGCTTTGGTTATAGCTGGGGACCATGTGCTTGGATTCTCGTTGCTGAGGTAGAGGTTTCTCTTGAACGCCGCTGCTTCCATGTCATGACAGGATGTCGTAAAGATTTGGCCTCTAAGCGTCCGAGGAAAGGGACTTTCGATTGCTGCGTCTTCGAACTGGATGAACAACTTTATCGGTTCGTCATTTCGTGTCCTTCGCGCCATCAGTTTTACTTATGGTTCGATTTGCAGTTGGGCAGGTAACGCCGTCGATGCTCAAGCACATCACGTACGGGACGTTCATCTTCTTCGGAGTAAGTGCATTACCAAGCGCCACGTTTGAATTGATAAGTTGACCGACGTCTCCTAGGCCTTCTCGCTGTTGGGAGGGCTATTTGTCATCTTCTTTGTGAGTAACCTCCCTACCGCCAGATGGATCCTTCTCACTTGCCTCAATTTTAGGTGCCCGAGACCAAAGGTTCGATCGTCAAGACGCCAGAGAGCCATGAGACGGTGCTAATGGGTTGTATATCCTTCTAGGACTGACACTCGAAGAAATGGACGAAGTGTTTGGAGCAACTCAGAGTCTCGCTGTTGCCGATCAAGAGCGTCAAAACGCAATCTTCCGCCGTCTTGGGCTCATCACAGAAGATCTCAAAGACAGAAAAAGCGATGAAGAATCCCAGACAAAGGATGGGTAGGCGCACACATTTCAAGCCAAGCATGTAAAGTTACGGCATGCTTCATGGGATTAAGAAATTAAGCGTTTAATGGAGTGTCAACTACATTGGGTACAACGACGACGATATGATGATGCGAGAAGTTTTGATATCTGTATGCATATACATAAACGAATTACAATTTTTGCGTAACCTCTTTATTCAAGGCGCAGATCTATCACTTTGAGTGATGGTGCAGCATAGCAGACCAGGAGGCTCGTGAGGATGATGCGTCTAAAAATCACAGATCCTGCTTGATTCTCTTTCACGAGCACCATTCTTGACTGCCGACATCGACACACTCAGAGAGTGCTGACAGATCTGGGAGAAGAAATCATTGTGGTGATACAGGTGTCGGAACTGCATAGTGGTACAAATTGAGGGCACGACGGCGTTGACAGTCACAATTCGGTTTGGAAGTAGAGTAAGATGAATAAGAATGTCTTGAAAATTTATATCTCTCCTCTGTCTGCCTTCACCTATCGGGAAGCCTGGCCTGTCAGGCAAAAGGTCGCAAGACGATCAACGAATTAGTGGACGTACATCTTCCTCACTGGGTGTCATTCGTTGGACATCTTCAATCTCTTCGACGATATCAGTGCTGCCATCCTCCTGATGAATCCTTCGTTTGGTGATGGTCACCTCTTCTTTGCCTTGGACGCTTGAAAGTGGGCCTGAAACTTCGTCTCGCGCGTAGAAAGCAGTAGTTGAACCAGTGCCGTCTTCTCCTTCAATCTCAGAACGGCGCGCCCGCAACAATTCAACGGTGCTGGCCTGCAGCTCTGCCGGTGATCCGGTAGACTTGTCGGCCTACTATAGCGTTTACTTATATCACATGAGGACAGGAAGGAACTCATGCCCACCTTGACGTCGGCTTCGGAAGCGGTCGCAAGAGTTTCGTTCCAGCCTGGTGCATGGTCATGCGGAGCGGATTTCCCTTGTTTTCCTGTCAAGTTCTTATGTTTCTCTCTCTCGAGGACCTAGCTCATACGGTCAATCCTGAGGGCTCGTCGAGGAACGAGGTAGAAGCGTACCTCGGGGTCGTTGTCGTGCATGGTGCTGACAAGCGATGGAAATCATCAGAGAAAGTCATTACATGACATTTCAGAAAATAAAAACCTGGAATACGGTCTTGGTACATCAGCATTAGCGCGGAGACTTAACGTCGCGGTCTTTACCTTGTGCTGGTGTAGCGCACATTCGTAGAGGCGACTATGCGCGCCGAGGACGCGCGGATGGCATGGCGTGCGATTGAGAGTGAGAACATTGCAGTCGGCCGGGGCAAAAGAGGAGGAAGGACGAGCTCTTTTTGGGGCGTCTCATTTATCCATTTATTCTTCTCCAATCGTAAGCAATGACGTCAACGGCTGAAAGAGTTCATAGTTCCCACGATCCGCCTTCCCTTGCCATGCACGGGATCATCTTTGTTCTAGATTCTGTTTAGTCGGCCGACATATGCTGGAAATAGTTTGCGATAAGAGAGATGACGCCAGATAATAGGCCAGAAAGTCAGAACAGGCGTTCTACGCGAACGAGGCCAACCCAGAACGCCCAGGAAAATGTTGCCCACCAACCTACCTAACCGGGAGGGAGTACTCCATATGGAAGTCGCACAACCATATTGGGAAGGAATGAGGCAGAGTGATTAGAGGCTACATGCAAGACCAATTCATATGTCTCTGGGATAGCAGGGCTGGTATCAGAGTGCCAATAGTTCGTTTTGTATGATTTAGAAATGAGCTTATATTAATGATCGGCTTCGAGGTCTATCGCGGCATCTTTCGTCTACTCATCCTGGCCAGCTACGATCACATCATCTATGAAAAGAAAAAAAGTCAATGAAGTGCTCGGACAGAATAATCTGAGAGGAGCTTTACCAATCTTGAGAACTGCACGGACGAGCTGCGAAGAGTAAGGGCCAGGAAGGTAGGATAATGAACAGACGAGAATGCCTACCTGTGTGGCAAGGAGATATTGTTGGCGTTTTGAAATCAAAGGATCGTAAACGAATTGCTTCTTCATATCTGGAAAGCGTATTATCATTAATCGATGCAGTACCATCTCGAGGGTCAAATTTACCTTTTTCTCCTCGGTCGTTGCAGTCAATTCCCAGCCGTGAGTTCTTTTCGTTGACTTGTCTACTGCGAACTTCCGTAAGGGTTTCTATAGGTGATAGACCGCTATTTTCGGCGAGGGCTAGTGGGATGGCATCAAGCGCTGACGAAAATGCGCGCATTGCGTATTGTTCTATCGTTGGGATCTTGGAGAACAATGGTCAGATGCGGCAAAGACGATGAAATCAGGTAGGAAATACTTCATCCGCGGCCTTTGAAACGGCAATTGCACAGCTAATATCGGCAGAGCCACCTCCATAAACAACTCTGTTGTCGACAACGAGATTTCGGACGGCACAGATAGCGTCATGGAGGGCTCGCTTGGCTTCATCAACAATCTACGGAGACGTGAGCTTTGAAATCAAAGAATAGCGAAGACAATACCATCTTATTACTTCCTCGTACAAAGACGGTAACCGCCCGGGTATTGGCGCACTCTTCGATGACGAGCATCTTATCTCTTGTGGTGCCGAAAGAAAGCTCTCGTACAATGCCTGCCTTCCCGAGTTTTGCTGCCGTAAGATCTTCGAACCGGGGCACAATACGTCCGTGCGTGGCGATGGCGATCAGCTGTTGGATGATTAATTCTTGTTCGGAAGTTGGATAGCATGGTTAGATTTTACCTCGATTTCTGGCCCCCCAACCCATCTAACTGCCGGAAGGTCATTTTGCATGAGAAGATGATTTGCCTCATCATCGAAGCCCCACTGGCAAATGACCAAGTTCGCCCCCGTGTCTTTCACCCTCTGGATCATATCTGCGAATTTCTCCTTCTCGTATGAGCGCAATTTGTTGTATTCCTCCACACTCGTGATATCCAACTTGTGTTTCGTCTTGGGACGAGGAGGTTCGAACGGACACGTCAAGATGGCAAGGCGAGCATCTTTGACGGAGTGGGGCATCTGCGGGTGTGACATGTCTTTGTCAAGGAGAACTCCTCGAATGAGTTTAGTGTCAGCCAAAGAGCCTCCAACTTTGCCATCAACCTTGATTAGGTCAAACGGAACGTCGCGACGTTGCAGATCGGCGACAGCCAGAACTGCATCCACAGCTATTTGCGCAAACTGGGTGTGCTCCTTTGAGACACTGGCCGTACTCGATAAGTTCCAATGATCATAGGAGGTAGGAGAAAATTCACATTTTACTGCCTAGACTTGTCTTTGCGGTTTTCAATAGATTGTTAGTGTTGCTTGGTGAGAAGTCTACGCGTTCCGAGATGCTATCGAGGTGCTCGACTGCGACTGCGCAGGCACGATCGAAGCCGTCCGCGATACGGATAGGATGGATGCCTCGGTCGAGAAGCCCTTCACTTTGTTCGAGGAGAGCCCCAGCCAGCACTGCGAAGAGCTGAAAAAAAGTAAACAAAGAAAAATGGTAGAACCACGTACCAACAACACCAGTGGTGCCATCACCGATCTCATCGTCCTGACTTTTCGAGAGTTGCACGAGCAACTTGGCGATTTGGTGTTCCACCTCCATCTGTCCCAGTATTGTGGCGCCATCGTTCGTCACTGTGATCTCGCCATCAGGTGATATCAAGATTTTGTCAAGGCCTGAGGACGAGAAGGAAGAGAAGAAAGAAAGGTTGAGTTTCAAGCCAGTTGATCAAGGCCTTGTTAACAGACCTCGAGGACCCAGAGATGTTCGGATGATGTTTGCAACAGTTCGTGCAGCGAGAATGTGCGACTACAGGAGAATTTAGATGGAACGAGGTGGGAATGTTTTGAAAACGGACCTTGATGGCCTCTACTCCGTGTATTCTCGTTTTCTTCCCTTGTTCCCTGAGGATAATGAACGGTCTTCCGTACTGTGCAGAAATTGGGTGGGCATCTTGGGTGATAACACATTACCTACCTCATCCGTTGTATATACCGCCGAGTTCGGATCCACTGCGAACTGAGACATTGTGCAACAGGAGCAGAAGGAGAGGATCGAAGGACGCGTCGCGAGTCGAAATAATCTGAGAGACAGATATGTGACAACGTCACGCGTGATTTGGAAATGGCAAGGGTTGCATTGCCATCTCCCAATCACTCCACCACCTCCGCCAGACAATCTCTCCCTCTTTTACAACCTCATCCCCAATAGAAATCATACGATACGTATGGAGCACGAAATCGATGGCTGGATCGAACAGCTCAGCCAATGCAAGCAACTCTCAGAAGCCGACGTCAAAAAGCTCTGCGACAAGGTATGCGGATAAGAACTGGCGACGGCGCTGCGGGTGATGCGTACCCGGTCGGCGCTTCAGGAGCTGATTTTTCATTTCGTTTCTGCTATAGACGCGGGAGATCCTCATGGATGAAGGGAATGTCAAACCTGTGAAGTGCCCAGTCACCGTCTGTGGCGATATTCATGGTCAATTTGTGCGTCTTGTTTCATCCGTGTCCATGCGAGACGCCCATATGTTGTGCTGATAATACCCCTTCCCCGTCTACCTCCTCTCCGCTCGCCTCAATGCGTCGTGTCCACACCTGCGACGACTATCAGCACGATCTGTCAGAACTGTTCCGTATCGGCGGCAATTCACCAGACACCAACTACCTTTTCATGGGTGACTACGTCGACCGAGGATACTACTCAGTGGAGACAGTAACGCTACTCGTTGCACTCAAGCTACGATACAGCGATCGAGTGACCATCCTCCGCGGAAACCACGAATCACGACAGATCACGCAAGTGTATGGCTTCTACGATGAATGTCTTCGAAAATACGGCAACGCCAACGTCTGGCGATTCTTCACCGACCTCTTCGACTACCTCCCCCTCACCGCCCTCATTGACAATCAAGTGCGTTCTTCTTCGTCGACCCTATCCTGCTTCTTTGTGTGGCTTGAACGATAGTGCGGTTCGTCGTGTGATGGGCAGTTTGACATCTCAGAGAACTTTTTGACACCGCACTATCACTCTGGGTCACTTTTTTGATGTTGTGTTTGTGCTAACAGCTACCCCTAGATATTCTGCTTACACGGCGGTCTCTCGCCATCTATCGACACCCTCGACCACGTTCGCTCAATCGATCGAGTACAGGAAGTACCACACGAAGGCCCGATGTGTGATTTGCTGTGGTCTGACCCAGATGACCGTTGTGGTTGGGGTATCTCACCGCGCGGTGCTGGGTATACGTTCGGCCAAGACATCTCAGAGGCATTCAACCATAATAATGGACTGACGCTCGTTGCTCGGGCGCATCAACTAGTTATGGAAGGTATGTCCTTTGGCATACCGGTGTTTCCGTCGATGTCCAATATACTCAATTGTATCTCCCTCAATTCCCAGGTTATAGTTGGGGTCAAGATAGAAATGTAGTAACAATCTTTAGTGCACCAAACTACTGCTACCGATGTGGTAATCAAGCCGCGATCATGGAGATAGACGAAAAATTATCTTATAGCTTGTGCGCCCCTCTTTTACTTCTCTATTGCGACAGCTAACTCTTTCACATCTCCAGCCTACAATTTGATCCTGCCCCGCGGGCCGGGGAACCTCTTGTGTCGCGCCGTGTACCTGACTACTTCCTTGTGAGTGCATATATGAGCCGTTCTATGCTTCGCGAATCTGACTCTCTGTCTCAGTGAGCAACGACCCCACATGTTCAAATTAATAACGTACATACCGTTAAACGTGTACAGATCCTATTTCGAGCACAGCATGATATATACCTCTTCATTCTTTTGGCGCCAGACGGACAAAGCGTCATCATACACTTCCCTTGGATCGGACCAAAAGTGTCCCTTGGTACTTTGCTTTGGTTTTGCTCTAATGATCATCTTTCTTTGAATCCTATTTATGCAACCTCCCAGTTCTCAGAATTGTAAGGATTTACCAGAACGCAGATCATAAAGAGGGGTGAATAAATCTTAGCATCCATCCGCTCATTATCTATGGCACCACGTACAAACGAAGGATCCACCGACGGGACTGGCAAAAGTACAAGGCCCGCATCGCCACCGCTCCGAACGAATAAAATGACCCTCTTGCCGGGTATCTTCAGTTCGTCCAACGGACGGTGAAATTTTATGGAGAACGCGATCCAGCATCCGCGGGCTTATAGACCATCTCAAGGAAGCGGCTTCACAATTCGAAGAAGACTCGATTTCCAAGCATTTGAGGCCTCGACGATACCGAAATTGCTTTACTTCAAAAGATTCCGAATGGTACAAACATCTTCATATCTGTTCAACGTTGGGTCGCACAGGAATCGCGACGTATGGGTGCCCGACTACCTCGAGTGGAAGCCTGAGACGTGGTTGAACCCTTTTACGGATACCTTGGTTGATCCGTTTGTTCCTCACATCTCGTCACATTTGCGAGTTCATGTTACACCGTGTAGGCATCTCTTTGACGAGAGATTCATTTATACAAACAAGATGACATTCCTTGGTGGTGGCCGATTTTGCCTGTCAATCTCGCCTATCCTTCTTGTTTTGCCGCTATTCATCGTTTAGAGGATTCATATCTCGCGACTTGGGATGAGTGCGACTCAACTGCAACTTACTGAGAATTATCTGATCCTTTTCCCAACAGAGGCCTTCTCGTAGACGATCTAGAGTTCATGCTCCTAGCCAGCAAAGAAATAAGCTGGCAGTGGAATGTCGTCCCTTCGCCTGTCACTAACCGCGACACTGTCCGGCTACACATGCTGCTGTAGGTCCGCTGTCTCGGGAGGATATGGAGATGAGAGCGGGGCAGAATCTCGTCTTACATCATAGGCTGTCGATACTTTTGATATACAGGTCTTTCATCACCAAACATCTATCTTTCTCGAGCCCTTTTCCAGACTCGAATGCTTTCACCAACGATGCTTGACCTTCGTCCGTCCTGAAATGAGGGCACCAGAAACAGAGTGAGAGAACAGGACACAGCTGTGCATGGAAGAGACGTACCACTTCACGCCGTAGGAGCTCTTTTCCAAGATAACCTTTACGGTTGTCCAAGAAAAGCGCACAATTTGAGGGAAGCCAAAGACAGGATCTGTGGCTGTCTTCAACCAAGCTTGAGTATTAGGATCTAAAAAGAAAGTAGTCAGCAAGTGGCCACTGGGAAGTATTCTAGTAACGCTGCATTACCTGAGGGATACCCAGAACCTAGCTCCGAACTCCATTTTGTTTCTGTCTGACCTTCGCTTTCTTCAAAATGCCATCCTTCGATACAGGCGTCTCGTGTTACTTTGGCCGCCACACTAGCAGCACCGACGATTTTGAACTTTGAGTCGGCCTTATTTGTAACCGTAAAGCTGATCCCAGGGAACAGAGATGACAGGTACTTCTCGTACGTCGTTGTGTTCCCGAGAGCATCGACATACACCTTCTATGTTTTCAATAAGGTGGCTGAGATATGTGAAGAGAGGCACACCTCTGATAGCTGGATTCCCTTTGCAATAACCTCCCGAATGAGAAGGATCGTTGCTTCCTCGGACTGACGGTTCAAGTTTGTCGGCGGGCGGCGTAACATTCCGCTCGAAATCGCTTGAGGACTGGCAAATTCGTGACCATATGATTTCCGAGCAACCATTTTCACGCGCACCTGATGACACGGACAGACCACCCCAGGTTTGGAGGGTCAGAGCTCAGAATATCAAGAAGCGAAGATCGCGTCTCCGCATTCAACGTTTTGGAATCTGAACGGCAGAAGCAATGAGGATATGGTAGGGCGCCTGGCAGATAATAGAACTTCACCTGCAAACCCAAGCTTCTCCATTTTCTCTTTGTATGACACTGGACAGTATGCGATTCCATAAACAAGAGGCCCCAGAACTGGACCACGACCGGCTTCATCGACACCGAGGATGTACGGCCCGGGAGCTGTCGGCGTTGGAGAGTGGTAGGTGTAGGATGTCTTCAGTGGTGTGGAAGGACGAGGGGCTGAAGGGATTTGAGTTGACATGGTCGAGATGGCGGTAAGGTTGGAGTATACTACCACCGAATCGTGACGCGACGCGACCGGGTATTTACGCGTTGTTTGCCTTTTTCTTGGCATTTGTCTCCCTTTCTCATTGAAACCCCAATTGATTGGTAAATAGAATGCATAATTTCATGCGCAAGTTGCTGCGACAACAAGATAGTTTTTTGTCACAACCTAAATATTGCCCTTGCCTTCAACCCAATAACACCTCCTCCCTTTCCATCCCACCCAGTAATTATTGCACGACAGACAGGACAACTAGATGCAAAATTGAGGATCAAATCATATGCACGAAGTCAAAAACTCACCGAGCATCGTTGGCTCCAGGCCCAACATTACCCAATGTTGCGCGTTGGATCGTTGTCTTCACCGCGGTGAATAGGCAGACACCGCAGCATATATGACCACATGGTGTCAGAGTAGCATTTGTTGGAGGTGAAAAGCAGATAGGACATGTGTACGAGGACATGAGCTCGGGTGGAGGTTTGCTAGCGACAGGAGGGTCCACTGCCATCGCCGTTGTAGATTCGTCAAGGGTTGATTTCGTTGGCGAATCGGACATTTGAATTACAATTTCGGATTCAGGTGCCTTGCCTTTCCTTTCCCTTTACGGTCTTTTGTTTTGCTCTTGCCTCCGTCCGCACTCGAGCGTCCTGACATAGTCCAATGAGTACAAATAGGTCAACTTGGGTATTGTTGGCTCAAGAGAGGCACACCTACCCGGGTCAGAAACATGGGGTCGGAGACATAGCCATCATTCAACGATAACTGTTCAGCTATTTCATTTTCTGACTCAGCATGACTAGACTGCTGCGAAAGGTTGGAGGGTTCTTGAGAGGGAGGGACAGAGGGAATCGAATCCGTTTCACCGTTAGAGTCGGGGTCTCGTTTTCGTTTTCCTGAGCTTGACGCAGGAGACTGGAGCGCTGTTGAAAGCGATGACGGCCCTGCTACAAGTTCTTCGTTCCAGTTAACAGCACTGAACGTTGCCTCCGGTTCGTCTTCGCTATCCAAAGTGTGTTCTCGTTTCCTTTTGCCTGATGAAGACGAAGCGTCACTTGGGCCGGCCGGTGCGGGATATGAACTGGACTCCGAGATATGAGCATCCGTGGACGGGAAGTGATTTGAACCCGCAAGTGACAGAGCTTCATTTCCTCTCATTGGAAGCGGAGGAAATCCCGCGAAGCCGGCGGCATCCCATGCAGCCTCTATAGCTGCATACGGTTGGGGAGACCAGCGTCTGACTGTACTTCTTTGCACGAATTGTTCTGGGGAGGACGGCGATACATTCATTTCAGAACTGCCTCCAGGCTGTTCCGTTGGTTCGACACGATTGTTTTCCGAGCCACCGGCAGACGACATGTCCTGGTCCATCGGGAGATGTGCTTGTGCCAACGATGTCATTCTGGAGGTCGAACGCGAGACAGACGCAGACGCAGACGACCCGTGCGACGTCGAAGAAGCACGAGAGCCTGGCCTTGAGCGCGATCCAGCATCTTCGGGACGAGCAAGAGAAGTTGCGCGCGACCGTGGGCGGAGAGTTCGACTTGTAGACGGAGCTGGTAGATCGTTGGGGAAGTTTAAAGGAATCTCGGGAGGAGGGGCTAGTCTCGCTTGAGCTCGTGTCGCTCGGGCCATGGTAAATATGACTTTCGGAGGCGTTGTGCTTCAGAGAAGGGCAGAGGGGGGCTCTTCAAGAATCAGTTGACAAGGCAAGGCGCGTACGTCACGGTGCATGATCATGATGGCAGGCCTCTGTTGATGAGGCCTGCAAGCAATTATTTGTCACTCCGCGCCAACCCCTGTCCCAGTCTTCACAACCCTCTTCACTCCTACACTGCCCTCCGCATGGCCATGGGCTTGATTTTGGGTGTGGATACGACGACAGAGCTCCGACCGCTCCGACCAAGGCGAAGCTCTCACATGGCAACAAACAAGTGATGACATATGGAGGAGCCTGGGGGTCGAACATCTCTTACCACATCCTAATCGACGGTCCTCCTATTTCCCCCACCATGTACAATGACCATCGCACCAATCACCTGAGGAAACCCCCACCAGGCGCACAGCTTCCAACAATCCCCAGCTCTCCGCAGCAAGCATACGCGCCGTACTCACTCCAAGTCACGCCTCCGGTGTATCAAGAAGCGAATCGCCTCAATAATCCATGGGATAGTCAAACCTCTGGACCGTCTCATTCATACATCACCCCCCGTCCTCGCGTACAATCGATGCAGCACCTATACTCGAGCCGCCCGCAACCCCCACAACCTCCGTTTGACTCTGGAAGCCAACCGCGGATCGCTTTCCCTGAGCCTCAATTTTACCGCCCACCCTCTTATCCTCCCAGTACTTTCGAAACACAACAAAGGCCCACGCACCACCATAGTAGAAGTGATCTCAGTCATCCTTCAACAAGCAATCTGAACGTCTTGCACCATAATCCTTCTGTCTCTTCATTGGCATCATCCTACAATGCGACTGGGTGGGGTTCTGGGTCTAACGAGGTGTGTCGGACTCGCTCCTTTTGTCACAGGAGCCCACTGAACCGATTTTGGCTTAGGGATTTGACGATGACCCCGGAGATCTCGTGAGGGGACTCTCTGACCTGTCGTGGGTTTCCTCTCCCGTCCTTCTTTCTGTGTTATCCCAATTCAGTGCAAGACTTGTAGGCTGCAATCTGAAGAAGGATTCGAAGAAGGATTGCGTCGTTTTCAAGCAGGCGAATTACCCGAAGTTGATCAAGAGTGGCATCGTTTGGTCCCAGAAGAAGCCAGGGAGGCGCTGGGGAAGCAAGAGGTCCAAAGACAATCTGTTCTGTTCGAAGTCGTGAAATCTGAGAGGGAATATGTTGCAGATCTAGAAGCCGTGCAACAGGTGCGCCGCTTCTAATTTTCCTCGTATTCACTTTGATCTACATTTTCCTCAGCTATTCGTTGACGGCCTGAGGAAGGCATCGCCGCCGATTATCAAGAACCCGCACTGACGGCGTTTATCCAAGAAGTTTTCGGGAACCTCAATGAAATTCTCTCGCATCATAATCGTATTTTGGCTGCCTTATTCGCGCGCCAACGCGACCAACATCCTTTAATTCAATCCGTGGCGGATCTACTACTGGATAGTCAGTGCAAACGTCTTTACCTCCACGTATCATTCTTATCCATACCTTTCAGCGACTTTAAAATCCGAATTCCGTTCCGCATACGAGACATACATCAAGCACTATCCGCTGGCCGAATCACATCATCGAAAACAGCTCAAGCAAAACCGTGCATATGAGATATTCTGCCAATCCACTTCTAATGACCCTCGAATAAGAAAACGTGACCTTATCACGTTCCTCTCTCGACCTGTGACACGACTACCTAGACTTAATCTCCTTCTCGAGCAAATATTAAAATTAACAAACAAGGAATACGACCACCCGGATCTGGAGACACTTCCTATAATCACAGGCATTTTGAAAGCCTGTATCAAGAGCACACAACCTGGTATAGAAGCTGCGGAAAGCAAAGTCAAATTTTGGGCGCTTTGCGAAAGTCTAGTCTTCCAGAAGGGAGAGATCATCGTTCGTCATCGTCTTTTCCTCCTCGATAACATCGTTGATGACGTTGTTATAGGACATGGATCTCTACGACGATAGCCGAACACTGGTATACACTGGCCCAGTGATCAGGCGAGCCAAATCGGACACTGGTTTCTCTGAGAAATGGACGGATCTCGTCGCCGCCCTTCTTGATAACTATTGTGAGCTAGCAATATGCTTGTCGTGTCCATCCAGCCTGAACACTCGTATTTCGTGAAGTGCTTCTCATGAGGGAAGAGAAGAGGCCTAACGGTTCGATTAAACGATTACTGATGTCACGAGTATGTCCTATTCTCTCGGTGTTAACGAGCATTTCTTAAAATAGCGCAATATTTAGCCAATGCCACTGTCGTTCCTTCGACTAGGGTCCTTCGATTCGCCACCAGACACACGAAAAGAAAAATCCGAGGAGGGAAGACTCCTTGACAGTTTTCGATACCAAAACGTGCCGATATACCCATTCACGATCTATCACGCGGCAAGTCGATCTACAAGACGATATACCCTCTACGTAACGAGTGAGACTTTGAGGAAGAAGTGGTATAATGCATTCGTGGACGCTATAGGAGTGCATCGCGTGCGACAGGAGTCGAATATGGTATGTTTTGCCTTCCTGTATTATTGGGCATTTCTGACGTTTCTGACGCAATATTCATTTTTAGTGGTTCAGTCCTCAAGTCCTGACCGATGATTTTTTCCGAATAACCAAAACAGAGGCGCAACATGGAGGAGTGTCGAAGGTGACCGGACGGATCGTTTGTGCGGTACCCTTCAGTAAGTCCTGATTACATCGATGGCTCTACCTTTTCTCATCTGCGTTGTGTAGTGCATGGCAGTCGGAGATTTCTGGTTGTTGGCTGTGCCCCCGGAATCTATATTGCTTCAGTAAACTCTGAACGTACGTCGAGCTTAACGTTCGAGGCACGACGAGTCTGACACTTTCTTCGCAGAGTATCGATGGGTACTCCAGCACAAGAATCCGACGTCACTATCTGCCCTGACCACACTCGGTACTAAGACCTTCAACCGCCTCATCGTACACGCGGATTCCATGGTCATGACCTATTCGCTCGATATCCTCGCCCGAATAGCAGTTGGATCATCTGCACGTCAAACCTTGGAGGCATCACTGGAACGTATCGGCGGAAGTGATGCGAACATTGTTTTCTGCAAACACATTCATCTTGGAGGCAGGGCTCTACGTAAGTCTTTTATCAGCTCTGATTGTGGCTGGTGTCAGCGTCATGGGCCGTATCTGACCCCTCTGAAACACAGTCGTTTGTGCAACGAAACGGAGATTGAGCTCCTCGATGACTCTGCAGGTTCTCGAAGCGGTTGACACGACAGAACAGGCCGTTTCACCGGCGAGGAGCAAGGCGTCATCTGTGATACGGAATTTTAGAGGTTACGGCGATGTACGTTGGGATTTTTGCCTGCTTATCGCCTCCGACATGTCAGGTCTATAGCTTGACTGACTTGCTGATTTGCGACGCAATTTTCAGCCAGGATACGTGCCCAAAGATGCGTATGACATTGTCGCGCTCGCGAAGACCATAGGTATCTGCACGAGTGGCGGGATTGTAACCGCAGATCCAACGAAGTACGTCGTTTATGTTACCCCGACGCTGCTATTGAATTTATGGACATGTTTTCAATAGTCTAGCAAAGTCCTCGGTGGCAGTTGTACCAGACCTCTCAGAGGCGAGCAATAACGAACCCATGGAAAACTTGAAATCACACCTCGAAGGACATAAGCCTCTGGGGTTCGTTCGAGTTGACCCCAACGAACTTCTTGTCGTCTACGATGGTAATTGACTACCGTTCTGTGATACCTTCTTTTTTCTCATTCAGTCTGTTGTTGCCAGAGCTCGGCTGCTACATCAACAAGCACGGCGTTCCCACTCGACGCTCGGGTTACATCAAATGGGAGACCAAAGCCTTCTCGTACGCCCATCGCAACGGGCACGTCCTCCTCATCTCGCCGGAATTCATCGAGGTCCGCAACATCACCACCGGGCGTATTGTCCAAGTCATCGAGGGCCAGGAAATTCGGCTACTTTACTCAGACCCTTACACCACCAAGGACGACCCAGTGCTCGTCGCGATGCGCGGGAGCAAGGACGACAAGGACGGAGTGAGCGAGAAGATTGTCGAGCTGATGGAGACGGAGGAGATCAGCGCTTTATCGCCTATATCACCTACGACGATGGTTTCGCCATCGGTGTGGGACGATTGGGATATGTAAAGCTATTTTATGATTCGGTTTCACTCGCATGAACACTGCCTAGCTTTTCACTTCACGATTAAATTATGCGATCTACTTCATCTACTTCATTAGCTTTCGTTGAGTAATTGTTGGTACTTGGATACGGATGTACCTAGATGTAGTGCTAGTAATTCTAGTGTAGAATGGTCTACAAAGTGTATGTAATGATTGATGGTTCATATTATGATTGGTGTCCCCAGATGCTGGAACGTTAATACCTGCGCCGAAAATATGGGCCCATCCCTGATGCGCCACACAGCCTGATTTAGATAACCCGACATACTCCACGAGAGTCGAGCAACCTCTCTCGAGCTTGCTGAAGCCCGCAGATGACAATATACAAAAATAAAATTTAAACCCAGCAGCCGCCGGCGGATTACAGGTGCCCACGAAGAGACGAAGGCGCTCGGAGCGATGACTCTGGGAGAACGAGATATCGAAGTCTGTGTGCTCGAAGGCGACGCTGACATGATTGCACAAGTCAAGGAAGAGACGGGTGAGCACAGCTGGGTGCACTTCGCTTGCCATGGCGTCCAGAAGATCATCGAGCCTCTGAACAGCGGATTCCATCTACACGACGGACTCTTACAGCTTCGGCTTCATGATATCATGCTCCTGAACCTCGCCAGAGCCGGGCATGCATTCTTGTCCGCATGCCAGACTAGCACCGGAGACGGGCGGCTCAGAGACGAAGTTGTTCATCTCGCTGCTAGGATGCTTGCCGTCGGATATCGAGGCGTGGTGGCGACTATGTGGTCGATGCAAGACCAGTACGGACCCGAAATTGCGTCCAACTTCTACAGTCATCTCTTGGACAACGCAGAATTGACGACAAACGGAGGGCCTAGCGCTCATCAGCTCAGTGCTAGCGGCGCAGCGCGCGCACTCGACTTCGGCATGCAGAAGCTCCGAGAGAAGTTGGGTGGTGGGAGAGAGCTCTTTTGGCGTCGTTGCACTATGTTCACTTTGAAGTTTGATTTGGATTTCGCTTTACCTTGGAAACTTCTCAAGGATAGGCCAAATGGCGCTAGTATTACAACAGAGTAGAGGATCTAAAGTAATGTATGATGAGCCCTCGAGCGCTAAAGGCTCCTTGGCTTTTTATTGCTCTTCTGCCTCCGTTGTGTGGACCATGCACATTCCATCGTCCCCTGCACTGACAACAACAGACCCATCAAGGCCCAAAGATGCGCCCAGGACAGGGCCTCTGTGGCTAGTATGTGTACGCAGCAGAGTACCGTTACGAGCGTCCCAGGTTTTCAGTGTCTTATCAGCAGATGCCGAGACAAGGAGATATGCTTTCGGTGTAGGATGGGCGAGTAGCGTAGTAATCGCGTCCTACATGATAATCAATCAGTAAGAAGGTGTGAAGTAAAGTAATACAAGACAGACCTCATGTTCTAGCGTCGCACGAAGACGCATCGTGCTAAGATCCCAGATACACACTTTCCCGTCCGTAGCGCCCGTGGCGACTACACCCGGGCCGGTGCTCGCGTTTCCTGTTAGCTCGACGAACTCGATCGCCTCAATGCTCTCGCCCTCCTTATGGCCTCCAAGTGTGCCGGTAACGTCACCTTTGCTCAAACTCACTACACGGACACCACCGGCCGCACCACCGACAAGCGCGAGAGTGGATGAGGGGTTCACTCCGATGGAGGTGATTCCGTCGAGGTTGAATCGCGCGTCGTCGGGCCCGAGCTTGAAAAGTGGTGTGGAAGAGCGCGGGTTCCAGAATATTAGGTTTCCGTCTTGGTCCGCTGAGATGATTCTCTTGCCTGGAAATTGTGTGGTAAACAAGGATTCTGGATACAGAGTCGAGAGTAGACGTACCATCTGGGGTGAAAGAGCCACAGTTTACTGGACCAGAATGTCCGGCGAACACTTGCATTGTGCTTCCTGATGGTACTGTCCAAGGTGTTGTTGGTCTAGGCAGAATATAAGATACAAAGTAGGGACGTACGTTGCCAGAGCCAAAGAGTAGAATCATTTCCACCTGCTAACAGAACGGCGCCCTTGGGGTGCCATCGCAAAAACTAAGGTAGACGAAAACTGACGTCAGCATAAAGGGGGCATGCCACAAAACCGCCAGAACATACCATGACTTCATCTGGTCCTTGCAACTCTGTCAAAAATTCCCAAGTTCTATAGTCTGCCTTTCCAACTCTTCTCCATACGCGCACTTTGCCGTCCATGCCCCCCGTCGCGACAAACTCTCCATCTGTACTCCATGTCGCACTCGTCACGCTATCGGTATGGCCCGTTAATTTCACGATGACCTCGCCGTCTGTGATGTCCCAAATGTATCCTAGATCGTCTTCTCCCCCAGAAACAGCAAGAGGTTGTGTCGGGTGGCAAGCAACGGCGAAGACAGAAGAGGCATGGGTCGCGAAATGTTGAAGGGAGTTGTCTTCGACGTGACTCGAAGACCCTTCGGCCAAATCTCCCAGGGTGTCCTCCTGTTCTCCCTCCTCGTCATCTTCATCCATGGGCGCGTCGCCGTCGTCTTGAACCTCCGCCAAGATGTCATCTTCCGTGATAAACTGCTCCCCTTCGTCTTCCACTTCGTGATCGCTGTCTTCTGCGCGGGCTTTTCCTGAAGCCATTTGGTGGTGTATATGTGCTGTCTGAGGGCCTGAACGTAGGCGCGATGCTTATAAGATGGTTGCTGAGTAACGCGCAGAGGGATTTGCAATCTGCTCGCTGACAGATACAGCGGTGAATAAAAATCTACATAGCCATATCGGGAAGGAGGAGGCTTCTCACATCATTGGGCCGGGCCGGGGAGCGAGGGCTGGTCAAGGGTCTATGTACCAAAGACTACTCGTCCTTCCTCTGAAAGCGGCGGTGTGGGCAAAAATGTCTCGTCTATGAGATATAAGTAGTTCTTCTGCTTTTCATGATTAGGCCGTAAAGTTTCGGAGAGAACCCACAAAGAGAATGGCCGAGGGCGACCCGAGGATTACCAAACAAATATAAGCCTACATCTCCACGTCGACCAGCTGTTGACGCGTTTCTCATCCAACCACCATGCGCTTCTCACTTCCTCTCTTCGCGTCGGCGCTGATAGCTGGCGTCAGCGCTTCAAATGTACTGGAGCTTCTTCCAGAAACCTTCGACAGCATCATCGGAAAGGGAACACCAGCGTTGGTGGAGTTGTACGTGTCATATCCGGTCTAATGTTGGATATTCTGCTGACAACGCTCATCCGACCAGCTTTGCGCCCTGGTGGTACGTCCATTCATATACATGAAAAGCCCAGAATAAACCTTTCAAATGCACTCCCTAGTGGTCACTGCAAGGTTAGTGTCATATCCCTCAATGTTTCGTTGGGAGTCAACGACCTTTACAGAACCTCGCGCCTGTGTATGAACAACTTGCAGACGTCTTTTCACACGCGAAGGACAAAGTTATCGTCGCCAAGGTCGACGCGGATGGTGCTGGCAAACCGTTAGGAAAGCGATTTGGAGTAACAGGATTCCCAAGTGTGTTTGCCTCGTCATAACTTCTTCAGTGATGTCAAATTGACCCTGCTTTCATTTCAAGCTCTCAAATGGTTTGATGCTGAGGGCAAGGAGGTGACTTACGAAGAAGGCCGTGACCTCGAGAGTCTATCAAAATAGTGAGCCTTTTACTTTACTTTCCCTCGCAATGACTTTAACTAAGTATCGTCATATCTTTAAGCATCACAAAGAAAACCGGCGTCAAGTCGATTCTTCCCGTTCCGCCGCCATCTGATGTCGTCACTCTCGATCTGAACAACTTCAATGAAATTGCGCTAGATGAGTCCAAAGATGTTCTTGTCACCTTCACTGTGCGTCTTCATTCTAGGCAATTAAATTGTATTGACCGCAGACAATTAGGCTCCCTGGTGCGGTCATTGCAAGAACCTCAAGCCTCATTACGAGAAAGGTGTGTCCATCTCGACGTTGTTACATTTCACACGACTCACCTCCCGTAGTTGCCACGACATTCAGCCTCGAAAAGAATGTGAGCAATCCCCTTTTATTTTCTATACTCCTATTGAGCGACCTGTCTGCAGTGCGTTGTTGCCAACCTTGACGCCGACGACAAGAAGAACGCTGATATAAGCCGTAAATACGAAGTCACTGGTTTCCCCACTATCAAGTTCTTCCCGAAGGGCTCGAGCAACAAGATGCCTGTTGACTACGAAGGTGGACGCACGGAATCAGATATCATTGCCTACCTGAATGAGAAGTGCGGGACTCAACGTGCTGTGGGTGGAGGGTTGAACGATGAGGTCAGCCATAGCTCCATCCCTCCCTCTGTCCACTTGTGCTGCCTTCGAACCGGAGTGGCTCATCATCCCCTGATGTTTCTCCTTAGGCCGGTCGCGTTGCAGAATTTGACGCCCTAGCCCATAAGTTCTTCAAGGCATCAGGAAGCGCCCGTGAGTCGGTGTACAAGGAGGCCCAGAAGTTGGCCGCAAGCGCCGGTGCACTGTCCAAACATTACATCCGTGTTATGGAGAAGGTAGCCAACGGCTCGGCGGGCTATATCGAGAAGGAATCTAAGCGGTAAGCCCCCCTCTGTTGTGCGGTCTTGTTTCCTGGCTTATCGCTCCCTGCCTGCCCGTGTCAATGCTTTGCTCCGCTGCCCTTCCGAAATATCACACCACCGCTGACGCAGATTGGCCAAAATCCTGGAGAAGCGTAACATGTCACCGGTGAAGCTCGACGAGATTAAAATCAAGGCCAACGTCCTGAAGTCGTTCCTCGAGGAGCGCGTCGCCGAAGCCAAGGAGAAGCTCGGGCGCGCAGACTCCGAGTTGTAAGAGGTTTACGTAGGAGCGATGTAAACCCCTCAAGATTATGACGGCCATATTTATAACCCATTCGGAATCACGGCAGCTTTCTTGAGATCGAAAACTGTGAATTCCTATTGCCTCGCGCTGATTGGAAGTGGCAAGAGGCGCCTCGTGTTGGTCCACGCGTGATCGACCCATGCCTTGGGGACATACTATCTGGTATCGATGAACCCCTGGTCCGAGTACAACGTCGCATTAGGTGGAGGGTGAGGAGGCCTCGGTGTATTAGACCCACCTGGTACCCACTGTCCATTCCCCTCTGTGGCGCCTACTTTCTCATCTTATATATACCCTACCCACTTCTCTTTGAGTGTCCTCCGCGCCTCGATTGCGATATCTCGCACTCTTCCCTTGACTGATCGTTAGACACGTCCAAACATTCGCACTATCCGTCTTTCCTTCATTCACGCGCGACCTCTGCAGCTGGCTCCTAACCACGGACAGAAGATGGCGCACTATTTCAGCAATTTTCGAATCCCGCCGTTCGGGCGACTACGGCGCAACACGGACACGTTGGTAGCGCACATGATACCGACGCAACCTCCCGAGGAGGAAGAACCTTTCAAACCTTTCATACCACCCGGATGCGAAGACGAAGACGAAGAGCTCATGGAGCGCGAACATGAATTCGACAACGACGGCCCAGTGATCCCGAACAAGCTGCTCGAGCTCAAAGTGTACCGATACCGGTCGTCCAAGGACGCGTGGAAGCATGCACCAACGGTGGGCATGCGCATAGATCCGGAGAGGGAGGCGGAGCTCGACGAGCGCAAGCCGCCGATGTCACAAGTGCGGATCATCACCTGGAACGTCGACTTCGCGGCGGCGCACCACGAGGAGCGGCTCACGGCAGCTTTGCGGCACATCCAACGCGACGTCCTCAACGGTAAAGACAGCGACGAGGAGGGCAGCGCCCCCGAGCCATGCTGCATCCTGCTTCAGGAGGTGCTAGCGAGCGCGGTCCCACACCTCCTCCGCGACGCGTGGGTGCGCCGCTGGTTCGTCGTGACACCGCACACGCCCGCCAAGTGGCCCGAGGACGCGCGGTACGGCTCCATCACGCTCGTGTCGCGCTCGCTCAGCATCGCCGAGAGCCACATACTGCATTTTGGGCTCTCCCATATGGGCCGTGCGGCGCTGTGCGTCAAGATCCGGCTGAGCGTGCCCGGCAGCCAGGAGAAGGTCGTCGTCGCGATTGTCAATACGCATTTGGAGAGTTTGCCTCAAGGAGAGATCGCACGCCCGAAGCAGCTTGAGATGTCTGCGCGATTTTTGAGGCTCGCGGGCGTGCATGGTGGTGTTATCGCTGGGGATATGAACGCGATTGGGCCAAAGGACGCGATGATTGGGAAACAGCTTGGGTTGAGAGATGCATGGAGGAAGGGCGACATCGACGCAGGGAAGACTTGGGGGTACCAAGGGAATGACGGACACCCGCCAGGCAGACTGGATAAAATATTCTACTTGCCTGGCATGGCGTACAAAGTGGATGAACCTAAACGCATCGGCGTGGGCGAGAAGATCAGGGACGGAACAGACCAAGCTATGTGGATTAGCGACCATTACGGGTTGGAGACGACTCTCCGCCTCTCGAAGCCTCGTTCAAACTCGGCGTAATCGTGGTATGAGAGTTTTTGTGTTTTTGCTTTCATGTTTTCGCTTGCCGATCAAAAATGTACTGTACACATACTACTTACTATCTCCACCGCCTTTCGTTCTTCATTTCATTTCGCTTGTAGTTTTTGCACGTGGTTTTGGAGCTTTCGCCCTGTCTGATACATTGGATATATGAGATTCAGAACAGTTGTCCTGCATCTGCATGCTTCTAGTCGCGTTCATCTGAGATGCCTGTCCTCATACCAGTGCTGCAGCGTATGTGTGGCTCAGGGAAGGATCAGTGTGGCGCATATATCACCATCAACGCCAAGGGTTCTGGCTTGAACTATTGACCATCGGCGGAGTGAATGCGACTGTGCGATGGAAGACAACGGCGAGGACGGCCTTGGTGGTGTCGACGGTGAACGCCTGGCCTTTCACCCAGGAATTGCGGCAAGGCGCGCGAGAGTCGACGCATATGCATGTGGAGAATAACGATTGCGAATTAATACACCGAAGTTGAGAGGAATAAAACCTACGCATGAGTGAATAGCGAGCTTCTGGAAAGCCCCCCATTCCTCAACTTGCTAGTCGGATAATTGGAATCTGGAGACAGGTAGAAATCCAAGGGGACGAGGGAAGAGCGGGGCTGAAAGAACGGTTGTATTAGTATTTATATCGATACGCGACATTGAGAGCCATAATGGCAACGCCTAAACGCTTCAAGAAAAGATACCGGAGACACAACGTCGAACCGGAGAACAGCGCTCGAGAGGTCTTCCTAGTTGTTTAGTAACCCTCACGAAAGGCAGCTTTCTGGAATACCTGACGCAAAGGCTCCGATGCCGGCAGCTTCTTGGAGGACTAGTAGATACAACGGCCTTGAGCGACTATGAGGAATATATGAGAAAGTAAGCGTTCGCATTCAGGAGGTGCCAGAGCCGACACTTCTTGGAAGGCAGCCATGGAGGCTTTGACGTCAACCGGCCAAGGAAACGGATGCATGCTGCGCACGGAGTCTAAGAATGGGTTCGGAAGGTGCTGCGGGTGGTCATCGCTGTCCCGGACGGCGAGGAAACGACGAAGAGCAGAGAGCAGGTGGCCCGAGAGGCTGTGGGGAGAACGAGCGAGGGCAGCGTTTGGGAGGGCGGGTGTCGGGGTCTGGAGCATGTGGAATGATATCAGCTGTGTGTTTACGGGTATTTGGCGCCGGTTCTGGCGACGGGAGGGTGTTATAAATTTGATGGCAAGACTTTGCTCCTCATTCTTCCACGTTCTCACCTCCACTCCCTTCCCGCGCCTTCCTCCCACCGCCCACCCCCACGAACGATGAAGTCTGTCTTCGCTCCCCTCGCCGCTGTTCTTCTCGCTGCGACCAGCGCCGTCGCTCAGACGCTCACCGTCAATACCCCGTGAGTACCCCAGAATTCCCGCTTCCAGAAAATTCCTTATCGCCGCCCTCCCAGCCTGAGCGTCGTCGTCTGCCAACCTCTCTTGATCACCTGGACAGGAGGAACTCGTACGTCGCTGTTCGTCTTTCTTCTCCTTCACTTGCTCACATTCGTCGCTAGCCCCCTACTTCCTGGTTCGTCGTAATGCGGATTTCGTCATAGGTTTACTCTGACATCTCCTTCGTGATCTCTTTGCCTATATAGAGGTGTGTATCGGCCCACATACGCTTTTGACTTTCTGTTGAACTCCGTGGCAGGTTGCTTCCCGGAAATGAACCCACTGCCAATGCCATTCTCGATTTCGGTACTCTCACCACCACACAGCTCTCTTGGAATGTCAACATCACTGCCGGTACGTAATCACGCTCACTCGATTCACGTGCTCGTCCTCACTTGTCGTAAAGGCACCTCCCTTGGTCTGACCCTCCGCGATAGCACTGGCGCTATTTCGCAGTCCGCTCCTTTCACCGTCCAGAGTGGTTGTGAGTAGCAATGAGGGCTTACGTCCAACTCCTATCTCACAATGTCGTTTATAGCCGACACCAGCTGCCTCAACGGCGGTTCTACCACCACCACCACTGGCGGCGCTGGAGGATCCACCACTTCCGGCACTACCACTGGCACCACCACCACTGCTGCTCCCACCACGACTCGCGCGTATGTGCATTTTCGTCTTCTTGTCACCCTCCTTGCTCACTAACTCCTTGTAGCACAACCACCAACGGTGCCGCCACTACGGGTACCAGCACTAGCCCCCCAACCACCACTTCTGGCACCGGAGCCCCAGCGCAATCGACTGACGCGGCCTACAACGTTGTTGCGAAGACTGGTCTTGCGGGTGCCATTGGTGCCATATTAGTCGCTCTACTAGCCTAAGCCCGACACCCAACAATCGCGGAGAACTTCTTAACTTGCTTCGATGGAACTCTCCTACGTGCTCAGCCGAGTCATTTTCATTCCTTCTGTCCTCGACGAGTCAACTGTTTAATAAGTTGTTCCCCTCCCACCTCAAACGTCTAATCCTCCTCATCCATACCTCCTCTCCTCAAAACGTTGTTGTTGTGTTATTTTGACTTGCTACTGTCTACTGATTTCCAGGTTCTTGGTTCTGGACCCCTTTCATAAACGTTCTTTCAGACAATGCGTCTTTGTGCTGCTTCCTTCCGTTAGCCAGTCCCCTTGTACATACGGAGATGTAGTATATTCATGGTAGAGGGATTCGTCAGGGTGTTGGACCTTTCCAATCATTGTACATACCCAGCTTACATCTAATTCTTGCGTTGACGACTTCAAAGCTTCAAAGCTTCAAGAGCTCGATGAGCTTGAACACAAAGTGAGATTGAGATCCGTCTGTTGCGCTATCTCAAGAAAACCTTCTGGCACCAAAGATGACCCCACACCTAGACCGAGAAAAGCTCGAGGCAGGATCTAGATTCGTCGATCAACCCGACGGCGAAACATGTGGAACTTGGGCCAAGTTTACATATCTTCTCTCTGTAGTCAGGTTCTGCTGAGGTAGTCTCGGCGTCCCATCCTCTTACGGAAGCTCGTCTCATTTGCACGAGCTTCCGTAAGAGGATGGGACGCCGAGACTACTGCTGAGGACCTGCTCAGTATGAGGGGTAGAATAAGGATAGCCATCTCTTTCAAGCTGCCATGATCGACGTTTGGTTTCGGAACACAGGCGATCTTCTCTGAGGTGCCGAAAGGTGTTCAACACTTCAAGCGAGGCTGACATGATCCCCGGAGAAGACCATCTATTTCTGTCCACAAGCCAGAAGGACTGCCCAGTTAGGGTTCCTAGCGTTGTTCGTTCTTTCCTCGACAGGATCAGGGTGCCGAGATGAGGGAGATGTGGGTTAGAGAGTAAGTACCGCTAGAGGTGATAGACGGACGTGCGGGGATTGGACGTCGACTCGACATCGACGTCGTCCGATCGGTGAGTCTAGTGTGTCTTTATCTCAAGTTTTAGTGATACGTCATCGACATACAAGACAGCTGATTATCACTCACCGCATTTTAGGCGCTTGCTTTTCTGTTCTTTTCATACCAGTGTTCATGGTCGCGCTTCGCTTAGATTAGTTTTAAGCCTGCCGCGACTAAATGCGTTTACTTCTGTATGTACTACATCCCGCTTCCCCGATTCACTACAGTACTATTTAGAAATTCGAAGGGGAACGCGCCTGATGGAAGCGCGCCCCGCACCGCGGGTCGCGAGAAAATAATAGAAATCGTTCGCGATCGGCCCTTACGTCGCGTGGCGAGCCGAGCCGCTTATGGTTATGTGGCGTCGTTCGATGGTCGTCGTGATGGCAGATGTGTAACATGCGTTTGTCATTTGATCTATCATCCATCATCTATCATTAGACTATGGCAATGGGACTACGTACAAAGGAAGGGAACATTTTGGAGATTTGGAGGGAGAGGGCCCCGTGGGAAGGGAGATTTCGGACGAGAGGTCTTTAATCTGTTTTGTTTGTGGGAATGGCGACCTAGATATACGCCATAGCAGATGATCCTGAGGCTAGTGGATTCGCAAAACTTACTTGCAAGTCGCGACATCGGGGCACAATTCCGAACTGACGACTTCGTAGCAATTATATTTAGGTCTCGGGATACCTCGAATGGACTCGCACTTCCAGGTGAGATTGGTGGAAACCAAAATTTAGTGGTTGAGGCGGAGTTGTCTTCAAGTCCGATAAGATTCTGGGTTTCCATGATTCCTGCAGCAAACTTTTCTATTACTTGCTTGGGCGATCGGAGAAGACCCGACGAAAACGCTGGTATTGAACTTTGAAGGTATCTCTCTTCCCCTCATCTATCAGTCGTCGCCGGGCAGCAGCGTTCAAGCTCGTCTCCTCAATCCTTTGATGTGAGGAGCCGGGATGGATCGGTGAGGTATCAGCAACACCTTGATGCCAACTTTTTACAAAATTTGCTTTTACGTGCTCCAAACTCACGCCAGCCTATCCTACTTGGGCCGTCATCAAGATCCTATCCAAGTTTCTCTTGAAACAGACTTTGCTAGCCATTTGCGGCCAGCGGGCTCGCAAAATAAAGCTTTTTCGTTCATATTGACTAACATTTGTCTGGAAATATATCTAGCCAGATATTCTCTTCAATGAGAAGCGCATTCTCGGGATATTTGCAAGTCTCGCGGGTAGCGCTCGCCACTTGTAGACTTGAAGCCGGGGCCGGCAGGGCCGGTGAGCGGAATCAATTTACACTTGTTAGCCGGTCACTCGTGTCTATTTCTCTCTTCCTTTCCTCCATGTCCTTCTACCCTCGGTATTCCGGAAAATGGTCTTGCGAGGACCCGTCAAGGGTCTCATGACGCAGCTGGAATCTGCAGTCGGACGGCTTAATTCTGCGTCGGCGGGGTGACCTCTTGACTTACCCCACACTTTCCCCGGTTGCGCGAACTTGACAAGTGAAAGCTGCGAAGATAGTCCGGGCGAGGGCGAAGGGCCGCCATGCGGGATCGGCATTTGCCTGTGGGTGGCAACATGTAGGTACTCAGGCATCTTGATGTTTCCATGATCGTTCAGATCCACTGACGGAAGGAGGTGCCCAGGTCGAACTCTATGTACCGGGGCCTATAATCCACTTTCTCATTCCGTGCCTGCTTAATCGCAAACAGATCACTGTAGTCCGTACACGGGGCCAGAGGGGCTGAGCCTACGCAGACCTATAATATTCGATGGTTCCCCCGACTTTATTTTCTAGTTCATCCGGCCCTCTTCCCTTTCTCCTTCCCCGCATCTCCCCCGCCCCGCTCTGACGCGAAACCTCCAGAGGCCTCTCTGCATATCTTGCCGGTCTCTAAGTTGCATGGGGACAAATGGCGCCGCAACATGAGTCGCATTGGTCTGTCGTCGACTTCATCCACACAGGGTACTGGTGGAATAATCGGGGTACGTGGCTTGAATCTCTCTGGAACTCATTCGACTGACGCGAAGTTCACAGGCATCCTCCTGCTCAATGTGTTCCTCCTCATCCCCTTGATGACGTCTGTAGTCAATGGGCTAGATTCATCTCTAGTTAATGGTATTGAACCCTGATATAATGAATTACATACACATTAACCCTGTTGCCTTCCATTTAGGACTGCAGATCTTGCCCGACTGGCAAAGATACTTCAATGAACCGAGAGGAAAGACGTTAGGCAAGTCGAGTTCGGCGGACCTCATGGAACTTTCCATCCTCATCGGCGCCGTCGAATAAACTCAGGTCTCCTCAACTCCGCACAGTTCCTTGGCAATCTAATAGCTCTCCCATTCACACCCTTCGTGTCCGACATCTTTGGGCGTCGAGCAGCGTTGTTCTTTGGTGGAGTAATCATGTGTGTCGGTGTAGCACTCCAGGCTGCCTCCTGGAGCGTGGCGCTATTTATTGGTGCTAGATTCATAAGTCAGTCTTGCACTCTTTGTTCTTCCGCACTTCTCTGACACTAGCACGCGAAAATTCAGTTGGCTTCGGTCTCTCATTTTGCCAGAACGCGTCCCCTCTTCTCCTCATCGAACTTTCCTATCCCACCCAGGTATGGTCTCAGTGGGGCTCGGTGAGTAGCCTGTGACTTACTTTCCCCGGCGGCAACAGCGCGGTAAAATCACGTCCATGTTTAACTCGTGTTGGTACTTCGGGAGTATCATATCAGCCTGGGTACGTTTCGAATATAGCTACGATTGGAAGGTGTCAAAACTAATCTCCGACCTCGGTATCAAGGTCTGTTACGGCGCTTTTGATCACGCCTCTGGCAGTGAATGGTCGTGGCGAGTGCCAACACTCGTCCAGGCGTTCTGCCCCGTCATCCAGATCGCAGTTGTCTGGTTCATGCCCGAGTCTCCCAGATGGCTTGTCTCCAAGGGAATGGTGAGTAAAAGTACGGCGTCAGTTCCCAAGACTCGAGCTTAATGGAATGTTGCAGGAATCTCGGGCGGCATCTGTTCTCGCAAAGTACCATGCCCACGGGAGCGACGAGCGAGATCCTCTCGTCATGTTCGAAATGGCTCAAATCCGCCACGCGATCCGGATGGAGGAGGATATTAACAAGAGCACTTCCTATTGGTCCCTCTTCCAGACGCCTGGAAACCGAAAGCGAATGCGGATTATTTTGGGTATTGCCGTCTTCTCTCAATGGAGGTGCGCCTATTTCCCCAAGCATACCCCACACAGAGCTGAACATAATTCAACAGCGGTAACGGTCTTGTCTCGTACTACATTGATCTCGTCCTTGAAGGCGTTGGGGTCACGGATACGAAGACGAAGGCCGTTATTAACGGTTGTCTACAAGTATGCTTGTCCTTGCATACGTTTTGACGGCGCTCAATCTATATACATCTAGATCTTCAATTTTGTCATCGCTCTCGGTGCCGCCATGCTGGTGGATTTTGCTGGCCGTCGGCCTCTTTTCATAGTCTCTAACTCGGGAATGCTTGCAAGTACGTTATTTCCGTTCTTGATCGACGATAAAAACACAGACACAATCTATTCTAGCCTTCTCTTGCTGGACAATCACGACGGCGCTGTACAAAAACCTCAAAAATGCTGCTGCTGCTAAGGCTACCGTTCCCCTCATTTTTCTCTTTTACTTCTTCTACGATCTGGCGTATACACCAATGCTCATCGCCTACGCTCTTGAGATTCTGCCTTTCCGGGTTCGCGCGAAGGGCTTCGCGATCATGGTCAGTTGGTCTCTAGGTGCCACAAGTTAAAACACGAATGACGTCTCCTTCTAGAACCTAACTATGATGGCCACGGTTGCCTTCAATCAATTTGTCAATCCATGGGCGCTTGATGCAATTGATTGGTGGTACTACGTAATTTACTGCGGGTGGCTCGTCTTTGAGTTGACCTTCGTGTTTTTCTTCATCGTCGAGACGAAGGGTACGTCAACGCATTCAGTACTTACCTCGGCCTCGATTCTCATCTATCTTCAGGGCGTACACTCGAAGAAACAGCGGCCCTGTTCGACGGCGAGGAGCAACCCCGTGATTTGGTGTCGATGGCTGGTGAGGCTGCGCAAATGTCCATGAGAATGAGCAGAGGCATGGTGCTACCGGAGCAAGAGGTGTACGAGCGCAAGACGGTCGAAGACAGAAGGGAGGAATACTACGAGATGAAGAAGCGGTACCGCGACTCGGACGGCACGGCTTCGAGTACAGAAATTCTTGGACGGGCGATGTAACCGTCTTTACTGCGCCTCATGCGACGACCCCTCCACGACACCATTTGTGTATGCCATATCTATCTATCGGCTCGCGTTTTGGGCATTGTACAAAAGACATCTACATGGTTAAGCCAGGACTATCGTACCTGTAAAACGGTTGTTCATAATGGACTTTGTTGTAATGCTATTTGTTGAAATGGACATCTTCTCTGACCTATGATGTGATAGATGGTGCTGATTCTCTTCCAGAGAAGTCGATAGTACGTTATAACCATGGCCCTTTATTATAATACTTGGTCGGAGCCGTTGGCAAACTAAAAAATGTTATGCCCTTATATCGAACTAACTCTGCAGCAACTAATGGAAGGCGGAGATTTTTCTAGAAGTGGATCAGGACCCCTCTTCTGCCTCCAGTAGAGTCCAAACTTGGACATTGTTTGCAAAACAGGAGAATGTCCCCCAACCACTGCCATCGATCTCAACTCGTCCGTGCTGTGTCATATGGCTACCAAACACTTTCCCTGAGTTTTCCTGTCGCAATTAATCGACCATATGTCAGGACCAGAGGAGACCTTAAAAGTAGCAAGAAAGAACACGCACGGCGCCGACATTCATACGAAGTTCATGGACGAACGAGTCGGACCTTAAACGACAAGCCGTGTGTGTTTGTCAGAAAATGCGTGATCGAGCAAAAAAAGGCTTGACATACCCGTCCTCTCGATTGCTGAGAACAACCGCGCAGCCCTTGTGGGTGGTATCGCCCTTACGTACAAACCCGATGCAGTTTCTGTCAGCATTATAGTCTTCCGTTGGGCCGTACGCGAAGTTTTTCCGCGCCTCAATCAAAAGTGCGATGTTGCGTGCGATGTTCTCGTTGTAGCATTCGCGGTTGGGGTACAAGTCACCGTAAAACACGCATCTGTAGGTAACGGGTAAGTGGAAAGATAAACAACTAATCAAGGAAAGAGAGACAAGCGGGAAAGAAAGAGACATACGGAAGGCCATAACCTCGGAGTAATATGATGGCATACGCTTGAACCTTGAAGTTGTCACCTACCTGAGGAAGAGCACGGCTGCGGTGTTAGCAATGTGGGGAAATAAGGCTGTACCCAAATGGCACGTACCCAGCTTTCAAGACTCTGCCCTTCGACCTTTAGGACCAATCAGGGTCGGAATGACGAGGAAGCAAGGATCGAATCTACCGTACTGGAGAATAAGGAGGATCAAAGTGTCATTAAGATGGCAACCGTCAAAGAAGAGGAATTTTCCCACTCATGATTGTCCACAAACGTTACAGCGTCGTTTGGTTTGACTTGGACGATCGTGTCGCGGAGAATTTTTCTGAGGTCATATCGCGTTCGCTCTCTGCTTGCTTGATTGAAGTTCATGTGCAAAGGCACATCGAAAAATGCGGTCTAGAGGTAGTACAGTTCAATTAGGGATTTCCTGTGCCGTCTCGGAGAAACTAAAGGTCTTGACCTCTCCTTTGAATGCCCGGATGTAAGGAAGAACCAGTTTAAGACTAGATGGGGCGTTAAACGCCTATCGTGATCGATCACAAAGGCACCTACTTTCCCGACCAGTACTCCGCTAGACGTAGACATGTAGGGTTATTCACCGTTCGGGAAAACGTCGAGCCTAAGACTTACCTACAACGAACATGTCCTTAAGACCTGCTCTCCGCCGCGTTTCTTGGATCTGTTAATTGTCCATTATGAAATGTAAGGAAACGGCGGGCAGAACAAATGACCGACGATTCTCACCCACTGAAGCAGGAATTTCCGATCTATGTGTTTAATAGCATCCAGTCGGAAGCCAGAGGCACCTGTAGTCTGCAAATACACCAGAAATAAACTTAGGAGGATGGCCATCCGTTCCGAGCTCACCTCTAAGATCCACTGGCCCCAGTTTGCTAAGTCTTCTCGCACCGCAGGATGCCGATGATCAATCTAGCCAAAGAATTGGTATTTTCTGGAATATACAAGCATCGAAGGGACTTACATCAATACCAAGCAAGAAGTCGTAATTCCCGAGTTCTGAGTCAACGTTACGAGACCATCCCTTATGCCCAGGGCTAATTATCCGATAGATTCCTCTAGTCCTCGTCTTATGGTCCCAATCGACGCCTAAATCCAGACAGATTGGTTACATTGATTCACGACAAGTTCGGATAATATTCACCGCTGAAGTGTTCACGATTCCAACGCATACCGCCATACTACGAGACGGTTAGTATATCAGGTAACAAGGAACTGTGAGATGTGATCCACCTTGTTTCCTCTGCCAGGGTATTCGAAGGCTGTCCATCCCTGTCATCAATGCGTCAAAAGAGTCGTTCAGCTCCCGAATGGCTGATAAATAGCAGACGTGATGTTACCTCGACCTCTCGGGCAGGTCCAGCGTCCTTCAGACGGTTGTCTGGTTGAACGGGTACAACCTGGAAAGTCTCCACCTTATCGGCGCCTAACTTGTGCTGCAAGGTGGAATCAGAAAAGACGTCAAGCGGTCATGAGAAGACACCGACGTTGAGAACGGCGTCTATCAGAATGTCTATCCCATGTTCTTTCGCCACTTTGCAGGCCTGAAGATATTCCTCCCGCGTCCCCCAGCGGGTCTTGACGGTCCCTTTCTGGTCAAATTCACCTAAATCCCACTGAACTCCTTCAGCAAGGGTAACGTTATGGATAATTGGTCTGAACATACCAGATCGTATGCGTCATAGCCACGACCAAGCTGGGAATGAATTAAATTGCATGGCACACGGTCGAACATATTTGGAAAACAAGTTACCGGTTCAGCAGCCTTGTTCGGGGGAGGTAGCCAGACTTGGGTGAAGCCCAGACTAGCCAAGCGAGGGATCTCCGTCTCAAAATGCTTCCACCAGCTCATATTGTCATGCAAGGTATCCCAAGTGAAGAATTGGAGCTGTAAAGTCGCGTCATTTCTGACAAGAAAGAGCACAAAGGATTCGACGCTCACCATGAGAGGATTGTCATCTTTACCAACTGGACCGACACGCATGTAGAGGAGAGGGGAAGGAGGGGGTTTAAATGTCGTGAACCACGATTTGAGCTTAGCGAACATGATGGGGTTCGGACCTTGAGCAAACACAAGGAAGGTCGAAGAATGCTGGCAAGGACAGATGTTTGCCGCGCGGTAGTGGCCATTGGCATGATTTTGCCATGAAGGCAACAACATCGCAGCCGCCTTGGCCCGCAAAATGACAACCGTGGGAATAACTTGTCCTTTATAAGCTTAACTTTTTTCAAGACGAACCTTGGTTTCCACCACAGCACTACCTCGTTTCCTGCTGGCGTTTTGCTTCGCAATGAGGCGTGGATGCGGTGCGCTACCTAGTAGCTACGTGATGGGCAGACCAAACGGCCTCCTTAATCGCTCCGATCGCGCTCATTCTACGTTGAGAGGAGTTTCATGATGATGGCAACACTTTTCTGCAGAACCCGTCCATACTGTCCTGTCGGGTTCCCACTGCCAATATATCTTCGAAAAATCTGTACGAGACACTACTTTCAGCTATATTTTCTGCTGTGTGGGACGTAAAATTTCGCACGGAAAGCAAGAAAGAACGCAAGAAAGAAGAGAAGAGATGCTACTCCCTCGAAATTTGCAATTGGGTACATTACTCCGAAGATATACGATAGATAAGTAGAGCTCCTCATCGTCTTGATTGTCCGAAGGGTATCTTCATTAACCCGCCAAGGCTGGCTACCAAACTTGAGGATGTTGACCGTTGTGGGACCCGTTCGTCGGGTTTGAGCGGAGATAATACCGATGGGATATCGAGAGAACCATTTCCGAACTGAAGCAAGAGGACTGAGCAAGTATTCAAGAGAGGCAAAGAATTTCATGGCACGTACAGCAGAAAATTGAGGAAGGCCAGCACTTTTATCCGGGAATAAGCTCACAAGCTTCCGTTTCTTTTTCTTTGGAGCAGCTTCGTCATCGTCATCGTCGTTCGCGTCCCCTTGTTCAGTTGGCGCTTTGGCATTAGGCTGTTTGCTGGGCGCACGACTTGGAGGTTTCGATCTACGATTCGTCGTGGCAGGCGCCGTTTCTTTGATCACGCTTGGAGCCCTTGAACCTCGTTTCTTTGGATTGGGTTGTTCCACGACCTCCAGTTCATCGTCACCACCTGTTTCTTCCTGCTCCTCCACTTTTCGTTTACCCTTCCTCTTCTGGGCGGGAGGCTCTGGCGGTTCTGCCTCAGCGTCGTCTTCTATGGCCTTGGCCTTGCCTTTCCTCTTCTTGCGCGCGGCAGCATCTTCTTCAGGGGGTTCGTCTGGAACTTCAACCTCGGATATTTCTTCCATCTCGCTATCGCTGTCACTCTTAGGTGCTGGAGCAGAAGCAACCTTCCTGCCTCGCAAAGGCTGCGGGGGCTTCCCGCCAGTCTTCTTTCTCGCAACTTGTCCTTCGATCCCAGAGCGTCTGGTCTTCGTCTGAGTGGAAAGCCCCGGCTTTACTGTTGTTGACGGTTTGCATTCAGGTTTGACGGCTTGCTTGAGTGGTGGCTCTTCTTGTTCCGCGTCTACATCGATGACATCGACGTCTGCTGGAGGTGGGTGTGGCTTCTTGAAAGAAGGGAACAGGCTTTCAGCAACGCGAACTTCAAACATAAAAAATAAAAACGCACTTGAGGAGAAGGAGGTCGCACTCTGGCACGTTCAATCTCTAGATCGCTTTTAAGTTTCTGGATCTGCTTCTCCAACTTTGCCACTTGCTTCTCAGCGGTCTTGGCCGTCTGCTGCTGTACTTTGCACTCCGCCTATGCCACACAAATAAGCAAGCGCCATCAAGTAAGGGTTGCAACACAACACACCTCCCAATTGTGGGTCGTTGTCTTCATCTTCTCGACGCGTCTCTCCGACTTCTCCAGCTGAGCCTCCTTCCTCTCGAGCTCTTCTTTGAGTTCCGTGTTCTCTGCCTCCAGAGCCAGCCGTTCTTTCCGCTGATTCTCGGCTGCAGTACCTTCCTTGAGATCTAGGCTTTGCCATCTCTCAAGTTGACGCGTGAGGTCTGCGTTGGTTCGCTTGAGCTCATCAACAGTACGCTCGAGCTCTGTGGCTTTGTGCTGTGTACCCTCGAGCTGGAGTTTCGTACGCTCGAGTGTAGGGCCTGACGTCGCAATTTGGCCTTCAAGGTTGGCATGCTTTTCGAGTAGTTTGTTGTGTTTCGCCTTGTGCGTGCCTCAAGTAAGCCACAATAGCAATAGAATACCAGAAACATACCTCTTTTTCCTCCCTCTCTTTCTCGCTCCGTGAAAGAGCAGCCTGCGTGTCCTTCAGCTTGATGGCATAGTCCGCGCATTTGCCTTTCATCTTCTGCACCACCAGCTCATACTCATCCTCCATTCTAGCCTTCTCCTCTTCCAGCTCCTCCATCCTCTGGTCTGTCTCTTCTTCCTTCATCTGGAACAGCTTGATCTTGAAATCTCGTTGCAAACGTTGGAGCTTCTCTTCACGAGCAACCGCCATTTCTTTGATGACCGCACTCCTCTCCTTCTCTAAGTCGACTTCAAGGCGTTTCTGCACAATGCGATATGAGACCAGCAGCTCTTCGCAGCCTTCTTTCCAAAGGCGTTGATTCTCGTCCCATTGTTTCTGGATTGCGAGCACGGCTTCTTTGGAGCGTCCTGCTTCTGCATTAATCTGGGCTGTGAGCTTCTGGTTGAGGTGTTCAAGCGTCCGGTTCCGTTGGACGAGGTCATCAATTTGTGCTTGATTGGATGCCTCCAGAGATGGTGGACCGGCGCCTAACAGAGGTGTCCCGCCACGGCGTAGAGACATATGTCGAAAGGGGGAACGACTTCCAGAGACTCTAGGTTGGCCGGTAATTCCTGGACTTTCAGAGGTAAAAATGAGCATTCAATTAGAATTGCATATATATTGCGTACATTTGCCAGTTCAGATGAAAGAAACCGCGACAAAGGCGTCAGCCGTAGGGTGGAGGCGCGAGTCAACAAATGGAGAAGACAGCGTGGGAAATATGGTCAATTAAGCAGCACGTGGTCGCGGAATCGGAACGACCTGCAGAAGGATGGCTCCCGCCAAACCGGTCAAGAACATCAAGCTCAACGTTCCTCGACATAATGCCCAAAGAGTCAATGCGAAGCTGAGTTTAGAGGTGAAGAACCAGGCGAAGGACCTGGGGGTCTCGGTGGATACTGCTCAGCCAAGCTCCAGGTTGACCCAAGCTATCGTGAGTGGTCTATGCCTTCCCCCATCGTCATCTCATTCATCTGTGCTACGTAGGAAAGTGCATCGGAATGGAATTCTATGCTTATGACTGCGAGGGCCGAACGAGGTCCGCAATGGGACGTTGGAACCCAACAGTTCGTTGTGTTCCCTGATCCATTTGCGAATCATATTCACCTCGATTTCTGCCATAGGTTCCTCGTTGATAAATATTCAGATCTTTACTATGACCCTACACCCCTTCGCGCTGCTGTCAAGAAAATGACAGACGACGAGGACAGCGGGGACGCTCCTCGACAACCTCAACAGCAAGCCTCCTCCCAGCCTCACCAAGGGCACCAAGGACATCAAGGACACCAACAATCCTTCCAACTGCAACAACCCTCCATGCCTTCCCGTCACCACACACCATCCCGACGCGACATGGGTGAATACCCTATGGGCCCATCTCACATGCGCGAGCACTCGCCACACCGACCGCCTGGCGCCCCACCAGGCAACTTCAACTACCCTGGATCACCAGGCATGAACATGAACATGGGCATGGGCATGCGTGGTCCTCCTGGTGGCGGGCCGGGGCCGTATCCTGGCCCCGGTGCGGGAGGCGGAGGTGGTGGTGGTGGACCACCGTTCAACCCCGCCTCCGGCCAGTTTATCGGCGGTGATCCCACAAGTGGTGGCTCTCCAATGAGGATGGGTCCTGGAATGGGGAACATGAGCATGGGCGGCGGTGGTATCAATCCCATGGGTGGAGGAATGCGACCTGGAATGGGCGGCATGGGTGGTGGGATGAGCACTGGAGGTATGCCAATGGGTGCCGGTATGGGGGCTGGGGGTATGGGTGGCATGGGTGGCGGTAGTGGCATGGGCAATATGGGGGGAATGGGACCAGGAATGGGTGGAATGGGTGGTAATATGGGAGGCGGCAGTATGGGCGGTGGTGGTATGGGAGGGATGGGAAATATGGGAAGTATGGGTGTTGATCCCAGTGTTATGGGTGGTATGGGGATGGGGATGAATATATCCCCCAGTCCAATGAGAGGCATACCTGATGGAGGTTTCCCTATGCACTAGCCTATCACCTTCTTCCTGTATGTATTTTGTTCCTGTTGTTTTGAAACTATTGTTTCATATTTTCTTCATTGACCAAATTATGTTGTACATGAAGTGGTAACTTGAGTCCGCATATAAATTAGACAAGATTTGCGCAAAAAAAAATCGTCTTTCACCACCCTTCTTCACCCTCCTTCCGTCCTCTGAAGTTGCACTCTACGAGCAAAGGAATAATCTCGCCTCCCTCAGGTTCCGAATAATAATCCAAGAAAGTCCAGCCACGAATCCTTGGCTCCTTTTGTTCTGAAAGGGCGGCCACTTTACCCTTTTCCACATCTGTCATTGCAGTCCCAGACTGAGTCTCACCGCCTAGCTGGTCCAAAAGCCATTTACCGAGTCTGCTATTCACCCCTTCAATACCAAGACCCCACTTCGGCCAGCCGAAGCCCTTGGCCACGGTTGGAGGGAGGGCAAAGGGGAAGGAAGCTGCAGAGAAGAAAGTCACAGGCAGTACAGGTCCTGGGGAGTCAGCTGGTGGTATTAGATTAGCAGACGCTCGTTCGACCTTGTCCGGAATCTTGAAAAAAGAAGGTATATTGTACCTGCAACACAAAGAGGGGTCAGTCTGAGAAGTCACAACTCTTGACTCTTGAGTACAGGGACCCACCAATCATGTGTTCTGACACGCGTGCCTTTCAACTCCCATTCAAATCCTTCCTGGTCACTATCGGGCCAGGTAGTGGGATGAATCCCCAATCCTTCCAACCCTCCTTCCCAACCAGCTCCATTCCCACCAAACCGACTGAGCATAACCACTTTGCCTCTGACTTCACCTAAAGTCGGTATACGATTCTCCAGAAACCACATGCCTCTATTCACGCCTGAATCACTGAGCTGCGAGTCGTCCCATCCACCTGGACCCTGGACTATCGTCTCTCGCACCAGCTGAGAAAAGAGAGGCGTAGGGGTAACTGCGAAGTCCTCTTGTTTGATTGACATAATAATTGTCTCCATGCAACCAATGGGCGAGGTGAGGAACGTATGCACGTCGTTCAGAATGGCGAGGAAGGGCGTCTGTTGGGGCCATAATCCGTGGTATGCGATTAATTGTTGGTCCTTCGTCAGTGGAGCCTCCTTCGGGGACGGCGGAGGGATGACGGCGAGCCGAATATCGAGTACGCGAATGCCTCCGTTCAGCTGTGTACTTAACGGAACAGTTTGGCACTGGGAAACCGGCCAACCATAGAATGCCATTCTGAGAGCGAATATTTGAGAATATATGCGAAGAGATCGGTAAGAGACGTACGTATCATGGGTACCTATGGGTTATGTTTGATCAACACTATGCTCAACGCAGCATGTCTGAGAATACCAACCTGGTAGAGACAAAGAGGACAACGGAAGGCGATTGGGAAGTTCAGAGAGGAACGAAGCAAGATTCCTCCTCGACAAGATGACCAGCTTGTGGTGGCCTCGCGAAATCTGAACGTTGAACATAGAGCTAAGTTGAATGTTGTCGTACGCTAACACAGAACACATACCCGACTTGTGAATACCCTCCACGGGCACCCTACTGGTACTGGCACGACCTGCCACGATGCGGAGAGTGTCATCGAGAAGCGAATCTTGAACCCCTCAGGATGAATGTGCCAGTCCTTCTCCAACAACAACTCCTCGATGCCAGGAGTAGCTGCAGGCTCCGCAACATCAGGCTGGTAGGTTCGACGGAGGATAATTTCCCGACGGAAGCCCTTCACTAGGGTCGTTGAGAAGTCTGTAGAGGGCTGGAGAGTGAAACCGTAGGCAGACTGGGCAACTCCCTTCTTGTGCTGAAGTAAATTGAATTTGTGCGGTGTAGGGTATGTGTGGGCGGTGATGGGATCATCGGTGAGGTTCCTTACGGTGAGGTGCATAGTGGAAGCTGCCAAAGAGTCAGGAGATGCGACAAAGAAGTGGAAGAGGTTGACTGGAGGGCGTTGAGCTACTTATACGGTAGCAGCACCTGGGGAGACATCAACGAGTTCAGTTGGTGCCGGGTGCCAAGGAGCTGGACAGAAATAGAGTGATTGACAAACAACACTGCGGAGGGTGGCCCTGCTTTCCCAACCAAGGAGCAAGTTACGCGTGAAAGCGCTGTAAGCGTGAGTTTGAAACGAGTATTATCGACGAGAGTACTCTACAGGCGTAACTCAGGGGTAGAGCGGCCTGGGTGACGAAGGTTCCAAAAATGGGCAGGAAACTCGGCATCCGTAAACGGATGAATCTGATGGCAAGGATGATATTTTTTGCCTCCATCGTCTGAGTACCTGGTGCAACATCGCATCGTCATCTTTTTTCCTTTCCTTTTGAGCAAAGTTCTAACTTATCGTCAAGATTCTCTCAGGTTCGCTGCTTTCTGGAGGCGTTTCTGAATGTCCTGATGTTTTCTGATGACGAATCTCTGTAGGAGTCACGACTAAGTTCATAATCACAGTCGGCGGTTCCGAACACAGCTTGTCCTCTAACTACCTCCCTCTCATACACTGGCGCTCCTCGTTATTCCGCAATTCCCGTGCTGTGTCCCGTGTTGGGTTCCGTTTTTTCTATCCAATCGCCGCTATCAAGGTAAACCTTTGTCCAACTTATCATGCATCCAGTTGACTTAGATCGATCTTTCCCCATTTTTCAGAGCGTTATGGTCGTGGACAATCGACCAGAGGAGCATGATGAGGACCAAGACTCTCTCTTTGGGTCTCCTCCCCCCTCTCCTCGCCTGACAGGTAGGCCAGGGTCTCCAGTTCTGGCTCTTCCCCGTGCAGGCCCCAGTCAAGGGGCAGATGCCAGGACAGGCGCGCCGACGAGCGTCGCTGTTGACACACAAAACGTGGGGACCATTGCACTTCCTGGTTCCCAACATCATTCTGAACTACCAATCAACCCATTAGCCTTGTCGTTGAACCACGGTGTGGTTTCTCGGCCTCCGGCCATGCTTCAAACACATGTAGCTCAAACCCTTGCAGGGGCACAAGCGAGCTCACGACGAAATAGCTCGCAATCAGACGGCGGTCCTATTGCCTCAACTTCGATGTCTCCGCCTCCCGTTGCGGCGTCCAGTGCCTTGACCAAGGCCTCGACCGGGAAGAGAAAGAAACGGCCTCTACAAACTTCGCGAGCTGAAGAGGAGCCCACGACGCCGCCAGAACCCGAGTTTACGCTGCCTGATCCTACAGCACCGCCGCCTGTCCACTTTCTACGTAATCAAGACAACCTTCTTGGTAAAGCAGGTCGCGTGGGCGGAGTAAAGCCTTCGACATTAACCCACACACGCGGTTCTACCCCTTCCAACCCCATCCTTGTTGATGATGACGATACCCCCATGATCGGCCGTCGTAACCATTTATCTCAGTTACGAGAACCTTCGAACTGCCAACCCTACATCGATCCTTCTCTCCTTACCGCACCAACTAACCAAGAGATCGTTCAAGTCCTGATTGGCCAGAAGGATATATTTCCGGTGCTCGAAAGTATCTTGAAGCTCATCATGGGGGCTACGCCAAAACCTCAATCCGACTCACCACCACCACCCACTGGATTCGAACGTCGTCCGGCACAGGCGCCATCGCAGACAAATGCTTCATCGGACTTAGGTCAATCTGTCAAGAAACGGCGCCTTAATCGAGTGCCCGCAGGAGCTGCTGATTGGGATGTCCCCTATCCGTTCGAAAAAGGCGAAGGGCCAACAGCGTATGAAAAGACATGGGAACGCGAACGAGGGAAGCAACTAATTGCTGAACTTATCAAATTGATCAAGACTGCAGCACGGAAGGCGGCCACAAAGAAATATCTCGCAGAGCAGGAAATAGGGCGGAGAGAGACGCTCGAGAGGCTTGGTGCCAATGGGAGGCCGCCGGATACGACCAGACCCACGATCTACTACCGGCCAGAGACCTTCACCTATGGCTCGGATGGCAAGGTTACACCCACCATGGGCACGACAAGGCAGGATGGTCATGATGTATTGAGAGATGCAAGCAACGCCACCTACATTGGAACGGGAGCTAGCTCAAGTGCTGACCCCACTCAGAGCCGTGTCTCGTCCCAAAATGCTACCAGTGCCCATTCTGCCGTAAATTCTGCGACGTCTTCAGGGTTGCCGTCTACTTCGACAATTTCCCTTACATCACCCGAATTTGACGCTTCGACGTCGTCTTTTAACCTTTTCACCACCCTACATGACCCACAAGCTGAGACTTCGGTGTCACGGCTCATCGACCTTACAGACAATCAACCACTTCAGCAGGTTGAAACTGCTCATTCTCTTCCTGCAGACAGCTCTGCACCTGAACCCTTCGACCAGAATGCGTTTGATACTTGGATGAACTTCTTGGAGGCTTTCCCAATGCCATTTGACCCCACCGCCGGTCAGGATTTTTCAAACATGACGATGACCCCTACGACTACCACAGAGGTAACACCAACAATATCCCATTGTTCGACGCCTATGCTTGATGATTTTCCTACTCACTCGACGTCTGATGACCTGGCCGCCTTTTTCTCAATGCTTAACCAATCAACCTCTCAATGCCTTCCCGATTTCAATGCCAATGTCGACAGCTCTTTGCCCTCGCTGTCTACGAACGACTTCGATTCTATGACGCAGCCTTTGCCGTCGATTATCACGGATCACTTGATCGATCCTGACCTCTTGGCAATCTTCAATAACAACACCAATTCCACGACCAATATTGACTTCGGGTCGATGATGAACTTGTGTTTGGACAGACTTCAGGCGCCATCGCCGATCGCGTCAACGAGTTCAATCGCTGGCAGCAGCTTGGACCCTGCTACGCCTGCTTCAGCAGCATGGGATATGTCTTTTCCTGATGTTCTCGTCGGTGATGGCGATATGAACACCAGTGGACAAGGTATGTGGCGCGACACTATGTGGGATAGCTTCAATAGCATGACTCAAATGGGCTTGTTTGATGTAGGGGGTGGAGGAACGTCGATGGACCTCAACAACGATCAGCATAGCTTCGGAGTTCTTCCAGAGCTACCGGAGCCAGAGAAGGATATGCGAGTGCCTAGTTTACCAGCAACGTCGTTGGATAAGGGCAAAGGCAAGGAAGCGGAGCCGATTTCAGCGTCGGCTCCCCTCGCACCATCCACGGTGTCTTCAGCAGCGCAGAAAGCTTTCCGTAACCTGTTAGGGCTTCAGACGAGTGATGAACTTTTTTCCGCCCCTCCTCTTGGACCCTTTTTTCCTCCGTCGTCAGTGGCGGCGTCGTCAAGACTCATACTTGAACGCGGAAGTGGAAGTATGCCAATCAAAACAGAACCTACTCTTCGAAAGGTCCGGAAAGACGACATCATCAAGCGCGCTCAAGAGAAGCGAAGGCAGCTCAAGGAGGAGCTGGATAGTGTCAAAAAGCAGCTTTGGGCAACCACGATCGAGCAAGCTGCCTTGATTCATCTTCTCAGGAAATCTGACGAGACACCAGGTATGGTATGATAAATGTTGTACTGGTGCAGTTGAAGCATAATAAAGCGAAGTCATAATTTTTTCTATGTCTGAACTACCAGGTGTTTTGCGATGAGATGCAGGCGGTAATTTCATACGCTATCATGTCGACTACATGAAATTCATCAACACAAACCGCTACTGTTAACCAACGCATACAGATCACAAACCTATGAATTCTTCTGACTCTGAGCATCACAGGCAATGTTCCACTGACCCGAATCGACGTTCTGCCGCTTCTACCACTCAACAAATTCAAACAGGACTCCTCAAGAGTCCCTTGGCCTTCTCCAAATACTTCGGAGGCGTGAGTTCCTCTTTTTTCGACTCTTCCGGATCGTCTCCCAAGGCCTCGTCTCCAAAAGCGATAACATTTATGTTCGTCCTGTCGTCCAACGTGAATATTCCGCAGATGGGATGTTCGCTTCTATCCACGTAGTCCACAATCTTAATAGCAATCCGGCCACAATCCGACCATCCTGAAATTTCTCAGTTTTCAAGAAATGCATGATCTTCACAGGGTCAATGCCACTGGGATGACCCCTAGCGACGAACGTAGGTCGGAACGTAAGCCCGTCAATAAATGGAGTGCTACTAAGCTTCTAATGCAATGCACTGCACAGACCATAATGAGGACTTGGGTGTCAAAGACCTTGGGCTGTGATGGCGGTACTTGACTCAATCAAAACAGAGCAAAGATCCCTAAGGACAGTGACCAATCGCTGAACATCAGCAATCGCCAAATGCAGCTTGAGCACAAGACGTTCGATTTGTTTCCAGATATCATGGCATTAAACAGAATTAAGTAGAGGATTTACAAGAATTCTGGCGGATGGCATGCTGAATGACTGGCCACTGTGCAACTGCCTAGCAAGCCACGACCTCACCTTCCACCCCATCCCAAACGAGTGTGGTCACATACTCTTGCACGAGTCTGGTATGCCCCTTGGTCCAGCCAAAAGCGGAAGAAATGCACAGAACATCCAACAGCCGACCTTTGACCGTGTCTTGCAAGAGAGAATGCGGATCGATGATGGAACCGCGACCAGCGGCGTATCCCGTAAAATCCGCGTCGTGAAACCAGACCTTGCGTAAAGCAGGGAAAGGCTTTCGGGTGCCGGTTTGCTCTGAACCTGTAGCTGAATCCAACAATGTCAGAAGTGGCTCCATGTACATTCCCGAGGTGAAAATCGAGTGTAATGCTGGGGATGTCTCAAATTCTTTCAAGACAGCTAGATAACTTGATCTCTGCTGCACCCATTCATGTCGAGTTGTTGTGGGGTCCAAGAGAATCATTAGGTTCAAGTTTTGACAAAACAACGCCTTTCTGACAGCAGCAGTAACAGTCTGAAAGACGTGTGGTTCTGCTAGAGGCGAGTTCCAATAGAAAAGCAGTCTAACTCTGGGATTTGTAGCGAGACACAGCGCTTTAGGTTGGAGGTCCTCCAATGCATCAGGGTCTTCTGACCAAGCTTCAAATTGGATTCTGTTTCCGTATTTGTTAGAAGAGTTGGGGGAGATTCGCAAGGCCCGCGTAGCAAGTGGGGATCCCACCTTCATGGAAGCATTGCACTGGGAGAAGTGTGAACCGTTACTCAGAGCTGAGAGGATGTCCGAAAAATCGACATCGTTACCGTTTCCACCACGGCAAGTCAGAGTGATCTGGGTGGAGGAGGGAAATCGAAGATGCACCAAGAGGTCAGTTAAATTGGATTGGGAGTCGAAGAGCTCTATTTCTTGTAGCTCGGAAAGGTGGACATCGGAAAGGACTAAGGAAGGCCGAGGCGATCGTCGACTGAGAATACCCGAACTCACAAGGCGTAGAACTTGCAGAGCTGGCATGCGTTCTAATGCTTGCAGCAATTCGCAGACATCGGAAAACCCATAGTCGGTTGAATCATCTACATCGAGATACGTGAGATCCTGGAGGAACCTCGATGTCCAGAGTTGGGGTGTACAAGGCAGCTCAATACGCTTCAAAACAGGAGCTTCGTGCAGCCAGTCCCCCAAAAAAGAGAGGGGGTCATTGATCGGACCTCCGCGTTCTGAATACATCGAGGAAGACATAGAAATGGTGTGCAATCGAGCTGCAGATATGCTGCATGTGTCGTCGTTGAATAAGGTTCGAAGGTCGTCAGCGGTGACTCTCTGAAAGTATATTTCCCGGAGGCGAGAGCCGTGTTCTTTGAGGATACATTGCAACTGTTTGAAGTTTTCCGGTGAATCGAATTTTGGGAGACGGAAATTGATATAGAGCACGAGGCTGGCAGTCTGAGATCTTTGGATCATTTCTTGAATCCAGGAAGGATGAAACTTGAAGGAAATGTGTGTCCAAAGAGAAGGACATCTATGGGCCATCTCTCTCAACCATTTAGACGTATGAAGAATATTCATCCACCCCATGGTCGTCGCACTATTATCGAATTGGAAACGACTGACGATATCGGAGAAAAGCTCGGGAGGCAATTTGAATACGGGAGAGAGGGCATTTCGACGGATCTTGAGAGAGAGAAGTGTTCCCGAAAGGTCTGAAATTTGCCGATCCAAGGAATGACGCGTCTCGGTGAGTGAGGCAGTATCTGACGGGTTTGATGCGCCAGCTTCGGTTGCCACTGAGTTACATGTACGAGGTCAAATTGACGCGTCAGAATGGAGCACCATACTCACTGCTCTCCGTCCTCATGCTCCTAGTGTCCGATGGGGCTAGGGACTGGTGACAGTAGGTGGGGCTTGGAAACGGCGTACAGGGTCTAAACATGCCCAAGTACAAACGATCGAGTGCGAGCGTAGTAAGAACGTTCAGAGGTCTAAACTTTAAAGGCTTTGACTGCGCCACTTGGACGCGTTTCTGACGATCACGTGGATTCAAGACGCGACGCGATGGTGGACTAAACAAGGCCAAATGTGATCTTGAACTTCGACCTCAACCTCGTGGTATCGGTCAGGCGATATCCATCCGTTCATTATCTATGGCACCACGTACAAATGACGGATCCACCGCTGACCGTGAACGCGAACGGCAGAAATACAAGGCACGCCTCGCCACCGCGAACGAAGAAGATGACCCCCTTGCCGCGTATCATCAGTTCGTCCAATGGACGGTGAAGAGTTACGGAGAACGCGACCCAGCATCTGGGCTTGTAGAACTACTGAAGGAAGCTACTTCACAATTCAAAGAAGACTCGGTTTACAAGACGGACCTTCGCTATTTGAAAATATGGGCGCTTTATGCGAGGCAGATGGATACCGCAGGTGCAATTTCTATCTATTCATATTTGATTGCGAACGATATTGGAACCTCTTATTCGGCACTCTATGAAGACTACGCCAACCTCTTGGAATATTCCGGCCGGTGAGTTATGAACTAAAACTCTTAATTCACCCGACTGAAATGTTCGTCAGACGGCAAGAGGCTGATTCAATATACCGCAATGGAATCAAGAAGTCTGCCCGACCTGTAGAAAGGCTAAAGACGAGATATCGAGAATTCCAAAGCCGCGGCCCTCCATCTTCTGCAGCATCTCCTTCCACCAGCGCCTCTGTATCAAGTTCGTCCAGGCCCGCTAAAGATGCGTCGAAATCAACAAGAGAAGCATCCCCCGCTTCGTTCAAGCCTAATTCTGCTCCCTATGCTACAACATTCAATTCGACGCCCGAATCACGATATGCCCTCATGCTTGCGCCTCCTGCCCCTGGAAAGCGTCCAGAGAAGCTGCGATTTAATATGTCACTGCTTTTCACGGATGAAAGAGTGGAGTACTGTATACAGGAAGCTCGCGCGAGATCAATGGGCCTGCTTGGGAAGAAATGGGGTCCTCCACCTCTGTCGGAATCCGCGCGCTTCTCGGAATCCTTCTCCTCTTCCTCTTCATCCCTAGCCGCTGTAGACTTCAACGACGATGGCCACAAATCCTCTCGGTTGAAGGCAGTTGGGCGTAAAAGCCTCATGGCCGGAGCTGAACCTACGGTCACGATTAACACAAAGGAAGCTCTTGCGGACGTGTTCGGAATGTATAACTCGCCCGAAAAGACGACCAAATCGGCGATTCCTGGTAGCAAGCACGCCCCTCTCAAGAAAATTGAACCCGTTACGCCAGTCGTAGCTCCTAGAATAGCATTTTTAAAGGACACCGAAAACGCAGATAAGCAGAGTGTGAAGACGCCAACACCCGGTCTGTACCATTTGCATTCTTCTGAGCCAACTTTTTTGTCCTCATGGGCAATCCCTCAGCGTTCCGGCCGCTTACGGATGAAAACGCTCAGCTTAGCACAAATCGAGCGCCAGCTGCGAAGGTTTGGTCTGTTAGAGTTTTGCGGTCTGTTCAGGAGGCTGACGTGCTGTGTTCTCAGTTTACACCTTTCGTTGACCCAGATCAACCCAAGGCTCCATCCAATACGCCTCGTGCCACTTTATCGACCAAAGATGCTGTTCATCTTTCCTCTAACGCACGTAACGAGAACGCGCTACGCGGTAAAGGGGAAGAGAAAAGTAATGATCCCGTCTTCGCCAAAGTGTTCACCCCAGCGACAAAAGGAGTGCGACTTGCTCCTCTTCGTGATGTATTCACTGACGACCATGGAAAACCGACTCCGAAGGTCAAGACGGCTCCAACTCATGAACGAGCCAAGTCTCAACACGATGTACTGCCACCACGTTCAGAAGACGCCCCAAAATCTTCAGCGTTTGTGCCGTTTAAGGATGAAAACGCTCGAACGCCCTTCAAGGTCTTCAGTCGACCTCCTGACCAGGAGAATGTCTTCAACGCTTTAACACCGAAGACACCTTCCGTGGCGTTTACCCCTTTCGCGGATAAAACTCCAGCCTTCACGCCTTTCAAGGATAATGCTCCTGCCTTCAAACCTTTCGTAGATGCAACTCCTCTCCCAGAGCCAAATATGGCCCAGCCCCCGGATGAGCCCGCTCAGACAGTCCAGAGCGTCGTGGAAATTGAAGACGACGACGACGAGGATACAAGCGAGGAAACAATCGAGCAACAAGAGCCTGAACATCTTCAAGAGGAACGGTACTACGAAGAAGAGGACTCCCAACTAGAGCAATATGACGTGCCATTGGCTCCGGAGCATCTTCCAGAGGAGTATGAAGATGGCGAGTCATACCAGGAAATACCTTTGGGCGGGCGTTTTGGCCAGTTCAATGTGATGACACCCATCACTGAACGGACGTTCGAGTTTACTTCGAGTACGCGAGGCAAAACAACGCCCAGTGAAAGGTATCTTGCTCACACAGAGGATCCTCAACAAGCGGAGTACGAGGCAGCCATTGCGGCAGGGCGGCTGGCGGCCGAACTCCAAGAGGAGGGAAGCGATGAGGAGATCGACGAAAACCAACCAATTGAACCCCTCCGTCTGTCAGCAGATCAGCCACCGCCTGCTCAGGTAGATCCTGCTGAGGTCGTCATCCTCGAGGAGAGAACGGGTTCGCTCAGTCTTCTCGACACATTGACTTTAAGCTCCAAATTCCGACCAAGCAACCCCTGCAACCCCTTCGATCCTGCTATCCTCTCTTCGTTGATCTCCCGCATCCCCACCGACCCCCACTTCTATGACCTGCGAGCAGAAAAGGCCAACAAGTTGCCCGATCTTGAACGGTTCATGAAGAAGAGCAGAAAGGCTAGTTCAGGCAGCAACGGCGGTGTATTGGATTGCGAATCTTTCCCCTTGCTGCTTCAAGGTCATAAGTTCTTGATAACAGAGAAACTTGGCGAAGGTGGCTTTGGATCTGTGTTCAAAGCGAAGGATGTAGGCGTGCGTATGGGTGACGATGGCGATGACGATGATGACGAAGATCTCGATGATGAGGACGAGGAGATGTCTTCTATGGTGGCTCTCAAAGTCGTGAAACCACGCAACGTCTGGGAGTATCACGTCCTTCGACGACTGCATTCTACTTTATCTCCATCCTTACGTCGGTCTGTCATCCTTCCACATGCGCTATATGCATACGGCGACGAGAGCTACCTCATTCTTGATCTTTGCCCGCAAGGCATGCTCCTGAATATTGTCAACAACGCTGTTTCTGCAGGGGTCTCCCAAGCAGGCGCATGTCTCGATGAACTCCTTGTTGCGTTTTTCACTATTGAACTCCTTCGGCTCGTGGAAGCTATGCACGGTGCAGGCATCATCCATGGCGACTTGAAGATCGACAACTGTCTCCTGAGGCTGGAAGACATTCCGGGAGGTGCTGCGGCATGGTCAGGCATGTACCAGCCTTCTGGCGAAGGGGGCTGGAGCTACAAAGGCCTCAAAGTCATAGACTATGGACGGACAATCGACACAAGACTTTTCCCACTCGGCCAGCAGTTCACTGCTGACTGGGCGACGGACGACCGTGACTGCTTTGAAGTTCGAGAGAACAGACCATGGACATACCAAACAGATTACTTTGGCCTGGCTGGCATCATCTACTGCATGCTCTTTGGCAAGTACATCCAAGCCAGCTCGATCACGACCTATGTGGACGATGGTGTACAGCGTCATAAGATCGCGACACCGTTCAAACGATATTGGCAAACGGAACTCTGGAACAGATTATTCGATATTTTGTTGAACCCTACGCTTGTACGGCCAAAGGGTGACCTGCCAGTCTGCGACGCCATATCATCGGTACGAAAGGATATGGAGCAATGGTTGCAATCAAATTGCAACAGGACGAGCAATACCTTGAAGGGGCTGTTGAAGAAGGTTGAGTTGTCATGCTATAAGTTATAGGAGTCCCTTAGATTAGATCGTCTTTCTTTCGTTTCTGTATCACCATGTACGTACAAACTTACTCTCTTTCTGGCCTAGTAGCATATCCCATTGGATTCTCGAGTATAATATGCATCATATTACCTCTCCTCATGGTGTCGTCATCATCAAGGCTAATACAAACGCATCCGTAATCGTAGTATTGCAGAACCCACAACAACAATGAAAAGTAAGAGCTAGCTACACGAGGACAACGAAAGAGATGACGAGGGGGCTGAACGATGGTGGCGATCATGGATCCAAAACAACAACGGCGACAGATGCGTTGATAGCGGCAGGAAATAGACGGCGGCGACAACGATAACGACAACGATGAGCACAAAGGTGAAAATGAAGCCCTCCTTCCACGGGTCGAGAAAGCCTACTACAAGAAAATGCACCGACTTCCGAATGCTGGGACGAGCCCCGCAGCCGCCGCCTATGCATGTCCTCCCATTGGTACAGGCGGCGCAGGGCCACCGTCGTACCCATGTTGAGGAAGGTTGGGCGGCGGCGGCATCATCATCGGATACGCGTGCTGCACTGTATACATAGGCGTTGTAAACATTTTTGCATCGTACTGATCAGATGGGGGCATACGCTGAGGGCTCTGGTGGTAGTACGGGTGGGCATGAGCGGGGATGGGTGTTGGTGGCATCGATGGTCGTGGTCCGGCACCATTGGGTGGTGGTGGGTAGGCGCCTGGGGGAGGAGGTGGCATGTAGGCTTGTGGCGCTGTTCGAAGCAATCATGTCAGTCAATGCACCATTTGGCCGAAAGCGTGAAACAACTTACGTGGCATCTGGCCCATGGCTGGCGAGTACATAGCTAAGACGAGGATCGTAAGACTCCAACCTGAATGCTGCTACGTGAAGGACATACCATTCGGAGGAGGCATACCAGGAGGATATGGCATCTGCTGCATGTAGGGACCGGGCATATATGCGCCCGGCGGGACTGGCGGAGCCATACCTGGCATCATGTGCTAAAACACAACCAACCGACGATTAGACCAATTCTCCATCTCACAAACAAGGATAAAAGAAGGTACGGACAGGAGGGTATCCATAAGGAGGGTACGCGTAGACATAACCGCGAGAGGCGGCCTGCTGTGCAGCAGAGTCCTCTTCGTAGGATGGGGGCGGGATCGGAGGGGGTACGGGTGGCGCCATATGTGCTGGGTGTTGTTGGGCGGGCTGGTGTTGAGGAGGAGGGAACATCTGCATGTATCGCTTGCCACTGTATGGCCACATAGCGGCTGTTCACACACATACAAAAAAAAAAGTGAGAATCCGGTCGAGCCTTGAGGTTGATGCATGCTAAACTCACAAACTTGCGATGCATCAACAACCTTGTTATGTTTGAAGGGATTAAAATCGTCCTTAACATGTACTGGTGTACTTTTCTTGATGTGACGTGTGCCGAAGAATGGATTAGGTGGAACGGGGGCCTTCCATAGTGCGGCGAATGCCAGTGTCAGCACCACTGCCCAGAAGACCAAGGCAGAATAATGATAAACCAAACTCACAGAATCTGTCTTGGGCTTGGGCGAAGCCGAGTTTGAAGCACTAGCAGGGCCAACCTTGGGCGAAGCAGCGACCTAAACACACAAAGTGGATTGGTTATTAAAAAGCATAAGAAATTTAGATGAATGAGATTGAGTTGCCTTGGGGTTCGGTCGGAACGACGACGCATTGACATTGAGCCGATTCGCAGCAGCCGTATTCGGAGAGACAGGTCCAGCACCACCGGAGGGGCTCGCACTCGCCCGACTCGCATTCGCCGCCGCCCCGTTCGTGTTCACAGTGGGCGGACCCGCCGAAGGCGTGTTAGCTGTCGTCTTGCTCTTCGGGCCTTTAAACGGCGGGATAGCCTGGATGACCATAGTCGTCTTCTTTCCGGTCGAAGGAGTCGCCGACTCGGCTGCTTTCGAGGCGCTTGACGAGGGGGCAGCAGCCTTCTGGGTAGCACTGGAGGCGAGGGCGGCGGATGGCTGAGCTTGGGCCGAGGGCTTCGCAGCGACCTTCGCGCCAACGACGGCCACACCTCGAGAGGCGTTGGCGGGCGTGGATGGGCCGATGGCCCGCGCCTGAGGGGAGGCTGCATCCGCCAAAGCTTTCTCCTTGATCTGACGCTGCTTGTCCTCATCCTTCGCAAGGATTGGCACGAGATCCTCAGGTATGGGCTTCTTGAGCTAGTTACGAGAAGCTCGATGAGTCCATGACTCAAAGACTAAGTTACATTGACACACACCTTGAAGCTTTGACTGAACTTGACGAGATCTGCCATACGCTTATCCATGTCGTTCTTCACCATAGCTTGTCGTTTCTGCGTCAGCCGCTGCTTCTCGTTTGTGACGAAGTCGCGGAATGCAGGAAGCGGATCTGCGGGCGGCTATAAGGGGTTTAGATGAGCGTCTATTCTTTATTTCAAACTCGGAATAGAGGAGGAAACTACTCACTTTGGGCGCCGCACCTGCCGGGGCAGGCGATGGGGCCTTCGAAGAAGAATTGGACGCGCCTTGGGCTGTGACAGCAGCTCCGTCTGGTCCGTTGACAGAGACTTTGGGGATGTCCGCCTTAGGCCCTGTGCTTGAAGCAGTCTCGGCAACTGGTGCCAGTACCGAAGCTGGACCCTGCTTGCGGGCACCAGGAGGGACATAGGCGCCCTGTTTACGAACGACGGCACCGTATCTACCATAACGTAAGGTCTGGAATTCTGAGAAATAATTTTAGGAGCCATGGATACGCACTTATCCTCCTCGTTGACGCCACTGTCATCGACAGAAATCCCACGCTCCTCAGCGATATGCGGGTTGTTGGTAGTGGTCTGGGGGGCATGAATGAGTTTGAGTACTAGGATAGACAGCGAAACAAAACTTACCCCAAGAATTTCATTGGCAAGCTTCTGGGCTTTGCGCTCGCGCTCCTTGAAGTCCGGTGCACTTCGGTCAATCTTAGTCGTGTAGACGTCTTCGTCGTAGGTGGCTTTGACACCAAAGAGGGCTTCGTTAGCGACAAACTGGTCCCACGAAGTGCCATTCGAGCCAGGTCCAAAAGTGTCGTCGTCGCCAACGAGGCCAGTGAGAGAGGGATGTGCGTCTGAGCTTGGTACCCAAGCCTGGAGTTCGCGTTCGCGAGCTGGGCCCTTCTTCTGGCTAATGTCGGTGTCGGTTCTGAAAGCTTGATTAGAAAAGGATGCCGTTAGGTGTTATCAGCACAAAATAACGAGTGTGGGACTTACTATCGCCGTTAGTAGGTTTGGCATCAGCAGGACCAGAAGACCAAGTGTCGATGTCGGTAGATGCGATAAACACGCTGTCCTTAAGGGGGGCGCCAGGGGTCGAAATTTCCTTGACGTCCTTGAGGGTGACACCAGCGGTAGCACCTTCGGTCGTGGTAGAACCGATGACGCCTTCATACCGTTGACCAGCCTTGGTTGCGAGAGTAATGGTGGTGCCCTGTTCAGGCGGTATAATGAGGAGGTGGGAGGTTAGCAGACAAGGTATAGCGACGCACAGTCAAGCCAGACAGAGACTGGAGGACGCGGTCGCGAGAGGTGTCCGTGCGAGCACCGTTGGTCTGTGCGGGTGGTGTAAACGTGCCTTGGGTCGCGGGGGCAGGTGCGGGGGCAGGTGCAGGTGCAGCAGCAGCTGGCTGCTGGCGAGGAGGGGCTCCTGAGGCCGAGAAGGTGGGCGAAGCGCGGGCGTTTGACCCCCATGCTGGAGTACGCCTGCGACGGGTTAGAGAGCCGATAGTCGCTGCCAATGGCGGTGGAACTTACCTTGCAGCTGCCGGGTCTGGCTGGCCTTTCCTAGGGCCCTTTGACTGACGAGATGCAGAGGCCATGAGAAGAAAGAAGAGAGAAGGAGAGAAAGAAACGAGAAGTTGAAATCAAGGTTGTCCAGACACCAGAAATTCGAGCTACAGGTCGCGTGGGGCGTAACTCAACGCCAGAGAGCGGGTCGTGTGAGAAGGAAAGGGATATCGGACAGCAGCCTGTTGAGCCAGTGACGACGACGAGAATACTCCTCCGTCCAACGCCCAGCGATCGAAACACTTCAACAGTCACGCCCCCCGGAAACCCCCACTCCCCGGTGCCCTGCACACACCCATTTCATTCATTTGAATTGCGTTTTTAAAATCAATTACCTCTGCACAACACCTGCACTACACTCTGCACCCAAGCTCCGAGGGCGTATGTCCTCCAGCAGTTCACACTCGACCGAGCGAGGCAGCGGAGTTTGAATTGCGGTTCGGGGTCCTGCTGAACTTCGCTCAGCAACCAACTGCAAAACAAATCTTTGCGCTGGCTATCAATAGTCTCTACCCGCAATGCACCTCTCAACGCACGGTCCACGTTGCGGCCCCTCGTCATCGATCAGCGGGCCATCTTGGGACCCGTCGGCGCAGTCCCAGGTGTGAATGAGCAAAAATTGCCCGGTCTAGATTCGATCTTCGAGTAAGCAATCATCGAGACCGAGACTCCATTCATCAACGAAAATCCCAAGATGATGGCCGCTCTATCCAACTCGCAACAGAGAGCACTCTCGAAAATTCACCCTCGCAACTTCGGTGCAGCCTCGAAAGCTGATCCTGTGCGCAGTCCCGAGACCGAGGTAGGAAGGCCGTCCAACATCTTTTTATCCTGCCTTTATCACCTTCCTCTTCTCTTGATACCAACAGCGGAGCTGCTTCCAACGCCGATCTATCGTGTTCACAGCATGTTAAAACATGTTTCGTCCGTTTGAAGACATTCACCCGGCGAGCTTTCGTTGCGCGGCTAGTTTTGTCTGTTCTTGTCAAATTTGCCTCCGTTAGGCGCGCGCCTGAGCGCTTCCGCTTCGGATCCATTGTCGCCGAATGATCTATTCAGGCGGCTTTGACGGTCGGTACCTGGTGCCTCTATCCCGGCATACGTAGGCCAAGTTTCGCTCGACATAGAGTCCCATGCTGCCTCGCATCCGACTGTTTTATATGACTTGAACAGGTTGAGTCAATAAATAGCCAACCCTGATGGCTATGCCCCTTTTCTTTCTGGACTGTCACCTGGCGTTCGTCTACAACCATGTCCTGAACACCCATCACCCACAACCTTTGCGGAAATTCTACGGTATCGAGGTATGTGTGTCGTCAAATTCTTTCCCAAAAGCCCGTTTCCTCCTGATATCTCACATTGGATCTAGCAAGTTTGTAGAATTGCGTGCGCCACACTCCTAATTTGGTTGCTTGAAGCAACCGCGCCCGCCTCCACCATGCGTCCCTTATCAACCCCCGACCTTCCCTACGACATCTGGCTCCACATAGCCTCCTTTCTCCCCCTCTCCCAATTGAAGACACTCTATCCCATCAACAGCGCCCTACTCGGGATCGCCCTCGACGCGCGGTACCGAACGGGGTTCGTCGGGCCGCTCGCCCACCCGGACACGAAGAGGGCCCTTGCCCGCCTGACGTGAGTACTTTTCCCTAAGGTTATTATTGCGGCAGACCCGCTATATATGCGGGTATTTTTAGGCTTGGCGGCTAACGAGCAGTTTATGCCAATCTCGGACTATCCCTCGAACTGCAACCATTGATCTCAAATTCGTGTGGGTGCTATCACCGATTTGACGCCTTGGGTCGTACTTGCCCTACTGAACACGCCATTTCATCTGCGACTCGGATGACGCCTGACCCTCGACGACGCCTTCGGGATATCAAGGGACCTATTTGTCGCCCGGCGGGTGCGCACTTTCATCTTCAAGCCCGGCGACCTATGCAAGCTTCTCCATGAAAGCAAGTCCGAGGAGCTGTACGAGTGCAAGCTTGTGGACGCTTTTTCCGGGATGCGCATTTCCCAACCCAGCGCTCGCCCTCACACTCGCATTCGAAACCATACCCCCAACACCCCCCTCCGCACTTCCTCTCCTTCTCGTGCCCATACTCTCCAGCACTACCAACCACCCCAAGCAGCAACGCCACTCCTCTCCGCCTCTGAAGCACACAAGCGCGTCATGTCGATCATGCGTAGTATGACCGGCCTCGCCGAGTTGCACATCGAAATACCGTGCAAGGACCACTGGTACTTCGCCGACTCTGAAGCGGCCGACGGAGGTGTTCCAGCACTCTTCGCCAAGGGCTGGCAAGCGTTCGGAAAGAGCCTGCGCGTGCTCGAGCTGCGCGTCCCGTTGGAGGACCTCGCGCTTGTCCTCCCTGCTCCGTGTAGTGGAGTTGTCCTCGAGTGCCTTGAGCGCGTAAGTTTAAGGGTTGTTCGTGCGTCGCTGACTGCCAACGAGGAGACTGTCTTGCGTTCGACCGTGTTGCCCTTCCTCCAGACATCCCGACACTCCCTACGCTCCCTCGCACTCGACGTGCAAGAGCACACGAACCTATCCCCTTTCCTGTCCTCCCTCGCCCTTCTACCTACCCGCATGCGCTCTCTGTCCTCCTTCTCTCTCGCCCAACCATTTGTCAGCACCGACCAGACAGACTTCAGCGGGCTGCATGGCTTCCTCCTAGCGCACAGCGAGCACCTTACGTCGCTTTCGCTGAAGATGAACGCGACGTTCACGCACCACGCTACCCCAGAGGCGTTCTTCTCCCACAAGAGCTTCGCGTTGGCCCTGCCCGTCCTGCAGCACCTCTCGATACACCTGGCGCATTTCCCTGTAGGCTACGCAGACGGGATGATACCCTATATACACCAGTTCGCGCAGACACTGGTTTCGTTGACATTGCAGGGGCAGTTCTGGCCTGACCATCGTGTGGTGGCTTTTGTTGACTCAGGATTCGGGTTGGGGTCGAGGTTGCGAGAGCTGCAAATGGCTGTAGCGACATTCAGCCCTCCGCTCCTTTCTGCTTTTGCTGAGCACCTGCCAATCCTCGAGAGCTTAGATCTGGATTTCAAGGATATTTCTCCCCCAAGCTACATCGCTGGATTTGGGTCTCCAGTGAGTAGATTCCTTATTTTTGTTCGCTTTTTTCGATACTGATAGACACTAGTTTTCTGTTCTGATGTCTCAGCTCAGCTTTCCAGATTGGAGGCTTCGCAAATTCAATCTAAAGCCGTTGGATGCAACTAATTCGGTTCGGAAGTTGTGCAAGGCAGCCCTGGTCGATGCACTCCCTGGCGTGCTCTTGTTTTGCGGGAGGAATAGGGAAGAGTACATGTCTACTGCGGACCTTATATGAAGAACACCGGTGGAGAGGCATCCTGCCCTTAGTATTCAGAGGATAAACAAGTGTGTTCAACCACACCTGGTCTATTGGGGGAAGGGGGACTATCTCTAGAGAGTGATGTACATAGCACATTAGTAGATTGTTATATCAATGAGATGTATACTTATGGAAAATGAGTGGAGGGTAATAAAATGTCCGGAAGGGGCGCGATGAGGATGCAGTGCATTCTAGGCATGAGCTGGTTTCTTTTCCTCTTCTTCGCCGACGAGCATCTGCCAGAGCTCTGGACCATCCCTAATGAGGGCCTGAAAGGATGTCAAGCTCAGGATTTAGTGGACAGAGCATTGCACTTACAATAACGACTTCAACAGCAATGAGAGCGATTATGATCAATTCCATGGAATGCGTCGACGACTATGAATGGTGATGTCAGCCAAAGAATTGCGCGAAATAAGGAACACCAACCTCTGTCAGCAATTGACGAAGCATCGACTGTGCTTCCGCAGCGTAGGTAATCTTGTCATTGACAGAGGCCGTTCGGGCTTTCACTTCAAGAGCATTGCTCAAGGAGTTGAAATAACCTGGAATATCTCGAGGTCAAAACGACGTGCAAGCCCACAAGACGCCTCTCCCACCTTCCAACCTAGGTTCTGCCCAATAGAAATCCGGTACCTCGCTAAAGTTTTCCCGGTTGAGATTCAACAACTGTCTGAATTTCATGAGTTCTCCTAGTTTCTTGATGAGTTGTGTGCGGCCCATTCCGGGCTTCCCGGTCTGCGCCAGCGTATGGGGGAGGAGGGCCATCGAGGTGAGGTACTTGTCCAAAGACACCTCCATGACCGAGAGGGCGGTAGAGCGAGAAAGGGCTTGCGAGAAGGCATATCGAGCTAGAAGCGTCTCTTGGGGGAACGCCGTTGGAGGCAGGTTTTTGGGTAGCAAATCCTCCTCATTCAGAGGTGGGGTTTGTCCAAGGATGATCAGGTCACCCTGCAATCTTGTTTGCCTTCAACACAGGAAGAGAAAGAGAAAGCTAAGTCAGATACCGAAAGCACATAGGGTAACGCACAACCTCACTCGATAGGGTCAACGACGAATTCCAACTCCTCCGTCTCCGGTTCCGCGAGTCGGGCGACCTCGATGCCCTTCGCATGGTCAATCACCTCTGTCGCGAAGCGTTTCGCGTCGGTCTCACCCAAACCCCAGCACACGATACTCCCGTTCGAGAAAACGAAGACCTCGCCCTCCTTGCCCTCTTCACCCCACTTGGGTATCCACCATGATTCATGGAGGGCTTGTGCACGTGCCGGGAGCTCAGGCAGAGTACGTAGTCGAGAGAGGATGTATCGCTCAGCGGTTGCTAGTGTGAAGACGGGTTGGATGACGCCGCGGGTCGGTGTCGGATTGGCACGAATAGGAAGGGATTCCGAAGCTGATCGACGAAGGGTTGTCGTTGCTTTTGGTTTCGACTTCGCGTCAGAAAGAGGGTTGGTAGATTCAGAGGGTCCCCTTGATTTGGCGGTCGCGAAAAACCGGCAGCAAGAGACGTTGGGATACCATGCTGGTTGAGAGACAAAGAAGTTGCGAGCAATCCCTTGAGACTGAGCGGCTCGCAGCGAAAGACGAAGAGAGGTCATTGGGCAGAGGCAACAAAGTCTGGATTGACCCTGAATGAACCTGATCCTGTAATCTTATCACACAAAAATATATAGAGGTGTCTCAAGTCAAGTAGATTTTAATACACTCGACAAACATGTACGACTTAACCCAGCACATGGAGACACCAAAATGGCCTGGTGTAATTGATTTGAAAATCCGGTCAATCCCTCCCACTTAGCAAGCCAACACTGCGGCCATCCCCTACACATCCTCCAAAACGACCCAGCCGCGAAACAAGCGTAGCACCCAGGTATCACTCCATGCCGTGCTGCAGTCACGGATTCATGAAGAACCTGCAGGCGTCTACCTTGACCGACCCTCGTTTGAGAAGCACAGGGCGACGGACCCTATGAACTGGCGAGATATTTGGCGAAGGAGCTGCACAAGGCCATGAGCATAGTCAAAGAGGAAAGCGAAACGAAGATGCTCACACCAGGTCGGGAGCCCACCTAGGCATCCCAAAAGCCACTAGTCAAACTAGACCGGCGGAACATAACCGAGAGTATACTGGCAGAAGCAAATACAAACGATACACGAGGTCCTGAAAAAAAGCAGAAATGCACGTGAGATAAGAGCGAGGTGCTCGAATGAGCAGCGATTACGCACCCAAACGTCACAAACCGCGGGCACTCTATAGCACCACAACGAAACAATGGACTCAGCTGGACACAACCAGTGCACGAGGATTCGTCTCCTTCACAATCGGAGTACACTACTCCAACACTGTGAAAAGGTAACTGCGTTACAAAACGCGGATTTCTTAGGCGGGTAAAAGGGCACTCACATAGAGATAGTGGGGATTGACACCAAAGAGATATTATCTGGACGAATCAGCTTTATATAGCCTCCTATTTGGTTTCGGGCAGGCTTTTGCTCAGCGCGTGATCACCTATTACGAGTCCTACTCGTTTCTATACCCAGGATCCGGTCACAGAAATTCGCTCGTGGGATTGTAGCGATCTACCCACGGCCGTTGATTGGCTTTCCTGGTCACGTCACGGTCCTGGATAAGATAAGATTGGTTTCCGACTGCTTTTCTCACCGAGATCCCCGTGCTATTGTGGTTCCTCTTGGTCTGCTTGCCGTTCGCTACCCACTCAGCTTGCCTTGAAGACAGCCCCGTACATACACCGCTGGCTAGGGCAGGAAGAAGGGCAATACACAATATTATTGACATTGGGTACGCGAGATATCTGGGGAACAGGACATCTCTAAATACTATTGCATACCTGGGAGTGCCCTATGCCGACTCGGAGCCTCCATTGGATGAGAGGAGCTCCGTAGGTGGAGATGCTGGAGGAGCTGGGAGCAAAGATTCTTTGAAAGTCAGTATTTATGCACCTGTAGGTGCGAAACAACAACGAAGGAAGAAGCAACTCTATGAAGCGGCTCAAAGACTCACGTCGGTGCGGCAACCTTAGAGTTGACGTTGACGTCGCTCTTCATATATTCATATCCAACGCTTAGAACTCCGTGAATCTGGGAATGAGAATATAAAACCAGTGTTCCAAGGAGAGCTTAAAGCTACATACAGGGTCGGGAAGTATGATACAAGGGATTCCATGCTGTTACTCGTTTGCGCGCCGGCCATCGCTCTTGTTCGTTGTTGGTTGAAACGGATGGGCGTGGGTAGAGGTGAGGCGGGGGCTGGTTTCGGATGCGGAGGTGGTATGCGAGGAGGGGTGGAACGAGGCAAACAGGAGGGTCAGATATGGGGACTCACTGGTGAGGACACCTGTTTCGCCGCCGCAGCTGGCATCGCCATGCTCGTGCTTGCGGCCGTCGCCGTGCTTGTGGCCACCGAGCGCGTGTTCGCCCCATGCTCGGTCTTTGCTGTTCTCGGATTGGTCGAGGTCGTCGGTCGTCGGACACCGGCAGACCCCACATTCGAGCAGAGGGGCAGCAGGTCCAACAGACCTTGCCCCCTGTACTCGCCCTGCTACCCACCGTGTTGGGCCCGTGCTCGAACAGATCCTCCTCCGCGCCCTCGTACCTGCCCCCCTGCTCGTTGTGTCCGGTCCCACCTCCTGCTCGCCGTGTCATGCTCCTGTTCGACCGATCGCTGTCGCGTTCGCGTTTGCCTCGTCGCCGTGCTAGCGCCCGCCTTGTCGCTGTTGTGCCCAAGGTGTCGTGTACATACGTAGGACTTTATCCTTCAGGATTGTGACTATTCGACAGTGGGAGCACGCGTCGATCATATAGGACGGGTAGGAGATGGCGGGCTGTGAAGCAACACGTGTTTGAGCTGCTTCTGCACCACTCGCTGGCCTCCTGCTCGCCGTGCCCGTCCTCATCGTGCTTGAGGCTGCTCTGGGCGGGCGACTTGCATTTGCGCCCGTTATGCTCATGCCCGTCGTGCCCTATCTTGGCGTTCATCGTGCTGTAGCTTGCCATGCTCGTGCTCGTGGGGTGACCACGTTCGTCGCCCCCTGGGTGTTGGTGCTTGACCTCCTCGCGCCCTCGACCGTCGCGTCTGCATCTCAGAAAAATGGGAGATGAGGGTGGTGCTGGCTCGACGTCCGATGTTGGAGGTTGCCCATGTCGATGGGGTCTGCAAGTGGCGGCGCGGCATGCTGTGGAGACGGGTGGGGTGCATGAAGGGGTGTGAAGAGGTCAAGGTGCCGGCCCACATCCCTGTTGGAGGGTTGGAGGGGAGGGGCTCACGGCGCGGGTGTGGGTGGCATCGAACGATGTCGGGTGAATAACCTAGAGATGCGGGGGTTCATAAAAGGAGTAAGATAGTATGAAAAAGCCATAGCTTACCTTTTGAAAGCGTCAGAGGGGATGGGAGGGTGGAATCCGGAGCAACACGTTCTTCCCTTTGTGAGTTGCTGAAGGGGCGAGCGGCCAGGTGCCCGTCGAAGATGTCATCTCGGGTGTTGCCGAGTGCGATCCCATTGGCTAGACTCTCGGCCCACATGCTCCGTGCTCCGTGATCAACGAGCGGGATGCCTGCGACGCTCGAGGGGAGGCGATTTCCAGTACTTATTATTTAAAAAATCTAGCTTACATGGCTGCTTGGATGAATTTCATTGGGTCAATCTGAACATCGGGAGCACTGAGGGGAGGAGGACACCACTGACATGTCAAGGATGATTTCAACTGTGGCAGTGAAGAGGGTCTATGATTCAGACGTTGAGCAATTGGTGCATTCGTACTAGCTTCGTAGGGCCGCGACGAGCGACCGAAGGTCGGCGACGAGCGGCCCCCAAAGAGCTTCTGCTGTGTGGACCGTGGTTGAGTGCAGGTATAGACAAAGTATCATAGGTTTGGCGCTTGTTGCCGGAATCCGGGGTCTGGATAAAAAGGACTCGTATTGCCACGCCACGCGATGGCCCACACCGCACAAGTTTATGGAAATAGGAACAAATTGAAAGGGTTCTTTGGCAGCTGCAGGAGCTTTCCAAGGATGTTGACCTCAAGTCACGCATAGTACGGTGTCCGAGAACCGCAAGCCTCGCTCGACATTTTGATTTCGGCTCTGGCTCGCTCGTGTGACGTGTGATCCCTGGCGGCCCGACATTTACCGGCCCCTCCTCGGCATTGTCACGGCCTCGGTGCGAGGTTCGAGACTCTGTCCCTCATAATAGGCAGAATTTGAGGCATTTTGGGACTTCCAATGATGTAGGGTTCTTCCGGGAGGTCCAAAAATTCAATTTTGAAGGCTAGTTAGATTTTTAGGCAACCTTGTATACCATGACCTCCATCTTTTGAAAAACAGGCGGTGGATCAATGCAGGAGCGAGAGAAAACATGTGTCACAGCACAAAATTTGTAATAAGAAGATAGTGATTTTAAAAGAGAAAGTCTGGCACGAGGATGAACGACTGGAATGATGAGGGACACTGGTGAAGCAAGGCACTTTAAACATCAAACCAGCCATATCTCCGATGATGTCCCTACGGTGAGGTGATCGTGCGTATATGGAAAATAAGAAACACAAACACCGTAACAAGCGAGTCTGAGGTGTGAGGATAAGTTCCACGGCTGTGCGGCTCTAACTAGAGGGCTCGCGCGACCAGCAAACGGAGGATGACGGTGGGCGCTAAGCGTGGGATCGGAATGGCGATGGCGGCAAGATCGAAAGACGGGGCAACGGTGGGTCGAAATGGCGGGTCGAAACGAGGCTGAGAGCGACGAGAGAAGGCGTACGAGAGACGAGGGCGAGGTACGAGTGCCCCGAGTGGGCAAATGAGACGAGGAACTGTATGTTATGGGAAGAAAAAACTAATGACAGACCTTTTATACCTACGAAAAACTAGAGCACCGGTCAGGCATCTCTCCCAACCGGGCTGTAGGAATAAAGAAGAAGAGAAAATCTTCCAGGAAATAAGTAAGAATGATAGAAAAATAATCAAACGATGCGAGGACGTAACAGATGACTGCGCCGATGGTCTAGATGAGAGATGACTGGAGGGCGGCCGCGCTGAGCTCTTGTGATTGAGCTGTAGGTCGAGTCATCAGGCGAGCGTGTCCGTGAGGTCTATAATGCGGGTTTTTCGTGGCCAGGAGGGAGCGCGGCTCATCACTGAGCATGATGTCAGAAACTGGAAGGCCCAATGGAATTAAACACACCTGCTCGACTGACATAAGTACAACCGAAGACTCCCAAACCTGTTGATGGACCATTAGTTGTGGAATCAAGTTCATTCAACCATCGGCAAATGTCAAATATGGTCGACATGATCAACTTAACCTTGGACATACACTGAGGGAAGCTGGTTCATTTTTTTCAGGTGACCCGTAATTTCAGTGCAAACAAGGGTATCTTGAGTCAGGAGGAATCCTGCAATTAAGTCCGCTGAATCAAGGGCGCGAATACCCTTCATCGAGGGGCAAATGCGTCCGTTGATGCAGGTTATTATCCTGCCTCCGTGACGCAGCTGTTTCGAGGGAGTTATTAGGACAGCTATTTGGTCTGTCGAGACTCAAGAGGGTATTCACTTGGTTTCAAAGCAGTGTTATTGCTATCTACTACATGAAAGATAGACTACGTGGAGGTGGTGGTGGGGGGACGGTGCTGCCTACATTTGTCAGATATAAGATGACTCAAAGATGACTCGAAAATCATTTTGACTAACCAGTAACCCTCGGACACTCTCTTTCGCTCTCGCAATTTTGCTGCTGCCGTCCTTACTCTCCTTGATATCCAGCCATTCGCGAGGTGTTACCCATGTCCAGCGGGCTATAAACGTCTTCAAAGGCAGAAACCACGGTAGACGGCAACGGACCAACACACCTGCGATCACTGTCATTTACGGACAGTCCGAGGGACAGCTGTAGAGAAAGACCAGCCTGACAGTATTAGAAAGAGAGGTGGTACAACAGGCAGAGGCGCAGGGTACCAACTTTCGCGGCAACACCGTGGTCGGTTTCACCACCTACGCTACCTACCCCGATGTCGCGAGCCATTCTCAGGAAGCAGTCGAAGCGTGATACACTCGAAAGTTGGTCAGAGACGCAGACACAATGGAAGGGGAAGGATTAACGTACCCGGGAGGGTTCGTGGCTGTTCATCATGCGTGTTGGCGCCGCCCACGAACATTCGAGGAAAGGTTAGCACAATGTGACACATAGACGAAGAAACGAAGAGAGGGCTTACAGCTCGAATCACACACCACCACATCGACTTCTGCATTGGTAGGTTCACGGCATTCATGATCACCCACGGTCGTTGGAGCCACAAATGCCACTACACCTGGGACGGACTAGAGCTGGTCGAGGCGGTGAGCGACATCTTCGTGCCGTCGAGCTGCACCTTGTTCGAGTAGGTCTAGTGCAAGACAATGCCGACGGAGGTGGCACCATTGTGGAGGGTGGAGATCCAGGCCGAACTGGTATCGTCTACAGAGTAAATCAATAAATGAGAAGTAGAACAGAAAAAAGGGCGCACAATTTGAAGCCTCAAAGCACGCTGGATTCCCCGCCTTCGTGCTTTCCCCATAACAGCCCACATTTGATGACGATGATCGGCGTTTCGAGAGGGGCGGCACAACCCTCGGGCACTTGATGAGCAAAATCGCGCTGCACTCAGCTGTGCATTAGGGAGATGGAGAAGAACTTACCTGGCTACGCAAAATTTTGCCGGAACCCGCGAGTCTCGAAGCTGTGTGGGAGCTATCTCCTGTCGATAGGTGGGGGTGGGTGCACACTACACGGAGAAGACCTCGAGACACACAACGAAATGGGAACTTACATTCCCACATGCCGCCCCATTGCCTTTGACCACCATCAGCCCATCAGGGTCCAGATCAGCCAGATCGGAATCCACGGCTCACCTCTATAGGTGGTCAGTACGGATTTTCAACGAGTAAAAGCCCATCTGTGCCCTAAGATGGGAGATCAGGACAGATATACGGTGGACGTGGAGTTTGGAGATGGTGGCAGACAACGCGTCGGAGTAGAGCGGCCGCATCACGTGGTCGCGATATGTTTGGCATCAGCGTGTTTGTTCCAATAGGTCGACGTAAATGCGGGTTCCAAGGGAAAGGAGCAATTTCGGAGGCCTCTGGCCTCTCGGATCTATATCCTCTCTTACCTCTCTCTCCTTCCCTGGTCCATTTGCGTGTCGTTGCAGCTTGGTGCCATTGTTTTGGCGGATGCTAGACTTGTGACGGTATGGCACATGAGTGTGACCACGGTTGACACCTGCACTGCGCCCCCTCTCTTTCTTTCTTATCAACCACCATCTCTGCAGTGCAGGTAAGCCCTCCTCTCTCTCGCTCTTACGGGCATCCTAAGCTCACAATCTGGATAGTGAATCCCTCCTGTCATCTTGTTTATCTTATTCTCATCTATTCACTATCCTATTGTGAGTTTCCACTCTCTCCTCTCTCGTCTTGAGCCTTACTGTCCCTCAGCTTGCTCATGGCTCCGCCATCTGGGCTCCTATCTATTTCACAGTAAGGCTCTGCACCCTTCCTGGCTCCGCCATCCCTCGCTCATCATCTGACAACATCCATTGATCAGATTTTGATCTAATCCATACCCTCGTTACCCTCTTTTTTCATCATTATCGCAACTCGAATTTCATCCGCGTCCATCTACATCTCATCTGATGGAA